TCTCGTTTTGGTATGCAAGGTACCTAACTGAAAAAAAAAAATGGGTATTTTTAGGTTTCGCAATTTTATCGAAGTCATGTAATTGGAATAATCAAAAGTGTCCCTTGTTAATTTACCATTCAGTTATTTTGTATATTGGATTATCAAGAAAGTATTGATGATTTATTTCAAAATATTTTTTCATTATTTACATCCTTAGTCAACATTTTTTTTGTTACACAAAAGGTCCTTTACACCCAAAAAAGAACCTTAAATTCGAACCTGATAAACTTACAAATGTTCACTTTTCAAAAACACCGGCAACCCAAGGTTCACATAACCCGTAGTTGAAATACTCTCCTAAAAAAATAATAATAGCAAAAAAGATCAGGTTTTTTAAATACAGAGATTTTCAGAATGCCTAGTACACGATTTTAAGATAAATTGTAACGCCCAATTTGTAACTAAAATTTTGAGATTCAGTGGTGGTTTGATGACCACTGAAGGGAGAAATTTTCAATTACTATTTTATTAGTCTTGTCGTTTTTGTTCAATAAAAACACTAACAGAATGTAAAAACTTCAAGACAGAACTAATACTAAACAATATTTATAGAAATTATTAACATGTTTCCAACTTTAAATAGCACAAATCGACCTGTGAAGAATGCGAAAAACCAAACTAGCGAGGATGAGCGGACCAAGATTATCGGAAATGGCTGAACTTGGACAAACATTTTACTTGAAAGGTGCAATACTTACTTCTTATACATCATATCGACGTATAAATCAGGGAAAAAAATCGTTTTGAACAACCCCGACAAATCAACATAAAATATTTCACGTACCAAAAGTTGAATATTAAATAAGGAAAATTGGCATCTATTTCCTGAGTTCCTGAGTGTCAAGACTTAATAACTTAATCGTTCTTTAATCACAGATGATCAAAAATGGATCGTATGCAAAAAAAAAAGTATTCAAAACGTCATCTAGTTAGTTTCAAAACATCAAATTCACGAGAAATGTTGGTTATCTGTTGATAAATGTGGTCGCATGCATTTTGATAAAAGAATCAGCAGATTCTGTAAAAAACCATCAAACAAAAAATAAAAAATAAATTAAAAGTAAAATTTTCCAACAGGAAAGATGTTTTCCACGCCAGACCTCACCTAATTACGTAATGTCTCTAATTGAAAATTAATTACCACTTTTTAATTCTTTATCCTAATTAATTTCAAATAAAATTCTATGAGCTATTCTAGGATTCGAACCCACCACCGCTGTTTTATAAAATGTTATTCAACCATATTGGCAAAGAACGGTAGTTCAAAATTTTTAGAATTCAAAATATGTGAATTTTTACTCCACAAGGACCGAAATGTTGCTTCAAATATGGCGAAATGCAGATTCTTGATTGAAAGAAAATTGATTAATTTTTTAGTGGTTGTAATAAATTATTTTCGTCGTAAAAATCATGTTTCAAAAAGAGCTTATAAAAATTATATACAAGGAATAAAACTAGTGAAAAAAAATAATTTTGGTAATCGCAGGCAATAAGAATGAAGAGACCAATTTAAAATCAGATTAAGCATTTTATATTCTTTCTGTCGATAAAACATAGCCTTTTGGAATTGATTGCTAATTTTTTAATTGATTGCACGTTAGAAATGGCCCTTTACAAATTTTACACGCTGAAAAAAATCTAGCACACTTGTAAATTGTAAATTATTGTGTTTACAGATATAATTAGTAAACAACAACAATAATAAAGGAAAGTTTTCGCAAAAAACACGATAGTAATAATTTAGCAATTATAATTTTCAGATGGTAATTTGAGTCAATTTACATTTAGAGTTGATGGGTTTTGCTCTGCGAGTCGGTGAACTCATGTTGAACAGGGCCATTATTGGGTCTGTCGCCACTCGCGGCTTTTTGAGTTATTCGTTTCGGCATTGCGCCATCTTCAGTGAGGAACCGTCTGGCAGTTCTGACAGTAAATGACCCTGTGCCGGTTCAACATCAATTTACATTGATTTGTGGGTAAAGTTAGCCGGACAATGACGTTTTGACCGAAATCGCAGAAAACTCCCAGGATTTTGTCCTTCTTTACAGATATTTGAATGATATGCTATCCTTGGATAAACTCTAAATAAACATTATATATTAAAAATTATATACTTATTGTACTGTCAAAAAATAAATAAAAAACTTAGTAGAACAATATATTTTGAAAACAACTTTGTTAGATTCAAGGACCAGAGGAACATTTGCAACATCAGGAAAAAAATTACATGATTATTTGAAACATCCCCAGTAGAAAATGTGAATACCATATAAAAATATGAGCATGTATAAGGAATGTGATAAGAAAATAATGTACGTTTGCTTGATTTAATCTTTTCAGAGAAATATTTGTTGTGTGAAGGATCAAAAGTTATCACGTAAAATATAACACGTAAGATATTTAAATACCAAAACTAATTGTCATCATGTTTAGGAGGTAAATGTAGAATAAAAATAATATAAAAACGTCATGGCAGGCGATTATTAATTGTGCTAAAATTATACAAGTAATTTTTGACTCCAGCATTTTCTGGTTTAAAATCCTGGATCAAATAGACCAACTGATGATTTAACAGGATCATTTCATATTTGTGGATTAGTACAGCTGTTAGAAAAAAAATCTTGAATATTTGCGGATTAGACGAATATGCAGATTAGTGGGCAAATATAGCGCTTTGAATCAAGATTTTTTTCAAGAGCGAAGAAGGAAAATTTATAATTTTTTTAGTTTTTTGTAGGCTTAAATTTCCATACGATTCATCAGCGAGGGCATTTATGCAAAGGGGAACTTAGAGCTTAATACAAACCCTCAGGATCATCAAAAAAGAAATGACTTTATACTTGGAAACAAAGTTGTATTTTTGAACTTTTATATTCAAGATTTTGGAGAGATTTTTTTAAACATAAAAAGTACAAATGTTGATGTATGTGAAGATGATCGATATTGTGTTTAACTACAAATTTAAAAAAAGTAAAAAAAAATTAATTAATTTATCTAAAATATTTTGAATTCGTTTGAAATTATAAAAAAAAACATTGATATTCTGAAAAGGGAGGCGAAAATAAGCCAATTTGGCAAATTTATCATAGCACAACATATTTATGAATTAGAATAGCCTTGAATTTCTGCCGATTAGTTTAATAGACAAATACGACACTTAAAATGACCAAGCTGGTTTTATAGAAAGTAAAAGGAGAAAATGGATTTTTTATTTTTTATTGCTGCGACTGCGAGGAACTTCATACCAACGGAGACTTAGAGCATAATATACACGTACCATATTGAAAAAGGGAACGACTGTACAATTCGAGACAAGTGGTTTCCAACTTTCCAACTTTTCTATTCATGATTTTATGAGAGAGAGAGAGAGAGAGAGAGAGAGAGAGAGAGAGTGAGAGAAAGAGAGAGAGTAAGAGAAAGAGAAAGAGAAACAGAGAAACAGAGAGAGAAAGAGAGAAAGAGAGAAAAGAGAAAGAGAGAAAAGAGAAACAGAGAGAGAGAGAGAGAGAGAGAGAGAGTGAGAGAGAGACAGACAGACAGATAGACAGACAGACAGACAGACAGACAGAGAGATAGATAGACAGACAGACAGACAGACAGACAGACAGACAGACAGAGGGAGAGGGAAAGAGAGAGAGTGAGAGCTTATTCATTAGTACATCAAAAATATATTGAATTGTTTTGGCAAAAAACGAGCAAATTTTAGCCAATAAAATAGAAGTAACAAAGCCAAACACATCGCAATTATAATTTAAAAAATCTTCTAATAGAAAATTCTGGACAATATTTATAAAGAAGACCTCTGGATTTTATTGTTTTGGCCTGTATAAAATATCTAAAGCAGTAAATTTGTTGATGCAATTTTCCATAATAAACCCTAACTTGAAAAACAATAAATTTTTTTTATCATACTGCACATGCACTATATGTTGCATATTTATTTAAATATATTCCAATTTCGTAATATTCTACCATTGATGCGAAAATTAAAGGTCCACAGTGGTAGATTTCATTCAATTCGACCATTTCCAATGTGGCATTTTTGTAGTTTCATTTTTTTTAAATTTAATTAACTACGAGAAACAAGGAGATTTTTTAAATAATTGTCTTACAAAAATTATTAATAAAACTGTGAATTAATTGATTTTGATTGAAACTAAGTTAGTAATTAATTATGATCGCGGCAACAATTTCATCATTTTTGAATAAGGTCAATAATTATATTAAATTGTACATAATTTTTTTAAATAATTTATTCACAAGATAATTCGGAAATTTTTCTTTTGAATTCATCTCGAAAACTACCCAAAAAGTTTTCTGATGTCTATGGATTCAATGAAAATGAAAAGCTATTTCCAAAATTAGTGAAAAGCTTTCACTTTCACACTTTTACTGAAATATTTTCTGTAGAGGATTTTTGTTAAACTTCAATACGTACGGAAAATTTATTTTTGTGTAAATTACACATTCAAAGCGAAAGTGTTGTTTACACTGAGATCTAAGCTATATCAACCTTATCTCATTTTACAAGACGCTTTGAGTTAGGACGGTGGTTTGTTCTTTCAGGTCTTAAACAAATTGACATCGAATTCATCGCCTTTTACACATAAGAATATAAAAAAGATATTCGTGTAAATAATATTTTGAAGAAACTCAATCCAAATTTTAAGAACCATCGAGATAAAATCAAAAATATTGCAATTTTTGTCTTCAAAACCAACTATGCATAAGCTGATAAAGATTGGTAAAATTTTCTAATATTTATGGTATATTCTATTGTATGGGCATATAAAATGAAGTGAAAGGGTTTCTGAATTTTTCTATTTGGTATTAAAAAAAAATTTTTTTTATGTGAATACGAATACAAATTGTACGGAAGATAAGACACTTTAAAAAAAAATATCTATGCAATTATTTTTTTAAACCTAGGAGATCTTAAATGCAAAATGTGTACTCACTATTGACGCCTTGTATTTTGTCCGAGCCTCTGTCCATAACTAATAGACTGACTGAGTGAATGGCCCCACTACGTTCGCCGTGGAAGTCCATGCTTCAACGTCCTTGGTCTCTCTTGGGAATGTTGACTGAAAGCCCGTAATTTAGGTCACGGGTGAGCAAAGTCCGAAGATTGCTTTTGTCTTCAACGGAAGGAAGCATGTAGTCAAGAATGTGGTCCTGATACAAAAAAAGAAAAAAATCCCAAAGATGACAATTATAACAATTACACCATGCCGACCCTATAAAATAATAATAAACTTCAGGAAGAATAAAATGATAAATGGGTTTTGCCAATTAATAACAGACATAGGGACAGATTTGGAATCGATTTATTTTTTTCAGGTGCAATTTTCCCGCACCTTCCCAATAATTTACGTCGTTTCATGCTCTCGATTTGTGGTTTGAAATTTTACGTGATGGAATGTCGCTTTCTCAGGGTGGAGTTGCCCTGGGCTACGACCAAACAAGAAAATCATCATGACGGAAACACAGCGAAGCGCCGATGTTAATAGATAATTAGAAGGCTTTGTGAAAGTTGACTGATTATAGAAAAGCTCTGATATTTTGACCTAGATCTCGATAATCGTTAAGGTTATTTCCCAATTTGACTCTGGTGTCAAATGCCATACGTCTCATCCTACATGACAAATCTTGAAGGCTATGGTATCACAGATTTCACCAAACGCTTATCAACAAAATACACAAAGAACAAACAACAAACCAAAAGCTGAAGAATGAAGTACTAAAGGTCATTTATCAGATCCGGATGTAAAAAAATTAAAAAATATTTCTCTTTACATACTTCATCCTTTAAAACTACAACGTAAATAAACAATTAGTTCTACTTTTTAACTAAAACTAAGCATAAAATATAACAATAGGTAATCTTCTAGGCTGTTCGTTTTCTAATTAATTACGCCATATCTTTTGCAGACACTTTTTTTTCTAATAGAACGATATTTCAACTTGATATTAATTCCATTAAATCAAAATCTGACACTGCATTTCTCGCCAAGCTGACCTAATTAAAATAAACCAAGGTTTATTTGTTATTGCATCATTTACTATTTGCGCAAGTACCTACTACCATACTGAAAGTAAAACTATATGCAGAAACTACAAAAATCAAAAACATCAAAACTCTCTTTGATATTAATCATCATACTAAATTTAGTTTTCGTCATAATTGTCTTAACTTCTTGCTTATAGTTAGTTGTTTTCAACATTTAGATTTCGAGCATTCAACGATCTTCATCAGTTGTAGGAGTTACAACACGACTCTCGACATAATTGGATTGAACCAATCGACATTGAACCAGGATGTTCCATGAGAAGCTGGTTTTAATGAATTGATCCATCTTCATCATTTCGATTAGTTGGCTAGTCAAAGCAATTAATGGATTATAACACAATTAACAACACTACCTCATCTTTTTTTAAATCAGCCAGTAAACAAGTACTTTTAATACTTGATTATAAATTAAAACTATGAAAGTCAAAAGCAACAAATCGTTAAGCATTGACAAAGATTATGCAGTAAAAACTGGGGAACAAATCCCAGGATGACGTACTGTTTCCAATGAAAAGATGGTTTTAATTATTGTTTGAATCGGTTCTTCATCAATTTACAATCCGACTCAGCCACCTCACGAAATCGAATCTTCAGGTTTTAGTTGCTTTCCATACATTAGGACTAAGAGAAAAAGTAGGTAAAATTCTTAAACGAGAAGGTTGTAGATTAGCTTTTAGGGGTGCTTGTTCACTTAGAAACAACCTTTCAAAACCTAAAGACAAGATTGACAACTTGTCAAAAAAGCAAACTTAATTGTAACACTCCATTATACATCAACAACAAAAAGATACAGTTTCCACTCAAGTCAAATACCTGGGACTTTACCTCGACAGCAAACTGACGTGGAATCCCCACACAAGACTTAAAAAACAGCAAATTAATACAATACTTGGACTAATACGAAGACTTGTAAGACCGAAATCGACTTTGTCAATTAAGACAAAACTAACACTGTACAAGACTTAAGACCAATATGGACATAAGGAGTGGAACTATGGGGTACAGCCATCCTTCCAATATCCAGCGCATCCAGTCCTTCCAATCGAAAGTCCTTAGACAAATTGTCAAAGCACCTTATTATGTCACTAACCTCATTATCCACAAAGACCTCAACATTCCTTTAGTCAACGAACTAATCCGGTCCAGATTCCAAACTCCACACCAACCTTTCGAACCATCCTAACCATACTGCTCGAGCATGCTCCCATCTTGACAACCCACCTGGCCTCGGGACCTCCTTGACCCCAATCATACACACTGAGTGGCTGCAATGGCTGGCTCCTCAAAGCAAGTGTTCTACCGGTGCAGTGCTGGCATTAGTTCCAGTGTTGTGCTGTTTGATATATTAATCATGTGTATATATTTGTATAGTATACTATTATGTATAGGTAACAAATAAATTTAAACAAAAATTGTAACGATTGTGATATTAAATATATAGGACAAAGCGGCAGAAAAATTAAAACGAGAGATATAGAATACTTGCCTAAATCTAACAAATTTTTAAGAATTTGTTATTTCCCTTGCAGTAGGGGTATGCATTGGCTCTGTTATAATTAAACATACTCGTCTTTGCAGGCTTTGTAGACCCATACTCACTCATCATTTTTAATAATTGGCTTAGTATAAGAATTTTTGCTTCCCTTTAAACAAAAACTATCGCTCGATTGAAAGTTTTAGTTATAAAAATAAAAGTACACATTCATAAGCTACTAATAATATTTAAGTATCATATACAATTAATGCAAAAGTGTAAATACCCACTGAATTAAATATATCAAAACAACACAGAAACAGAAAACGTATCGACCAAATGCTGACGCAATATGGCTAAAGTACGCAATAAAAACAGGTAAAGTGACATCTCTTGATCATTAAAACAAACGCACCATATGGAAAAAGTACACGGCAAGCATTTAAATCATGAACACTGGCTACTGAATAATGCAAATAAAATTTGATACAAAAACCTAGCATTCCATGTGTCAGACAATTTAAACAAAATATTATGTAAATTGGTCATTACCTATCATTTTCGTATGTCTATTTTCGCTGTGTTCTTATCTCAAGGTTGCTTCTGTCAAAAATGCAGTGAATTTATTAAACGTTTGGCGTTTATCATTTACTATAATGGTGAGAAATCAGCAAAAGTACTTAAGAGGTGTACCATTAGAACCGGCATCGCCCACTTACTTCCTCGACTGCTTGTTTTCCTCGCTTTGATTCCAAGGCCTTACTGCTAATAGACAGGATAGCTAGTCATCGTCGTTTTCTTGTTGTAAAGTGGTTTATTTGTGTTCATAAATGTTTCATGTTTGGTACTTTTGTATATCTTAATTTGAACAGGACAAATAATTGTAAAAAGAAACTACACACTGGATGGATTCATCTGGTGCAAAACAAAGAGAATTTTATCAACATCTCGAAAATAAAAATTCTCGTTGTTCTGACTCGGTCGTAAGCGTTTTGACACATCATCTTCAGTGATTTGTATTTCATTTACACATCTTTTCTTAAAGGTGACAGCAACATTTTTGCACTTTGATTATCTCGAATCGACCTGGTTTTCACATCATCCTTGTTTTGGGCTTTCAAAAGTGTTTTGACTCTTGTCATGTTTAGAAGTGGTTATTGACCTGTTTACCCTCTAAATGGTCTGATTGATTTGGCACGTCAACTTTAGTGTTGGGTAAAACATTAACATGAATCATCCTGGTCTTCATATCCTTCTTGTTTTGGTCGTTCAAAAGTGTTTGAATTTTTGGTCATCTTTAGAAGTGATTATTACATTAACACCTATTTGCTTAAGAATAGTAGCAACATGTATCTGAGGTTTAACAATCTACAATCATCCTGACATGTTTATCCTCACTATGGTTTGTCATATGTGATTTAGCACTTGTCAACTTTATTGTTGGGTAAAACATTAACATAACTAAACATCTTTTCTTAAATGTGGTAGTGAAAAAATTTTGCATTCTTGATCGTCTTGAATCAACCTGATCTTTTTATCATCCCTGTTTTTTTTATGTTTTTTTTTTCTTTCAGAAGTGGTTTGGCATGTTGTCATCTTTACTGGGAGATATGACATTACCACCTCTTTTTCTAAAGTTTCTAATATTTCTATACTTTCGAATCATCCTCAGGTGTGAATCCTCTCGTTAGAGATTTTTCAAATCTCCATCCTCTTCACAATGATAAAAATATTAATTTGTTACTTTATCATTTCCAGTTATTCTGATCTGACCTCAATGTTGCAGTCTGCCAGAGGTTTTTGACACTTCATAATCTTCTGAAGTGTATATTTCATCATCTTTACATACCAATGATATCAACGTGTATTTGTACTTTCATCATATCGCGAGTTTATACTCGCAAAGAATCGCGTGATTATTTGTTGACTTCTGCGAGTTGATGAAGTTGTAGTTTGGTTGTTTCTGATCATCGTGATCTGCCAATTCCGGTGTTTTGGAAGTTCATATTTTTCCGACTAGGTTTTAAATAGAACTCTCTTTTTTTCGTCATAGTAAATATATATTTGTAATTTGGTATGGTATGGTATGGTGATAACGGTACAAGAATAGGGGTTTGTATTCCCCAGGCTTATGGTACCTTCCTAGTTCCTTAGTTCAGTGCAATAGGGTTAATCCTTCTCCTTAGTATCAGGTCATTGACTGTCGCTGCTACAATTTCATTCCCTAAGATTTTTTTCGTATGTTAGGTTGACTCTCCATTGAGCTGTTGCTTCGTATTCGGCAAAATTGGCACTCAAACTGACAGCCAAATACCGTTGACTTATTGTACCTTTCTAGTTTTAAGAAGAAGAAAAATAACTTTATTCTGGGACTGGTGTCCCCTAAGAATAATTTACATGAAATAAATAAAGGAAGTTCCTTCTATGAAGTTAAAAGTAAAAAAAAGATAGAAATCTTGACACAATGTATACCAATAAGGCAAGACAGAAGAAAAAATTACGAGAATATTAAACAAAAATAACAAATGTTAACGTGAGGTCTCTGCTTGGAGGGCGAGGAGGTGATTGTACAGGTGGGATTTAAATGAGGAAAAGGAGGCAGCGTGACGAATAGAAAGGGGAAGGGAGTTCCAGAGTTTAGGGGCTCGGATCAGAAAGGATCTTTCGAAGGTACGGGTCGTATGTAACAGAAGGATAAGATCGATTGGGGATGAGCGGGTCTTACGAGTGAGATGTGAAGAGTTGAATCGGAGAAATTGGATGATGTAAGGAGGACGACGAGTGTGGATGGACTGGAAAAGAAAGCAACCTAGGAAATACTGTGCTCGGAAGGAGGGGAATAGCCAGGGAAGTTGGGAATATAACCCCAATACCCGGGATCCCCGTGAGGTGCCGTACACAAATCTTACGCAACAATTCATAGTACGCTTCAATCGCGCGTTCTCCCCCTCCGAGAGACCACCGTATGCCAAACAGCTATAATCGAAGAAGGGAAGTATAAGGGAAGATACAAGGAATTTGCAGGTGGAGAAAGGTAAGAGAAGCCAGGACCGACGAAGCAGGCTGAGGGAGGCAATGGAATGGCGGGAAATTTGGGAAATGTGAGAATGCCAGGAAAGGTTTTGGTCAAAGACTACTCGTAGGTTTTTAACCGAAGAGCAGAAGGGGATGGGATGGTTATTTAGCATGAGAGGTGGGATGCTGGGGAGGGAATTGAGGAGTTGCCCGGACCCGATAATTGTGGCAGTGGATTTGGACGGATTGATGACTAAGGAACTTTATGGGCCCATTCGTTGATGGAGTTTAGGTCTTTTTGCATCTTGAGAATGGCCTTATGAAGATCGGAAGGGTGGAAGGATATGTATATTTGGGCGTCATCGGCATATAGGTGATAGTTACAGGACTGGGTGGAGTCGGGCAGATCATTGATATAAATGGAAAAAAGGATAAGAGATGCTAGAGCCTTGGGGCACCCCGATTTTAGAGGGAGGAAGGAGGAGGTAAGGCCATTGGGAAGGGAGACAGCTTGATGGCGATTGGTAAGGTAGGAGTGGAACCAACGGATGGTGCTGGCGGAGAAGGAAAAAGATTCGAGTTTAGACAAAAGAGAAGAGTGAGGGACAGAATCGAAGGCTTTAGAAAAATCAAGAAGGACAAGTATAGTAACTTTCCATTGGTCCATTGCTAAGTGGAGGTCACTGGTCATTTTTATTAGTTCCCTAGTTCAGTGCAATAGACTCTATCCTTCTCCTTAGAAGTATCAGGTCATTGACTGTCGCTGCTACAATTTTATTCCCTAAATTTTTTTCTATGTTAGGTTGAATTTCCATTGAGCTGTTGCTTCGCATTCGAAGATGATATGAGTGGCTGTTTCCTCCTCCTCATTACATAATCTGCAAATGGGATCATCGTTGTATATGCCCATGTGTGTAGATGTTTTCTCAGATGCCAGTGACCGGTTAGCAGTCCTATCACTCCTCTCAGTTTAGCCCTCTCTAGTTAATTCTAAATTATACGGGGCTGGATATCATTGCTGTCTTCGCCTGTTATAATCTTTATCATCTTTATCGTCTTGAACGGTTTTTCTTATCCTCCTTGTTTTGGCCTGTCAGAAGTGTTTTCGTCCTCTTCAGCGGTCGGTATTTCATTAACAACTCTTTTCTTAAAAGAGATAGCGACACTTTTTATATCAAGATCTCATCGATTCAGCCTATTATCACTGGTTTTGTTGTTGATTCCCTGATCAATTTACTTTATTGTTTAAAAAATAAAATAAAATATAAGTAATGAACAAAAATAGTAACAATTTATTTGTGATGGTCACCTACTTAGGTACTTGAATTTTTTAACATATGCAAACTGCCCAATTCTTAAGCCTAAGAATAAACCTTCATGCTCTATTTTATGTGTCCAATGAAACTACCCCTACAGGGCTAAATATTCCTTTTGATCAGATGTAATCCGCTCTCGTTACAAGTTTCATAAATCCTCAAATCCAAAAACCCTCATCCTGATAAATTCCAGTTTGATCTTAACAGAACCATTTTTCCAACCACATTTTTCAATAGAATTAATCATAATTTGCAAAGCACCCAGGGTAAGAATATTAAGGTCATCAAATTCGAAAATTATCTAATGAAGATACAAACACGAGAACGATTCGAAACTATTTAAATGACAAAATGGATCGCTTTACTTTTAGAAAAAGAGATGTTAATGTCATAACTTCCAGTTAAGATGACAAAGTGCCAAACCACTTCTGAAATACAAAAACAGGGAGGATAGAAAGACAGGGATGATTCGAGACGAACAAGAAAGCAAAAATGTTTCGCTATTACATTTAAGAAAAAATGTGTTGTGATGTTAATGACATACTCAACACTAAAGTTGACAAGTGCCAAATCACATGTGACAGATCTAGTGAGAATAAACAGGTCAGTATGATTGTGATGGTTAAACTTCAGATTTTTGCTACTATTCTTAAGCAAAAGGTATTAATGTAGTAACTACTTCTAAAGATGACCAAAAATCTAAACACTTTTGAAAACCAAAACAAGAAGGATATGAAGACCGGTTCGATTCGAAACAATCACGGTGCAAAAAGTGTTGCTGTCACTTTTTAAAAAAGATATATTAATGAAATACACATCACTGAAGTTGACGATGTTCCAAAACATGACATCCTGCTTATGACAGAGTCAAAACAAGGAAAAAGTAAGACCAGGATGATTCGAGAGGATAAAGAGGCAAAAATGTTGTTATCGCTATTAAAAGAGGTTAAAATGTATTTTTAAAGCGTTGGAAACCAGTCCGAATAGCAAATTTATAAATTTGTTATCTAAACGTTTTTTCTCTATTCCGATACACTTTTTAATCACATGTTGCAACGTTAAACAGTTTCAAGAGCTATTTACACAGTGGACATTGTTTTAAATATATTATAATGCCGTGCAAACTTTCAGAAATCCTTCTTTTAATTTTTATTTTCAACGAGTACTGTTCCCAGTTTTGTGTGAAAAGTAAGTCACTCACTTATTATACTTTGTTACTTAAAAGTGTCTTCCTGATAGCTTGTAAATTGTAACCTTACGCAAGTTTTTGTCATTGTGTGCGATTCCCGATTCGGGAGTATTATGGATAATTTTCTTTCTAGGCGCTAATTTGCCAAATTATGTTTGTGTTTATTATGGAAATTAAACAAGTTCCGGGGACTGTGGTAGCCGAGTAGCTTCGCCGTTAGACTCTCGGACAAGGGTTCGAGTCCCACCGTCGCCACTGGGATTTCTGACCATGACCCCTGCCACAAAAAATATTGTGATCATTCAGTATTCTGGTTAATATGCAGAACATAAAGCCATACATTTATTTTTTCTTGTTCCTCACATTTTACCATCACTTTTTTTCCCTTTCCTAAGCTATTTCAAAAGATTATCTAACCTAAGTTTGGCGGGTCTCATGAGTTTTCGACATACTACTCACCCCTACAACTACACTAAAATTATATACGGCCTAAACCTACGACTGAGAGCCCGGCAAGGCAATTTTCAGCTTGACACCCTCCCTTCATTCATGCTAATAAATACATTCACACACAATAAAAATCATGCAACTATCCTAAGTTAACTGGTTTGACAGGGTACTCGAGATTCCACACAGACCGAGTCATTACACTTGACCATTCACGCAAATAAATACATTCACACAATTGAGCAATCTCAAGGATTTTTGATATTGTGACTACCTCTTCTATCACACTGCAATTATATACAACTAAATAGCCCAGATTTCTTTGATGTGTTTGTGAGTACTCGAAATCCCAACACAAACGCGGCCAAAAATAATTCACTGAGACGCAAAAAAAAAAAAAATGGCCAACCTCGTTTATTTTTTAAGTAAATACTTGCAATCGTCATAATTTGTATTTTCTGTTCTTTAATGGATGATTTTAAAGAAAAATATAAGGTATAGCTAAATAAAAAAATTATACTGTGTAAAACAATTTTTCCAAAAATGTTGTTATGGAAACAACGAAGAAAATATTCGATTCAGTAAGAAGTATTTCCTCTTCTTGCGTTGATCATGATGTGGCATCGATGTTATGATGTTTTGAATGAAGTGCTATGGAATATTTTCATAATCCTCCACCAGCGCCATTCTTAATTCCTGCAAATTCTCTGGCATCATTGGGCGTCTTTTTACCAACTTTCATCATTTGATCCCAAAGGTCACTCCAGATATTGAATTGAGACCCGTTCCAAGTAGTCACCAACGGTCCTAGTTGTGTGCCGCATTACAATGTCAAATAAAACCGTCGCCAATTAGTGGCATATAAGGAACAACTACTTCTTATAATTCTTCAATGTCGTCGCGCAGCTGTTAGGAAACCCCCGATGAAGATCAAGTTTGTGCGACTCCTCGACTATAGCCTGCACAAACCATAACACCAACACCTCCATAGCTTCTCCGGAGTGAAAATGTTGCGGGGATCGCTCTCCTGTTCTTTTCCAAACCTTCTCTCGGCTGTCGGAAGACCTCAAACAAAACCTTAATTCATAAGTCCAATTGTCCTCAAATCGCATCCCATAGGGTAACCTTCCCTATGGACCTAGGCAAGCCCTACCATCAGCTCGGATGCCTTGGGGTAACCAATGATGGAGGCAAAATTTCCCCTTACTAAATTCACTAGTTTTGTGGTCCGCTTGACCAATTAATATCTTACAATTAATTAAGGATTTCAGTTGAGATAAAAAAGTCAATGGCACGAGCGGGATTCGAACCCACGATCTTCGGCTTGATACGCCTCTGCTCTACCAGTTGAGCTATCGTGACCTCGATCCACTTGGACACCAACCTCCCATCTCAACCACACTTCGAATCCCGCTCGTGCCATTGACTTTTTTATCTCAACTGAAAACCTTAATTAATTGTAAGATATTCCCCCTTTCCTTTTCCTTCCCCTCCCCCTTCTGCTTTGGCAGAGGCTTCCTGGGTTACTGAACCCGCACCCCTCAGGCAATGGATGCATCACAAGGGGATTCGTATGAATATTCGGATGGACGATCAGTCCCCCTTTAAAAATAATACTGAACCACGGGAGTAGAGTATCCAAGCGACTCTAATTGAGGTTAACGCGTGGTGGTCGTGGTTTGAAACAAATTGTACCTTAGATGGAGGATACCGGCCAACCGGTGCCGGAGATAGAGTGCCTTCTCCGGGGATGGTGAAAGGCACGGCTGAAAGGCTGTGCCGAAACCAAAAAACTGCCTTTTTCAAGCCACATGTATGGATTTCCATGGCACTTTTTGGTTAGCCTTGCACCACCTGCTAGCCAAGGAATGTGACAAGTCCATGCATGTAAAATCTTCCTGGTGTTCTCCTTGAAAACACGGGGCGTTTGAGAAGTCCCCTCGGGGATAAGTCCGGACGTTAAAGTTCCTCATGGGTCTCAACATCCATGAGTAAAGATGGGAACATCTGTCCTCAAATCAATTGATGTTATTTTCTTGCGAACTTGACCCAGCTGTTCTGTGCCTTGACTAAAGGTTCGGATCAGTGACAGGTCTTCTCGCACCGGCTTCTAACGTCTTCGCCTTAGAGTGCGTAAACTGACACCAGCATTTCTAAGTTGTTGAAGACGTTGATTGATCTCAACAGTGGTAAAATGTCGATTACGGACTACATTCGAAACAATAAAACAATCATCTCTGAGTTAGTTGACAACCTGATCCGTGCCTTCTTGAGTACCCCCAGTGATCATTCGTACAGTTGTTCTGGCAATTTTAACCATCTCGGCCACATACGCTTGATTTCTTCCATCTTCCAACCATACTATCCATAAATTTAAAAAAAATTGAACTTCAAAATGGTACAAATTAAAAAATCAAACCACCGGAACATTAAAACCAAAAACCAACTAAGAAGAAGCTATTCAAAGATTTATTTACAAAATCCAATTGTAAACACAAGTGGGAGATTTTATCTGTGTTTTATTTACATCTAATCCTTTAAAACGGACCAGATATTGTTGTTAAATTATCATTGGAGGATTGTCTAAGAGATAATTAAAAATATTAAAGGTGGTCTCTTTTTTTGCCACTCAGTTAACACTAATTCCCTTAGATTAAGAATATTATTTCAACCCATATTTCAATTTTTTATTTTAACTATTACTGTACCTTAGAAGTTTAAAATCTATTCCAAATGTCTTTGACTTATTCCATCACCCCATGTAAATGCTATTTTGGATAAATGCGTTATACTTAATTTCGACGGTTAAATCCAGTTAAACATAATTATCTTGGGTTCACTATTATGTGGATTTTTTCCAGTCAAAGTACTTAATTTATTTTACATTATATTGAAAAAGTACACTTATTTCTGAGTATTCAAAATGTCTAAGTTCTACTAAGTTCTAATTGCTTGTAATTGAAATAAAAATTGACCTTTGGCTGAAAAAACTCCATAAATTAGTAATTGAAATTTCAATTGCAGCGGCTAAACAACACCAATTAAATTTTATTGTTCTGGTTTTTAGTGCTGATATATTATCATTTGAAAATAGACAAGACACAGTCAGTGCAAGATGCCATGATTGCGTTCCATTTGTACACTGCGTTTTTTTGTTTGTCTGTTGTTCTAGTGGACCTAATCGCAAATTCCAGGTTGGGCGAATTCTGGTAAGGAATGAAAATTTTGCTTTTCGTATGTGTATATATATAACCGTAAGATTCTAATAGCTAATTATACTACTAAAAAACCACCAACAAACGAAAGATATTCAAAACGGGTGATAAAAATTTTCAGGACTATAGCCGTTCTGAGTTTAGTAAGTGTGACAGGATATGTGGCTTTGTTCGCCGAAGATATATTGATTGACAGCGATTAGTAAGCAATGATTTCCCAAGGATCGAATAAATAAAAAAATAAAGTAAAAGTGTTCACTGCTTTTAGCACGTGGTGGGTTTGTTTGCTGATTGTGCTCGCAGTAACGACGGGAGGCAATTTCACGTGTGTCAAGTTCATGTGCTACTCCCAGTACAGCATGCCAGATGAAAAGGATAGATACAAAAGGATGCTGTTCACGATCGTAGTTTTCAGGTGCTTAGGAGAGCTGTACGGAAGTCTGTCGATATCCTTATTTTCGGATGTATCGGATCCTGGGAGTAAATTGAATAAGACGGTGTTCATAGTCGTTCATAAAGTCATCGGCACGGGTGAGAACAATATAACAATTTGTTATTAATTTTTTTTAAATATTGTCTTTTCCCAACTAGTGTTTATTCTCAGCGGTTACCCAGTATACAGACGGAGAGAAATCAAGAGAAATTACCTGTACAACTTCGTTACCGCCTCTTTTGTAAGGATCCCAAATAAGTTTTGATAAATTTTGAACAAGGTTAGAATAAATTATAATTTTAGCACGCCTTGAAGAGGAGGAGGCTCTCTCTGAATATGGACAATGGAGATGATCAGGATAGACGGAAAAATGAAATCATAAACAAAAGCGATTACGAAAAAATCAAAATGATCTATCACGTTCTGCCTTTGTACGCACCCATTGTGGTCATTTTGGCTTTTAAGGAACAGAAGGTAATTCAAGCTGTATTGGATAAGTTGGTCATCCATCATTTTTGATCGGCCAATCCTTGCTGCGTTGGTCTGTCAGTCGCTTTACAGCAATTTGCCATCTTCAATGGTAGTAATGCCAAACAAAGACAAACCCAGCGTAATTCTTCATTCATCACCCTGACTATTTGAATGTAGTCAAACTGTCATAGACACAGATACACACTTATTTCATAGAGGCTCAATTCAGGCCTCCGACAAGCCTAATGCCAATTTTAGAATTTTAAAAAATTCCTTACTTTTTATTACGTGACGAAAGTCCCTGGTATGATATGGTGATAAGGATACTAGGAAGCTGGGTTTGTGCTCCCCAGGTACTGCAGCCTTCTGGCTTATTGTGCCTTCCTAGTTCCTTAGTTCAGTGCAATAGACTACTTAGAAGTATCAGGCCATTGACTGTCGCTGCTACAATTTCATTCCCTAAGTTTTTTCCTGTTAGGTTGAATGTGTGGTGATTAGTGACCGTTAATCGATAATTATTCAGAAATCGTGAGATGCGGTATGGTATGATGTAGGTTTCAGAAAAAAATTTTCTTTATCGTGCCAACGTTTCGATCTTTATTGAGATCATCTTCAGGGCTCAAAGTGTTTGTCTTCTGTGCAATTGTGCCATTCTTGCGTGTCGTGTTGAGAGTGCCAGTGCGATATTCATATTTCATATTCGATATATCGCACTGGCACTCTCAACACGACACGCAAGAATGCACAATTACACAGAAGACAAACACTTTGAGCCCTGAAGATGATCTCAATAAAGATCGAAACGTTGGAACGATAAAGAAAATGTTTTTCTGAAGCCTACATCATACTAGACCGCAACTCACGATTTCTGAATAATTATAGTTAGGTTGAATCTCCATTAAGCTGTTGCTTAGCATTTGAAGATGATATGGGTGGCTGTTTCCTCCTCCTCATTATATAATCTGGAGATGGGTTCATCGTTATATATGCCCATGTTGTGGAGATGTTTTCTCAGATACCAGTGACCGACCGGTTAGTAGTCCTATCACTCCTCTGAGTTTAGCCCTCTCCAGTTGCGGCAGTGATTTTGCCAATCTTGGTGAGGGTTGTTTCTTCATAAGTTTACTATGTCTAGCACCGCTAGAGTTTATCCATTTCTCCTTTTGTTTTGTTTGGAGGATTCTATATTTGTTTTCCAAAGTCCCTGACAATCAATGTGGTTTACACAACTGCCACTCAACTACCCCACGTGTCAACCTGTCATAGAGATCTCATCCTCCCTTGAGTTGGGGCAGTAATGTCTGGGACATTTCTTGATGTAAGCAAAGCTTTTGATAGTTTGGCACCCAGGTTTGCTTTTCATGCACATGGGCATCATTTTGCTCCACGTACTCTCATACTTAACCGGTTTCTCCCACCTGAAGGCCATTCCTTCCCGTCATATTTCCCAATCCAAGCTGGTGTTCCTCAGGGGAGCATTCTAGCCCCGAACAGGTGTGCACAAATGACTTCCTCAAACTGACCTTCGCAGACGATACAGCAAACCTCGAAAGTAACTCTGATCCTGTCATTTCCACTCGACACTTTCAACAATACCAGAGATTTGATAAACAAATTTCACAGACAAATCCATCACATTAATTTCACTCTCTGTAAAAAAAGATTTCTCCCCTAGTTTACTACAATATTCCCCTCCTAATTGCTTACCTAGTTACCTACTTCTGTACATCGACAAAAGTTTGAGGTGGAATCCCAACAGACGAAAACGCTGACTTCTTGATAAACGCACTTATTTACCTCTTAAAAATAAAAGAGTGCCTTTAACAGAACAGTAATCCGTCGGACTTCGGTCTGGAAGTGTGAGGTTCAGTCAAACATTTCAACATCCACCTCATCCAAACTGCCCAATCCCCCAATTAACTCGTCACATCATGGCACAAAACATTATAGTGGATGAACAGCATGGTTTTATCTACCTCCATTAGCTCGCGTACATGGTCGATCCCGTTACTAAAATGTATAATCACAAGAAGCACATAAGTCTAGTTCTGCTCTACTTAGAAAAAGCATTCGACACAGTATGGCAGGGCGGGATTGCATACACGTTGATTGACATGTACTTTCCAGGGTATATTATCAAAATAATTTCCTTTTAAATGAAATCCCGCTATAAATGTGTCCATATAAACAACATTCTCAAACCGTTTCCCCAACTGTCGTTGGATTTCCCCAGGGTTCTATCCTTGGACCAATACTTTTCCTCCTATTCATAAATCCTCTAACTCGGTTAAAAAATTACCAAATTGCACTTTATGCAGATGATATAGCGACATTACAGTTCTGCTTGGAGACCTGAAACAATTGTCAGGAGATTAACTGAGGCTGCAAAAAGTCCCGTTTCTGTAATCGACAGAAGTTCAATTTTGACCCTTCAGGTCGAATCTTCAGGGAGAATGTATCAATTATGGTTTTTCGATTGCTTGAGTTGAAAAAAGGAGTAATTTTGGACAGGAAGCTTAACTCCAACTAGTTAGTTGGAAAACAACTTACTGTGAGTAGGAACTATCTTAAAAAAAAAAAAAAAGATTGACCACCGCACTCACTCCATCATTCATCATTTCTAGGAAGCTTAACTTTCTCTAGTCACGTAAATGAGATTATTAAAACTGGAAAAGGAGGCTATCTTCTTCTCCCTTTTGTCTCGCAACACAAAACTAAACGTTAAAAATAAAATCCTTCGCAAACTTGCGATAAAGCACGTTTGTATGCTTGACCTGCTTGTAACTACACGTACCAGTCACAAATTAGGCGAATATACAATGCACAGCAAATTACGTTTTTTGTTACTAATTACCTATTCGAAACGACGGTCAAGAATTAGCCTCCTCCATGATAGCCCAGGATTGGGTTTTAGGAACTACCCACACTTACCTCCATATTTCTTTTGCCCAAAATGTAATCCGCTCCCGTTACCGCATATTTCATAAAACCTTCTCAACGACCGTAAGTCCTCAAATCCAAAACCCACAACCGACCGAATATCGTCAAAATCCAGTGACAGTAGTGATAGTGTAACTAGTAGGCCTTAATTAAATAGACAACCTAGTCTTAGCAGAGTTCTTGTATTTATGTACATATATCCTTTTTATCATTGTAATCTTACCTAATTGATGGTAGTTGAAATAATAAGCAAATAAAAAAATAGTTAAGATAATTTTTTAAATAAGACAGTGTATTGTGTAAAAGAGAAGAATGATTTTTTTTTTAGTTTACCACGTTTGTCTACCAGACTGAAGCCATGTCAAAAACCATCGCTGAAGGTGTGACCATACACCCTTTGACCATACTGTCGTTCTTCCCGTTTTTTACTTTACTGGTAGTTTTAATTTTTCACGGGATAGCGATACCTATGGCCCTTAGGTATGGTTACAACTTCGGGGCTTCTCATGCAAGGACGTTGTTGGCTTTTTCCTGTTTGGCGATTTCCTTCGCGGCGGCGTCTATCGTCGAAATCCAAATTGAAGTATGCAGCATACGAGATCTTTTTGTTTTTGTTTTTTCACGCCTTTTCTTTCGCAGGAAAACCGCCCGCCGATGTCGAAAACCGGAATCGGAATTCTCCTTATATACAATGCGTTACCGTGTCAAATAAATATCGGGTTCGAAGGTGGCCTGGGCACGCTGAATCCTGTAGAACCGTTCTCTTTTCAGCACAGCTTTCAACAGCACGTTCAAAACGAACTTTTGAGGGTGATGACTGTGCGATCGACCTGCTTTGATGAAAAAATACGAGAGTCTTTCAACATAAAACTTTCGGAATTTAAAGTATGCACTTTTCAATCCAGTCTTCGATAAACTTCGGTTCTTTTTTAATTGTATATACATTATAGAGTTATACCTACTGCCTCTTCTACAACAGGACCGGAGTGGGTAAAATTTACCATGTTGAACTGACGCAGCCAAACACGAATTTTGGTATCGACGCCAAACCGTGGCTTAGGTATTAAAAATATTTTTTTTCACATATAAAGTGTGCGAAGCATGTGTATTAAGACCGTCACCGTTTGAACAAATGAAAAAGTAACATGTGACTATTAGGTAGTGAACAGGCGGTTGAACAACTGTAAATCAGCAGTTTCGATATATATTTATTTGTGTCGATAATTAAAATTAGTCAATTTATATATGCATATATAAATATTGTGAATAATTTTAGAACCGGAAAACTAATTTGGTCATCGCGAACCTTCTCATTATCTTATGTTCGTCTTTCCTTTTTCAATTTTATCCTTACTAATTCATTTTTCTGACGCGTAGCGTATTATAAAGGGTCCCAGTTCTGACGAAACTCAGAGAATCGATTCTACTCTTCTTTTGGAGCAAAAAATGCTCAGGAGAAAATTTTCGGAAAGTTCTCTATTTTGAAGATATTCGTCAATTTAGGTTTTTTCAACTTTTCACTACCTTACCACATAAAAACGGTTACAACTTCCAAAATGTTGAGACTACAACAAATCCAATTACACCATTTGAAAGAACGCTAAATTTGCTGTAAGATACTTCTTTGCAATAATATAAAATGTTAGCCAATATCAGTTGGAACATGTCAAAATTGCAAAATCTAAAATTCCACGTTCTACTGAGGTTACAAAAAAATACCTACAAATTGTCAAATTTTACAAAAACTTCTTCATCTAATATGCTTAAAATTTATCTTAGCTCATGTTTTCGATCATTCAATTGTTATTTTTCAACTCTACTAGAACGTTATTTAAAAACTTGGATATATCAACGTAAAGCATATTAGATGAAGAAGTTTTTGTAAAATTTGACAAGTTGTAGGTATTTTTTTGTAACCTCAGTAGAACGTGCAATCATGGCCAAAATTTTAAATTTTGTAATTTTGACACGTTCCAACTCATATTGGCTAACATTTTATGTCATTCAGATTATTGCAAAGAAGTATCTTACAGCAAATTTAGCGTTCTTTCAAATGGTGTAATTAGATTTGTTGTAGTCTCAACATTTTGGAAGTCGTAAGCGTTTTTATGTGGTAAGGTAGTGAAAAGTTGAAAAAACCTAAATTGACGAATATCTTCAAAATAGAGAACTTTCCGAAAATTTTTTCCTGAGCAATTTTTGCTCCAAACGAAGAGTAGAATCGATTCCCTGAGTTTCGTCAGAAGGAACTGGAACACCCTGTATACAAGTCTAGAAGTTCTTCATATGGACCGATTCTCTAATTTCCCTATCCTATTGCCAGCCTCTTTCGGCCAGGGTAAAATATACATATAATAAACAAAAAATAATTTATGGATATAAGAAAATTTAAACATGGTAGTCTGATTATCATTCATATTGCCCCAGAGTTCTTAAGAGTAGGTGAGGAAGAAGCCATTCCATTCACGCTATTAAATTACATTCAGAAACCAGACTTCATTCACACTACCCCAGAGGACTCAGCTGTCCTTGGGATAATTGAGAAAGAAGCCACGTTATCCACGTTAATAAATTACATACACATATCAGGATTCATTGACACTGCTCAGAAGAAATACATATCGCGCTAATAAATTACATTCGCACACCAGCCTTCTTTCACACTGCCCCAGAGTACACGATATTCCTCGAGGTAATCGGGGAAGATGCTTCCATTCGCGCTAATAAATTACATTACTTTCCAGATTTCATTCCCACTGCCCAGAGTACTCCATATTCCTAGGGTCTCTTCTTCCATGCTAATGACATTGACACTCCTGAATTCTTTCACACTGCCCAGTGTTAACGATATTCCTTGTGATGATTGAGGAAGATGGTTCCATTCACGCTAATAAATTACATTCACACACCTGAATTCATTCATACTGACTAGGGTACGCGATTTTCCTTGGTATATGGAAAAGAAGCCTTTATCGTGCAAATAAATTACATTGCCAAAAGTACACGATATTCCTCGGGATATATGGGGAAGAAACTTCTGTCGCGCTAATAAATTAATTCGCACTCCAGACTTCATTCACACTGCCCAGTGTTAACGATATTCCTCGAGATAATTGGAGAAGATGCCTCCATTCACGCTAATAAATTACACTGACACCCCAGACTTCATTCATACTGACTAGGGTACGCGATTTTCCTTGGTATATGGAAAAGAAGCCTTTATCGTGCAAATAAATTACATTCACAACCACACTTCTTTCACACTGCCCCAGAGTACACGATATTCCTCGAGGTAATCGAGAAAGATGCTTCCATTCACGCTAATAAATTACATTCACTTACCAGACTTCTTTCACACTGCCCCAGAGTGCACTGTATTCCTAGGGTCTCTTCTTCCATGCAAATAAATTACATTGACACACCTGAGTTCTTTCACACTGCCCAGAGTTAATGATATTCCTTGAGGTAATTGAGAAAGATGATTCCATTCGCGCTAATAAATTATATTCACACATTCATTCATATTGTGCAGAATACTCCTTTTTATTCGGGGTTTCTCCTTCCTTATTAATAAATTACATTGATACAAATACGACTATTTCTCATTTAAGAAAGTGCATACAGTCATACAATACTTATCCCATTCATTCTTGTCCAAATACTCGATATTCCTCGGGGATCCAACAATCTGACCCCTCATTCTTGCTAATAAATACATCATTCGTATATAACAAACATAACAATTAAAAATATTTATGGCCTATCTGTGCCCGCTGTAGAATCTTTCTTTGCACAATTAATTCCATACAAACTGTTATCAGAATTAAATAAAAATGACAACAAAATACTTTACCTAATAAAAATTTCTGACTTGTACACTATTGTTTCTTTGTATGAGCCCAGTTTTAATTTTTTTACAAGAACAGTTGATTGTAAGGTTTTAACGGGAAAATAAATTTTCCATGGAAAGATTGTCCATATTTTAGCTGGAGCTTTGTTGACACGGTTGGTGTTGTTAATGCTTAATGTCAATTATTTTGTTTATTATTCTATCAGCAAAAAGTTATATATAGTTCACCTAATTATCCTGTATAAATTTTCATTTTTTGGGTCAATATACTAAATGAATAAGAACAAGGAAGACAAGTAACTACAAAGTTGATTCAAATCCGTTGAAACATACGTCCAAATTTTTTGCCATTCTATTTTATAGCATATGGTTGAGATTGTACCGCTATCAGGCTACTGGCCTCATTTAAACAGGACGCTCCATTACCAGATGATGTAGAGTTAACATTATGTCCCTTACAACGCTTCCTTGTGGTAAACCAATAATAAAATGTCACAAGTTCATGTGCTTCTGTTCACATTTAACACATGATTAAACTTTTTTAAATGTAAACTTAAATTAAAATTTGACTCTAATTACAAATTATTTATTTAATAAACCACTCTGTCACCTAATGAATATAAAATACAAATTAAACTAGCTAGCTTGACAAATTTTCTGTCGCCTGAAATCTAGCAACGTTGATAATTGGCCCTCAGAGGATCTGAATCAAAGTAGACTCGGTATACTAAGAATAGGCCATACTAGGTTGGCACACAGACACTTTTAGGACAAAGCCAGTTTTCGGCAGGTAGAGAAAGGTTGCTTGATGCGCATCACTTAATTGAAGAGCTCTTTGGCTCTGTACAGAGAGCAAGTAGGAATGCCATCCATGAGGTTTGCGCATGACCATGGCATGAATCTTTTGGTCCCCTGTACCTTTTTTGGAGGAAACAGCCGACAAACAGTGTTAGCCGACTTGTATTTGCCGCTAGCTATTCTGGGTTCGAATCCCAGCATAACCCATGCCTTTTTAGCTTTTTAATTGACATCGGTATGAAAATGTATTGTAAAGCGGTTTGACCTCTCTTCCTCAACTCCTCTTGGACGTTAAGTCCTCTTATTAGAAGTGAATTTACTTACTTTACAGAAATTACTTTACTTATATAGTACTTCGTAGATTTTGTTTTCTTTTTTTTTATTGAGAGTGAATGAATTTATTATAGTTGATGTGCAGTGATAGGGTTGATGGTGGAATGTTGAGTACCCCACTCAATAGATTAGTTATATAATATGTGTGAATGGTGATGGAGGAATATCTCTATACTCTACTCTATTTACTTACGGATCGAAATCCACCATCAAAAAAGACATTTTACAATAACAAAAAATATAAATCATATATGTAAAAATACAAATAATATATATAAAAAGAATAAGGAAGTAAATACATGGTAATAATATAAATGGTAAATATAAATGATAAATAAAAAAATACAATTAAAGAGTAAAAACTGAACAACATAAATGAAAGACATAATTACTAACCAAATAAGGCAGAGGAAACAAAATAAAGCTGAAAGACAATTGAAACTACAATAATTAGTTACATATTTAATGAAAATAATGCTCTTTGTAAATATATAATAAGACTAGAGTGCGAGAATTAGTCGAACCAGTAAATGAAATAAATTGTAATAATTTTGTACAGTATGAAATATAAAAGCATTCAACTAAGGTTGTAGGATAAGGTTTTTCACAGATTGCACAGAACTATTGAAGAAGTCAATGCTATTGCAGATGTTGTTACTCTTGATCATCATTCTGTGTAGAGGAGAAGAGAGCATGTAGTTAGAGCTTTGGAATTCAATATAAAATAATTTATAGGCTTTAAGGACTATCAATGAGATTGTTTAATAATTTAAATACAAAAACAATATCAAAGTAATCTCTTCTTAGTGCCAGTTCGAAAAGTTTAAATTCAGAGCGGATTCCAGGGTAGGCAGAATTCGGAGGAAGATTGAGTTTGTAGGAAAGTTTTTTTTTAAATTTGTTTTGTACAGATTGAAGAATTTTTTGATAATTTAGATAGAATGGGTTCCAAACAGGTGTAGGATATTCTAGTATGGGTTGTACAAAAGCTTTATAAAGATGGACAAAACATAGAGGATTTTTAAATTCATAGGTGTTCCGGATGATGAAACCTAGCATCTTCATAGATCTATTTTTTATTGAAGAAATATGTTCTTTAAACTTGAGCTTTTGATCAAAAAGTACACCAAGATCCTTTACGACCTCAACTCGTGTTAAAAGAGCATCATGGAGAGTATAGAGATAAATAAAAGGTTGTTTCTTATGAGAGAATGTAATTGTGTAGCATTTGGAAACATTAAGAGCAAGTTTGTTATTAGAGCACCAGGTTAGCACATTATTGATACAATTTTGTAATTGTAAGCAATCAGAAGAAGTGATTATGGAATAGATTTTCAGATCATCAGCAAATAATAAAAATTGAGCAGAAGTGAGAGCAAGATGGATATCATTAATAAATAAGAGTAATAAATAATAAATAATCGTCTATACTTGAGTGAATGGTTAAACAAAGGAAAGGAAGTATTTAAGAAGAAATGAGAGTATGGGGTGTGCCTAGGTATAACAACTGTATATATTAGGGCCTAATTTACCTAGCTGTAGACCACTGGAGACCTAGGTCTGACCAAAACACTGAAGTGGGTGAAGATCAATTTTTTATAAGCTGTTGTGTGTTTGTATAAATCTAAGATGAATAATACAGCTGACTTTTACTGATCTGAAATCCTGGAAATTTAAAACTTAGATATATTTTTCCAACTATCAGAACATTAAAACAAGGACACAAGAAGCAGACACAAAACGGTTTACTTTTTATTAGAGATTGTACAATTTTTAGGACTTTTACTTTATATACATATTTTTGTGTTGATCTAATTGAATTTATTTGTACTTTTTAGGATCATATATCAAATGGTGTGGCCTACAAAGTTCACACTATCAGGCAGATTAAAGCTTTCTTTCAATCTTGACCCTTTTCACCATGAAATAGAGCCCAGAGCCATTCATGATTTTTCTGAAAGGTGTGTAGAACAAGAATATTCTTTTGTCAATTTTTAAATTAAAACTGAACAACTCAGGTACAATCTGTTTCTCAATGAGAGTTTGGTACTTTCCGATCTGTATTTTGCTTCTGGAACTTTTTACACAATATTGATTGTCCATTTGGAAAACGAAGGCGTAAGGTTTAAATTTGAAGAGCAGATTATTAATTTGTAACTTAATGTAATTATAAACTGACATATTTTTTTTACACATTTAGATGTTCACACATGTTTTAACGACATCTAGCCCCAAAGAGGAAAATATACTTTATCTTATTCCACAAATATTTTTCATGTCCGTGATGGATGGTTTAGTTTTAGCACCTGGTTTTATCTATAATAAATCTAAGGTAAGTTTAATTTGTTTTTACACATTAGACATTAATACATGCAAACCAACTTGCTCCAATTGAGAAAATGTCAAATGTTATGTTCTTTGGTTCTAAAAACTTCAACGAAAACAAACTTAGATTATTTAAGTTTTTTAATTTTTTTAAACTCAAACTTGTACCAATAATAATATTTTTTGTAGCTTTATCTTTTCTGATCATCCTGATGTCTGCCTAGGTTGACTTGCCTTTGTTCACAAACCCACCACTGAAGACTACACCAGTAAAAAAAGGCAAATTAGAATGATTGGAAATGATCAAGCTACATGTTTATCACCTCAAAACTGTATCTCTCGATTTAGTATATTTTTATTTGTTGTCAATATGTTATTTTTTGATCGCCTATAATTCTTTGCAGAGAAAAACACAATTTTTAAAAAACACTGGTAGCATGAATTAAATTTTCCAATAGAATATCTTACTTTTTCTAGAAACCAAATATTCTTCAGCACAAAGAACTATCTAGAAATTTAAAAGAACAAATTATATTAACACGTTGTTTTCAATTAGGTCCCGCTAAAGTGGACTGAGGTGATGATTACCTTGTGGTTCATTTCCGGTTTTATTGGAAATTGTTTGATAGCTGTTTTTATAAAATATGTGTTCGGAACTAGACAGGTACTTTTAATTAAACAAAGTGAATGTTGTTGTGTGTCCAGTTTGTGACATATTACAAAAACCCTTTTTCATTTGCAGTTATATTCTTTAGTAGCGGCAGTCATAAGTATTTCTTTGAGCATTTCAATTTTGGTGGCGATGACGATGACATATTACAAAGAAAATTATCCTGATAAAGTGAAAAAAAATAGTGCTCATCTTTATCTGCAAGTTGGAGACTAGACTCTCAAAAGAAAACAAAAGTGGCTTCCATTCTAAAGTTGTGAGTTTAAAAACTTTCATCATAATAGGAAAATAGTCATTTATTTTTAAATTTAATATATAGGTAACTGTAAAACCTTTTTGGGGAACCATTTGGTTATACAACTACTGCGACAGGTAAAACAATAAAACTAGTTTTATCTTATAATTTCAAGATATTGTTTTTATTTTAGGTAAACTGTCTCCAGTGCCAGTTCTGCTCGTTGAATCTATAAATTATTTCAACGGAACGAAAGAATGACCAAATAGTCATTTCAAAACCCAGCTTGACAAGGATGACAAACTCCAAAAAGAATAACTTAATAATTTTAAAATTTATACAACTTAAGAATCTTCCCATATAGGCAAGATTGAATTTTTTTTAGCTGTGTACATAGTGAATTGAATAGTAGTATTACAATTCAGAAAATTTGTATGTACTTCTTAACATAAATATACTTTCAACAGTACAGTAAATCATTACTATTAAATATGTGCAATTGTTAATATAATTAAAAATAATTAATTTTAAAAAGTTAATATAGTTAAACCTAGCAACTGCGACCATTATATTATGCATTCTCCATCATTGTTTAAAGCTCTTCATTTTTATCCAGCTTTGTTAAGGACTCCTGAGTGTATCCTGAGGAGTTTTTCCTCTCGCACAGGTAGGAATCTCGGCCTTTTACCGACAGAGGATAAGCTACGCTTTTCTTCTTTTTCCAGGAAATGTCTTCACAAGCTTGTTTCTGCTCCCCTGGGTCTGCAGTGCCCACTTAGCAATTAGCATCCTTAACTCTAGTTTCAATCTTAGTGACCCAAAAAAGTCAAAGTCAGTCTTGATTCCTTGTTATCAGCAAGGAACTACTTAAGAAAGTATTTACTGCCCAGGGTTGCAAACTCTCATTGTTATACATGGTACAAAGAATTCAACCTAAATGATGTGTGCAAGGTTTGTGGGTAAAAATAAGGAAAATTTGAAAACAAGCTCTATTAGATGGTTAGTAAAGCTAAGGGAAGACATACCGATTTTGAATTTTAAACCCTACAAGCTTTTAGAACGGTAAGATTATATTACTTAATCTGAAAGCTAGAGAAGACACTTTTCACTTCATTGCGATTTGCCCTATCCTTTCCAAATACAAAAGGACATTCTTTGGACGCGGTGTTTGTCAAGACAGGATTTTATAAATTTCCTAGATAGATTCAATTCGGGTGCACTGGTGGAGAATACACCAAAACAATTTGGATTTACAGAAAAAATCTTTTCATGATTTTAATTTTAAGAAAAGCAGAGATATTTTTACACTTTTTTCATTGTATCGTATGTATATAATTGGATATATAAGTAGACCTACTTCATTTATTTTTGGATAGATTTTTCTGTCAATTTTTTTTCTTGTTCTATCATTTATTGCATGTGTATATGTATGTGTAATTCTATATATTATGTATAAATGAATGCATTTGCTAAGGCCATCTTCTGGCAGATGGGATTTCCAAGCAGTTTTGTTTGTATTTCTTTTCATTTCTTATTATTAAATGTAACTTTATAAATATATAAAATAAACTTTATTTATTACAATTAAGGTTTTTAGTTGAGATGAAAAAAAGTTAATGGCACGAGCGGGATTCGAACCCACGATCTTCAGCTAGATACGTTGCTGCTCTACCACTTGAGCTATCGTGACCTCGATCCACTCGGACATCAACTTCCTATCTCAACCCCACCTTATGAGTTTTCTCTCCTTTTTGCCATTTTTCAAATGTCATGTAATCAGATTGGATTCTCGATGACAAATGAAATGGCACCGGAGAGCTTTAGTGAAGTGTACTTCATTTTAATCATTAAATTCACTAATTTCGTGGTCCGCTTGACCAATTAATACATTACAATTAATTAAGGTTTTTAGTTGAGATGAAAAAAAGTTAATGGCACGAGCGAAAAATGGCAAAAAGGAGAGAAAACTCATAAGGATGACAAATCAATCATAGGAAATTGATGTCCGAGTGGATCGAGGCCACGTAGCTCAAGTGGTAGAGCAGCGGCGTATCTAGCCGAAGATCGTGGGTTCGAATCCCGCTCGTGCCATTAACTTTTTTTCATCTCAACTAAAAACCTTAATTAATTGTAATGTATTAATTGGTCAAGCAGACCACGGAATTAGTGAATTTATTTATTACTTGTAAATAGGAAAGAATTTATTGAAGGAGAGTGAGTGTTCGCCTAGCTTTAAAAGCTGTATGCGTTAGGGTCTGATATATATATATAATGTTTGTATGTGCATGTTCAGGGTTTTAACTTCTGCCCCCCCCCTACTTTTGATAAACAAAATCTCCAATTTCTTCAATCAAACGTCAATTTATTTATAATTTTAATTGATAGTAAAACTTGTTCGTGGAAAAATTTCAGAATTTTCCTAAAATAACATTAACAGGAAGCTCTAGCTGTGGTTCATTAAAGCACGATTCATTCTGGTGCAAATTTTGGGCAACAGCTGTAAACTTAAAGAAACTAATGTCTGACAGCAAAACGTAAAGAAAAATTGTTTTTTTGAGACTTTTGAAAAATCTCAAAAAATGATTGAAATGTTTTACTAACTCACTAAAGTTAAATTTTTTACATTCTTCTGTGACCTACAGCTTACATACTTTCTGTGCAAATCGTAAAAACATCTTGGACATTACAAGCAAAATTAGAGATTGATTCTGCTGTTGAGAAAAGTGGACCGAAATTCGTACCATCCTAAATCGCACTTTAATGAGACACATCTAGAGAGTAGAGCATCCCATTAATGTTATTTGAAAAAAGCTGTGAAACTTTCTTTCAGTGCTACGAACAATTAATTTACCACCAATCCAAATAATAAATAAATTGGTCAAAGTTGAGATTTTTTCAAAAAAAGCTTTTTGCTAATAACTTGAGAACGGTTTATCTAAATTTAAAAAAAGTTTGTTCGGTTGAATGTAACATCAAAAAACCTTTCCTAAAATGTACATTGGTGAGTATTTTGCTTTTTGAAATAGTTAAATTCATATCCATCCCGTTATCTTGAAAAGTTAGATCAAAACGTTTTGTCTCATGAGAATGCAAACAAAATTTGAAAATTTAAGGGTCCTAGGGTTTTTCAAAAAAATACAATAAAAAAATATATGTATATGGGGCATAAGTTAAACTCACTCAGTATGTGTTGTTGGGCTTATATAAATCAAACAATCAATCATTTTAATTAACTAACAGTTACAATGCTTTTGAGGCAGACATGCTTAGAAATTTGATTTTAACCTGAACACGACAAACGATCATGAAAAACTAATGTTTATTAGGGTGTGCCATCTTTAATAATTATAAACATGGTAAAAATTGAATTTGTAATTTAAATAAAAAATTTGTACAATGCTCTTAACAATCAATATTATAGAAGGGAATAATATAAATAAATAAACACATTACATATAAATGTTTTATTAACCAAGATTTGTTGTAGTTTCTGTGATTATTTGGCCCATCAATGGTATTTTAGATAAACTACTAAAATATGATATATAAATTATATATATAAATAAATTATATTATATATATAAATTATATATTAATAAATATATTCATTTTGTATCCAATTACATGCCTGTTTCGATTTAACATTAATTGTACTTTGTGTTTTTTGTTCCTGGTGAGAGTGAATGGCTAATATAAACATCACATAATTACAATTTTATTTCATAAAAAATATAGTGTTCTTACAAACCACATATCAATTTACATATCCATTCATTACTGATTATCACAATATAAATTTTAATATTCAACAAAAACTATGTACAAACCAATCTGAATGTAGCTTCTTCACTTGGGTAGAAATAAACGTCCCAAAAATTGTCACATCCCACTATTTGTAATTCTAAACAATGGACACTATATTATATGGGATATAATCCAGTTGTAAATCAGAAGCTTGTGACAGTATTTATAAAAATTAAATAACATCGTATGTTTCTTCCGTTTCTAACATTTTTACCGTTAATTTAAAGCAGTTTTACACTCTTCCTTGACAATCGAACCCCACATTATGCATTACATTTCAAAATACTTGTCTTGATATTTTATTCTAACCATTGTTAAATGAACTACACTGAAGAGCTATACATTTTTTTAAATTTAAAAATGAGAACTGATACCTAAAAATTGATGGCTCAACCAGTTGTTTTACAAGAATACAGAATATTACCTGCATGCAGATTCATACCTTCAAAACATACGTAGAATTTTATTACATCGATGGATTTTTTCTTTCCTTTTTTTTCCCAGAAGATTTAACAAAATTTAAGCAACACAAGTTAAACACTGGTGAATAATAACAAAAGTATGCCTCCCAATCATTATAAATTTTATTTACTTTCATGAGCAATCTACTTCCTTTTTTTATACATTCCAATCATTTTCCTACAAAAAGAATTATTTCAAATTTATTTTCTTACTTATTTAGTATATTCTTAATTTAAAAAGTTTGGACGGTGTGAAATAAAATTACAAGGCTTCCTAAACTCCCTATTAATCCAGAGAATCCACGGTGCACTCTGAACTTGTCAAAAAGGGCATTTAGACAGATTTAAGAGAAGGGGCATATTTTATTCCTAGGTACAATAAAACCTCTTTAAAGAATGTAGCTGACATTAAATAATAGCTAGTGTTTAAGTGAACAAGGTATAATTACAATTTTTATAATTTGTACTGTAAGAATGATAGCTGTGTCCAAAATAGAGCAAGTTTTCATTAGTAAATGACCAAAAGAGATGGAAAGACTAGCTTCTATTTAGAAAACAAGAGCTTGTTATTAATTGTGGGTTAAAATTTTCAAGCTCAACTACAGAGCAACTTTTGATACTAAACCTTTTGGTAAATTTTAAATTTGAACTTTTTTTATTGCTATTATCCACCAGTTTTATAACCTTTAAAAAAGTGGATGTGACAAAGGAAAAGTAGACAAAATTCCATTTTGTTGAGTTTTCCCATTGAGTATAAAACTTATTCTAAACCATAATAGTGAACGTTATATCAGTTTAAACTAGAAACTACCTTATCCACAATGCAAATAAGGTTTTGAACTTGATCTTTTTTTGTTGTTTGAAGTAAGAAAACCACAATAGAAAGTGTAACTATAATAAAAAATGTATGACACGAAAAAATTTGATTTCACCGTTGTGACTGACAATGAACAATAGAACAATATTGACTATATGCCTCAATTATGTAACATTGTTTTCATTGTTTACTTTGCAATAAATATTTGATATTACAACTATTATGAACTTACACCAACGAAAAGAAATGTTGCATTGTTTTATGTACACTGAATCAGCAATGAAACGCGGTAATGGAATCAAAAGTAGAAGTTAATGTACAACTTTAATAAAGGAACAATAAACCATTTTCTTGCTCTTGAAACAGATTGTGTATGAAGTCACAATTCTGATTATCTTCACTAAGAGGAGCAGAATTTCTGTTTTACATCAGTTACACTTCACTAGACACCATTACTTGCACTTGTGTTTTATTTAATTTTAAAACAAAAATAAAATGTTAGCATAATATTCAAAATGGCAACAACAACAAAAAATCACTGCCAAAATTACAACACAAATAAATTATGAAGAAGACACGATAGTCAACTTAGTTTTAACCATCTTTTTAAAACAAACGATGTTTGCAAAAAGATGTGGTGAACGATAAGGTCACAGAAACGAAGAATTATCTTAGGAATGGCCAGGTTCATTTCTGTCGACTAGAAGCTGAAGATTTTGGATTTGTGGCGTCTCGGCTGAAAACAATCAATTGTTTAAAAAGATTTTAATAAATGATTAATCCAGTTAAACTATTCCTTCCGATTGTATGTTATAAAACAAGATAAATAAGCTTGTTACAAATCTAATATTTGTGGACGATTTAATTTATATATATACATTTTTCTATAAAAATTACAAAAAATTTGAAATCCTTCGTAAACTTGTTTACCAACAATTTAACCATAATGTACTGGTCTATCATCTTGCAGAACTCAACACAATATTTCCAAATTTATACAGTCAAATATACTATCGACAAGTCAAAAATTCTCTTATCTTGTGTCATTATATACTGAATATGGCTGATCTTACACTGGAATGGACAACATCGATTGCGACTACAGACAACTTACTCGTAGTTTTTTTTTTTTTTTANCGCATTTACGGCTTCTTCGGATATTTTAGAAGCAATTTCTTGATTTAAAAGAATTACTTTTTCTAGTAAAAATAATAAAGGTGGGGTATTGTTGATTCAATTTTTCTAAAGGATGGTTCTTCACAGATTTAAGAAATCCTTCTGTGTCCATGGCTACTCACGAAAAATCCAAGCAACTGCATAAAAACCCTATGGGAGTTGAAATCTTTGAAAAGTGCAAATTTGCTTAAATGATGATCCAGACACATGTACGTGATATCCCTCATCTATTGTGCTAGTCTCATTCATCCAAAATATTGTATATAGTCACGAGAAGTGAACGGATGCAAAATAGTTTGGATTTTTACAGTGAACTGGTGCAAATTGGTCCTCCTAATCTGCCATGGATCCATGAAATGCAAAATATTCTTGTCCAGGAGAGGAATATTCATGGTACCATCAGGAAAATAATATATATGGATTGTGCAAAGATTTTTTTATGACACTTTTTCCAGAATAAATAAATATATAAAAAATATGAATAATTTATATTGAATTCTATAAGTTTTGTAAAAAAAAAAATTCTTTTTCTAAAAAAACTTCGATTCAATCCAAATTCTATTCTTCATGGAAGTGAGGCTTTAGGTTGTCCATCGAAAGTAAAAAATCCAAGCTTTTTGGAATAAAGTAGCAGGTCAAAACAAAACAGACGATTAAGTCGGCTCCCATATGAGCGGACTGTTTGCATTTCCTAGGTTGGGAGTGCTTGTGAGAAGTTGGGCATACACAAACATTCAAAAATCAGCCGTAATCAGTTGTAGGGTGAAAGCAGTCTAATGTCTCAATAATAAAATATGGGCCAAATACCAGAAACAATACATGAAGTCAAAGTGAGAAAACTTGGCCAGTTAAGGGACCTTCACTGATAGCAGTCGAACCCTTGAGCATCAACCCTTCAAACAATCAAACTAACTTTAATGTTTTTTCTTCTTCTCCCACTTCCTAAATTATTACATTGCTGTTTTTACACCCTTTGACTGGTTTTGTTAAAGTTTTTTTGGTAAAAATGCCCCCTGTGAAAAAATTCTTTCAATCAGTCAAAGCTTAAGTTGATTCACAAAGTAGAGAAAACAAGGTGATCACTGCCAGAGAATTTGGGATCCCTCCCAAAAAGTGTTAATTTGTACATTTCCAAGTAAATTTTTAGTCTTTTTGGTACATCATACCTTTTTAATGCTAATTCTGATTGCAATGAAACCAAGGCACAAAATTTTTAATCAAGAAAAGGACTTTTTTTTTACAATACTCTTATTTTGCATGAAATTACACATTTTTACAGTTTACTGCACAAAACTGTATTTTTTCTTTTTTTTAAATTTTTTATTATTATTATTTCTTTATGTATAAAAACAATGTGAAAACATAATTTTGATGGGCTAACAGTATTGAGTAAACAAATTTAGGATCTTTTTTATTGTAATTTTCCAAGAAATTATTTTATGTTTGACATCTGCCAATCTAGATGTCTAGATGTTCTAGCTGTTGCGTATTTCTCACTTTTCACTTCTCAGCTTTTCTTTGCCTTAGGAGTAAAGCTGAACCACGAGAAAAGTATAATAATGCCCATGAAGTTCAGAAGTTGATTTAAGGACTAGAATTAAAGACCGATGGCAAAATTGTTTTTAAATAAATGAGTGGGTCTTTTCTCTTTTGAAACATTTTATCAATGAAAATAGGTATATCCTGAGAAACAAAAACTTAGCTATGTGTATGGTGTTGAATTACTACGAAAAAATTAATTTACTTGCATGTTTTCACTTTTCTAAGTTTTTAATGGATGTTTTTGAAGGGTTTTTACTACATGACACCCTGCTGGGAGAAATCTCACGATGTACATTATTACACTTTCTTGTATTCTTTTTCATTTTATTATAAGTCGAATATTAGCCTCAACATATCAAACTATAAAAAGACGAACATCTTACTCAGTCCGTTGAATTTTGATGTATTGAGATTTAACTGTTTAAGAAAATGCTATAAATGTATTTTTTAAAATTAAATTTGACAATTAATTTAAATATTTAACTTCAGTTTGTAAAAGTTGTAAAATATACCTGTTTCTGAAATAGAATTTGAGTTTAAAGAGTTGCTGAGTGGTGGTGAACTTTGTTGAGCAACATCGCACGTTTGGCTTGAAGTCTTAGTTTTAGAAAGCTTACTACACTTTGCTTCTAAAATTTCAATTTTCTGATATAGCTCAAGAATGTATTCCTCTTGTTTGTTATACATGCTCCTAAGTTTTTTACAATTTTCTTCCGATTGCTAAAACAATGGACGTTCTCAATTCAAAGAAATTCACCCAAAAACCTTAAGTACCTTCAATTGTTCAGAATAATTGGCTACGACAGAATCGTGTAACTGTTCTTGCTTTTGGCTTTGATTCTTATGCTCCTCGATGAATAAATTTACTTCGTTTATTTTAGCTCTAGCAGCTTCAGCGGTGGAATCAGACATCTTCAACGATTTTTGAAGCTCTACAAAGATGAATAAAGGTCAATTAAAAAATCATCGGTGTTTAAAATGGGTTGGATCTGACCAGCCAAATTGTACGAATAAGAGCGAGTAGCCATCAGTGCTTCTGCATTCTTATGACACTTTAATGTCAACGTTGAAATCGTCGCCCTTAATCGTGATTCAAGTTCACCAGCGGCTACTAAGTGGTGTTGCAACGTGGCAAGCTCTCCTTTCATTTCTTTCCATGCTGTTGCCGCAGCCGTTGCACCTGCCAATGTATTGCGTAATTCAAACAGTTCAGCCCTTGACTTTGTACAAACCTGAAATTTATAAAAATTAGTATAGGCAAAAGTCTATAATTTAAAATTATTTACCCCATTTAAAAATATTATTTCTTTTTTCTCCTCCTCCAACTGTTTTTCTAATAAACAAATTTGCCCTTGAGTTTCTTTTAGTTTTCTTTGGAGAGTACCAGTCTGGAAAACAAAAGAAAACTGTTTAAAGAACACTTTTTAAAAATTATCAGTGATTTATTACCTGTTCTTGCCAGTAATTAAGTGTCCCCTGTAATTCATCACGGCTATGCTTTGCGTCTCGTTTGCTTCGTTCCAATTCATTGTGTAAAGTTTCTATTTCCTTTTGCATTAAAGCAACTTGATCTCGCTAAAAATGAAATAAATCAATAAAATTTTACTAATAACTGTTAGAAAAAATCTTACAAGAGCTGAATTGTGCTCTTCGAGTGCTCTATTTGTTCTTGATTTTCCTAAAAGTCTTCTATTCCTTTCTGCATGTACTTCTCTTCTATGTTTTTCAAACTGTAACTGGAGCATAACAAGCTCCAACTGCTGTTTAAGATTTTTGAGCTCATTATTGTCCACCCCTTAAAAATATTTAAAATAAAAACAAACATACAAAATCAGAAAATTTATATTTTCTATATGTACCAGATTTTTTTCTTTCACATAGACTACGGACAGTAGTTTCAATAAAAGTCTCTAAAGCGGTTCTAGGTGAATATAACGTCGATTCACGCAGCGGTGGTTGATGTATAACATCTGCCCCAACACAAACATTAAAATAAAGTTTAAAAAAATAAAAATAAAATTTGATTTCACCTGGAGGAGCACTGTGCTGTTGTATTTGTTCAATAGGTGGAAAGACTGAGAGGAACAAAGGCTCATAAATTAACGGCTGTGGTTCGTCGGTTTGAGTACACGCTGTTACTCTCTCTACTTCGTCCTGTTTGCATTTTGTTGTATTCTTTAAATAACAAAAATAATTTGTAGTAAAAATAAAACCTGCGAGTTGTTTTTGATAATTAATTATTATGTGATGTGCAACATGTTTTAATCACTTTATTTATCAAAAGTAGGATAACAACATTCACTGTACAAAAGAATTTTTACAACCAACATATTATTTTTTAATATTATTTCTTTTTTTAAATACATAACTCCCATTGAACTTTCACCATTATTAATTATACAATTTACACTATTCATTACATACATACATTCAATACATATGAGAGAAATAATGTTCCAACATAATTTTTTTCCATCATATTTGTTAGGTGTTTTTTTTTGCTTCTCAAAAGAAGAAAAAACACATTGAACTTTCAAAATATAAATGTATTTTATTTTTCACCCAAAACATAATTTCCTTCGTTTTCTCACAGGCAGTAGAAATATCCCCTTGCTCACAGTAGGTTGTTTTCAACAATCCGGATTTCAAGCTTTTAGCTCATCATCAGGTTGAAGTTGTTCTACAACCACTCGACATGAATTGCAAAAGTGCAAGTGAAAAAGTACACTTCAATAATTTGTACTTGGAATTGTGGAATCATCAAGGAAAAAGGCAGAAAAAACCGTAGAAAATTTAGAATCAGATTGACTCTCAATATAACAGCAAAGGGACGGAGACTCTCACTGGATATGGGTCAAACATGAAATATATGCAAAGAATTGGAGTGACATCACCGGTGTGCATTTGCGGCAATCAGGTTCAGGACGTGGATCATCTGTTTTCTGCCCTGTGCTGGATGCAAAGAGAGCAAATCTCAAATAAACCTCCTCAGTGAAAACAATATAGCAGTGTTTGAACAATTCATTAAAAATAGTAACTTGCAGGAAATGACCAATATACAATATACTTAATTTTAAATTAAATTTTATAAATAAGATATATAATATGATGTAAAAGTCAATAATGTAAATGTAATCTATATTACAAGTAATACAATAGTGGTTCATGTAGAAAATAAATAATTAAATAAATGAAAAAATGCAAGAATAACAAAAAAATCGAAGTCACGATAGCTCAAGTGGTTAGAGCAGCGGCGTATTGAGCTGAAGGTTGTGGGTTCGAATCCCACTTGTGACACTAACTTTTTCATCTCAACCAAGATTTTAAATAAAAAGTATAATTAATTGAAATAATTTTTAATAAGTTTAAAACAGATGGTTTTCGTGTAGTTGGATGCCAAATGGGATGGCACGGCTGATGGAATATAACACAACCATTCAAGGAAATTTCAAAACTGAATCAGGGGGTCGTCTCTTCGACTCACCGACTTGGTTTTCCTCTCAGAAAATACTTCAGTCAAAACTGTTATGTATGTCATAGCCTTTAGCTCATTAGGGTTCCACAACTGGTCTTTGATCATCTCTCTGCATTTCAAAAATGTCAGAATCACTGTTGACTCACATGTTCTGTTATTATGTTATCACTGTAAATTCCACACAAATTTCGACAGGCATCCACTGCCCTATACTTGAGTTCAAACTCATACAGCAAGCAATTCCTCAAATAAATGTTACATACTTCCATGTCATGCGCATTGTAGTTTATTCTAGATTAATTTTTAGTATCAACTACCCCTTTTTTCTTAACACATTTAACAACATTCACGATTGTTGATGTAAATTCACGCCATTTCAAATTCTATTCACTCAATTCAAATTCTATTCCTGGTTGTTCTAGAAGTGAATTCACGCCATTTCAAATTCTATTCTGGTTGCTCTAGAAGTGAATTCATGCTATTTCAAATTCTATTCCTGGTTGTCACTGACATTTTTTTAATTATTATTATTTTTTTTTTTTTACAAAATTGGTACCTGCATCTGGAGATGCAACAAACAAATCATTTACATTATGTTGATTAACAAAATTAATAATTAGTAAGAAAAATTATATATATATATATATATATATGTCATACACAGCCGTCATAGATAAGTAGGAGAAAAAGAATGTGAGATCGAAGGGTAATCACCAATCTTAAAGTTTGGAAGCAGCTTAAAGTTGTTGTTGAACTAAACATATTAGATGGTTTATAAGTTTAAAACAAATTACCATAATAATGGAAAATGAAGAAATATATTCTGACGAAAATTCTGAGATTGAATCCACAGAACTTATTGTAAGCAGTGATAGCGAGATAGCAAGTGACGTAGTATTGCAATTTTTGCAACAGAAAAATAAAACAGATAATACTTACATGACAGCAAACCTAGTAATAGTAACTGTAGTACAGATAGTCAGTAGAGAAAACATGATTCAAAAACACTTAGAAATGTTTAAGCGTAATTCAGCAACCTCACTTATTTACAACAATGATATTTCAAAACATATTTTATATTTTTTATCTTTGGTCGCAAATGTGTAAAAGGGCTTTTCCTATCTTCCTAGCTAATGGGCCTAGCAGGTAATAATGAATCGCTTTTATAAAGATCAGAATTTGAAAAAACAAAAAACTTAAGCACACACCTAATATAATACATCATTTATTTAGTTATACCTGAAGTGAATTCGTTAGAGACAGATCTTCTAGATCTTCATCAGTTTCTTCTACAGTGGTCGTAGCACCCAACTCTGACATGGCCCCACTGAACGAAGTATCTTTCTTCATTTCAGGGCATGAAACAGCTCGTCGCACTTTTTGGTCTAGAAATGTTGCCCCATCTCTTGGGCTGCTACCGCTACTAACACCTGAAATAATATCAATGTTAAATTTACAACATAAACAAAAAATTGTCATAAAATACCAATTTGAGCAAGAAGAAAAGTGTCTGGTTGACACTGGCTATGAAACCTTAGCCTGTTGACTTGTCTTGCAAATTGTATGATTGAACGGGGATCAGGCATGTGAAGGCCGCCTTCGTTGCAGCCACCGACTTCACCTGCCTCGACACATTCTCCGTACTCTTCCTCATCATTGGTATCATGGATAACACTATCACTTCTTTTTAACTGTAAATAAAAGACGATAAATTACAGGTGCAAACATGAAACCAATTTTATTTTATACCGCTGAACTAATGTTATTGTGGTCGGCTCTCATCATAGATTCCACTTCTCTATCTTCTTCACTTCGCTCACAAGGTGCTAAATGAGGACTAGAATCATTGGCCCGTTCAAAGGACAAAGGGGTATAAATAACTCTCAAAGGACTAATTGGCTGATAACTAGAATTTCCACTTAACGGTGTTTTAGGCTTTAGGTTTGCTAACATTTCTTTCTCCTGCAAAGTACAAATAATTAATAACTATTCTAAGAAAATACAGAACATTAGGAAATACTATTTGTTGTTTGATGGGTAAGCAAAGTTGAAAAATACTATAAGTACAGGGCTCCTTCACTAATCTGAACTTTGGTACTCAAAACATTCCAGTAATCCAAACTGAACAAAAATTCAAGAAGTCAGAATTTTAAATAAAACATTATTAGAGGGGAAGGGGAGAAAGAGGAGAGATTGTGTGGTTGGGTTCTCTCAGGCTATGGGCTAAAAAAAAGAATGGACTTGGCCACAGTGTAGATTAATTTTTTTGGAGGGGGTCTCCAACTTGGACCTTTTATTTAGGTTTTTGTTGGGATATCTACTATTTGAAAATGAGAGAAAAAGTGAAAGAAGCAATGGAAAAAAAAATTAATAAAATTTTGAAAAAAAATAGGATATTTTAAAGAAAAATTGACAGCATATATGTATTACAAAGGTTTAACATCTTGTGTATGCAGTAATAATAGTGTTGTGTTAAAATTGTTTTTTATACATATGTATTTTTTTTAACACCCTCTCTAATCCAAATTTTACAGTAATCCAAACACCCCCTTGAGGAAATTAGTTCAGATTACTGAGAGAGAACTGTAGTTCAAATAAGAATGGTGGAGTGTGTTGTTCTTTTTAAAAAGATAGTCTCCACTCAGAGTCAGTTGTTTCAACAATCAGGATTTCAAGCTTACATCATCAGGTTCAAGGAGTTCTGCAAACGATGTCGAGAGACGTGGTTGTAGAACTACATCAACATGATGATGAGCTATAAACTCGAAATCCGGATCGTTAAAAACGACTAACTGTGAGTAGGAACTATCTTTTTAAAATTGTAGTTCAAATGTTCATAAGAAGTACATAGTTTCTATATGAAAATGAAAATTGCTTATGAACGCATTTTTAACGAAAAAAAATTCATTAGGATAAATGTGGATTAAAATCTTCAAACAAAAAACCATTAAAATAATTTCAATACGAAAATTTAATGAAATTCATATTTAATTTTAAAAGTGAGAATGCAGAGAAACTCACCTGTAAACAATTTTTTAAATTTTTGGTTCGATTTGTGAGGAGCGGTCAAGAATGAGGTAGTAAGAAGTAGTAGAAAAACACTTTTTCATTTTTTGGCCAAAAAACATACTCTCACCTGTAAACATTTCTCCCTATCACTAATAATCCTTTGGACTTTGGGTGAAATATTGTCTTTTGGCTTTGATGATGATATTTGAAAAGCTGACGGCAAAGCCTGCTCTTGTACACCTGCTGGCGTAGGAGTGGTCGAAGGGGGAAACCGAAAAGGAGAAGACTCTTTTTTCATGGGGGAAGATGGTTGAGACTGAGCGCTGAAAGAGCTTAAAGAGCGAGCAACTGTGGATGAAGGTCTTATCACAGATTGTCGCAGGTCCTGAAACAAATTTAAATTAAACAATAGTCTATACAAAACAAAAGTTTTTAACTTGCCTTGACTGGAGTGGACTCGGGCGTGGCTTCGATAGCAGCTTCAGGAGGCGAGTTTCCTTCCTGGGAGGAGTAATTTGAAGACCCAAGAAAATTCTAGGAAAAATATGTTAATAAAAAAATACAATTTCACACAATGAGCAAATATTACTTGTGCAGGGGTGTGAGTTATCGATGTAGGGGTAGATTCAATAGCTGAAGTCGTTGCATAAACTGTTGGACTCCAAACTTCACCCCCATCTGGTAAATTTATACTGAAATTTCCAATAATTGGAACAGTCTTATTTCCTAAATCTACACCACTTTTACTTGTATCTATGAGACATAAATTATAGTATTATGAGAGGAACTTGCTTTTCTGATGTAATGAAAAATTCAATAATTAGTACCGAATATACTCTTTGAGAAATCTAAATTATGCCTTGAGCGGAATGATGCTGTCCTTGCTCTGAATGAACAATCATCTTTCCATTTTTCAGACCCAGATTCAATTGAAAACTTGGCACATTCCATTATCACATCATTCGCTTCCATTTTCTTCCATCTAAAACAATACACAAAACTTTTTGGTACATGTGTAATTAAAATTGAAATATTTTTACCTTGCTGGAGCCACTTCTGAATCTTTGGAAGCTGTGATCAAGAGAGGATGAACTTTAACAGTGTCAAGCATTGGCTAGCAAAAAGATTTGCATTAAGAACCAGGACTTGGAAGAATAATTGATAAAGAAAGTTGTAGGTACTTTGATGGTGTGACTGAAGACAGATAAATTTTCCTTGGCACTGTACTGTTGGCGGAGATATGTGAGGAAATTCCATGGGTACATTCCATAGAGTCTGTTAAATAATGCATAAAGGCCAATTTGAAGATGGAGCAGCTGACCTTCAGGTACTTTGTTTGGATTGTTTGTATTCCATGCTGCTAAATGACTACAAAAAAAATTATTAATCATAAATACAAAAAAATGTTAAAAATAGCTTTACCTGAAAACTTCAAAGAGTTCTTGAAGATGGGGTGCAAAAAGACCGGCGATGATGGGAAGAAGAATAATCACAATAAGAAGAGCGCTCATTAATGGCAGGACTTCTTTCTCGACCTAAATAAGACATAATTGTATAAAATCTCAATTTTAGTAAGTTTATTTCAAGTTTACCTTTAATAAACGAAGAAGATCTCTCATGAGTGGGTGATGGATAATTTTATAAAGCCAAGTAGGGTGTCGCCTAACAATATGCCCGAGAAGGGTCAATGCTTGAAGTTTAAGCGGAGTGCGCAAAGAATCTGCAATTCTGGAAAACACGAACATTGGAAATGACAGTGTACTGAATTTAATATTCTATAACTCACCTGTCAAAAAGGAATCTGTCATGAGGTTCCCTGACGCTAACCAGAATATCAACAGATCTTGTTGAGCTGGAGCTTATGTAGTAATCAACTATTCCTTGGACCAGCCATGATTCTTTGGCTATAAATATAAAACCAGTAATTATTTTAAATCAAACATTTTATATAAGTAGTTTATACGCACAATGTATAAGAAAAGAGCATAAAATCATTGTCAATAATTTGAACGAAAAATTCCGTCAAATAAACTAACAACGTACAATCAAGACTCTGTTTTACTTTGGGCAAGAGCTGTCAATATTCCTTACATTGTCATAACCAACTGTTACTTTTAATTGTTACTTTTCTATATTTTGTACATATGAAAAAAAAAAAAAGAAAAGGAGGCTGCTTGTAAAATAAATAATTAACCAGCTTGATTTTCCATAATCCAGTCCACCTCTATTATACATGGTGAACCCGGCTTCACAATTATAACGGTGTTCTATAAGAAAACATTCAACCTAATCTAGGTACTTAAATAAGACAAATCGAAGGGAAGAATTTCCTATTGTTAGTCACAGATTCTACCTCGATCGGACTAAGCTTTGGTTGGTTAGATGGCAGAAAAAGACAGTAATTACCACTGAAGGCTAATTGACACACAACACATCAAAACAACAAACACTATAAGACCAGGATAATAGTTTGTATAGAAATCCATCATATTAAAAATAACAAGTCATGAACAGTGTAAACTCTGACATCCATCATTGATCAAATCAGTTTCAAGCCTAACAATATAGAACTAAGACTCCATGATACTCTTTTGGCAAGAACTGTCAAGAATCCACACACTATAGCCAACAGTTTAATCATCCTTGTTCAGCCATTCCATTTAATTTTACTCTTATAAATCTTAAAATATTTTTTAAAATGCATTTTGTCTTTTTACTAAGTAGTAGAATCTGCAGCATTCCAACCAACCAGGCTTCACAATTGTAATGGTGTTCTATAAAAAAGAATTCACTCATACACTAGGTACATAATAAAACATCAGAAGGGCGGAAATTTCCATTGTTAGTTACCGATTCTATCAGCTACTCTCTTCCACTCTGTGACTCTTAATTGGACTAAGCTTGATCTTATTATCATATAAATAGCAAAAAGTCATATTATTTCAAGAGTTGATGATATCTGTATTTAAGCGATTTAGAAACGCAGAACAAACTTTGGGCAAGTGCTGTCAATATTCCTCAAGCTATTGTCAGCAAGTTCAGCATCCATGTTCTCCTAATAGCTCTTATACATTTTGAGATATTCCAATTAATTATTCCTTAATCTAAGGTTTTAGGTTACAATGAAAAAGTTAGTGTCACGAGCGGGATTCAAACCCACGACTTTTGGCTCAATATGCCACTGCTCTAACCACAAGCTATCGTGACTTTGATCCTCTCAGACATCAACTTCCCCATCTCAACCTACAATTGTTCGAATCTTTCCTCTTTTTCATCTCAACAAAAAACCTTAGAATAAAATCATAGATGAAAAGATTAATTAATTGGAATAATTAATATGGTCAATTATGACCACTAAACAAATATGGATTAATTTTAAGATATGTTTTTTCAAGTACACTTTGCATATCAGCCAATCACAATTATAAGCCGTGTTCTTCAACATTGAATCTAGTCTCGGTACATAAATAGGTCATACACAATGGAAGAATCTCTGACTCTCAGCAGGACTAAGCTTTGGTTGGATCATAAACAATATCATAAAAATGACAAACGATGTATTATTTCAAAATTGTATTCTACTTAAGACTCTGATTCACTTTGGGCATGAGCTGTCAAGATCCGTCAAGCTGTCATCCATGTTCTACTAATAGCTATTATACATTTTGAGATATATTTTTTCAAGCACACTTTGCACATCAGCCAATCACAATTATACACAGTGTTCTTCAAGAAAACATTCAATCTAGTCTAGGTACATAAATAGGACAGACACAATAGGAGAATTTCTGACTAAGCTTTCGTTGGATCATACAAAATATCATATGAATGGCAAAAAGGTGTATTATTTCAAAATTGTATACTACTCAAGACTCTGTCATACTTTGAGCAAAGCTGTCAAGATCCATCAAGCTGTCATCAGCAGCGTGATCATCCATGACACTTAATGCCATTCTCAGACATGAAATATATTTTTCTTCAAATGCTTCGTCCATTATATTAAATAACAAACCAACCAGGGTTCACAATCATGATGTTCAATTAAAAGCACTTAGTACATAAACATGACATACTGAGGAGAAATAAAGGAAAAACTTTTATTATTTGTATGCCTTATAAATAAATGATTTACATAGAAAAGACAACGTATTGTTTAGAAATTGTATGCATTATGTCGAGTATGTGTTAAAGCCAATTGGTTTTGTGTTTAATTTTTTTTAGTACATATTAACCAGTTAGGACATTTTTATGATTTTGGAGAGACTTACTTGAATTGAAAAGATCGTGAAACGTTTTTTTCGCCTCTTCCGCATCTTGCTGATTGTTGGATTCGAGTGATTCGAAAAGCTCCAAGACCACGTCCATCACTTCTTTCTGTCATTTGTCATCGATGGAAGAGAGCTAGTCGAAAATTATGAGGATGGCGATGTAAACGACGAAAACAGTACAAAACAAACCAGTTGTCAATGGAACTTTTCTATTATTGTGATTATTCCCTTCGTATCATCGGCGTTTCGCATCGGTGGTGGTCCGAACCCTTTTTCCTGAAAATTCTTCCGTCATTTTTTCTTTTTTTCTAAAGCTGCTTTTGAAAAAAAAGCTACTTCAGCCGACGAAAAAGGGGTGCCGAACTGGACATCGGTCGATACCGAAAATTTGACGGAATTTGTGAAAAAGTTTTAATTTCGTCGCGGCACTGTCGAATCTGACGTTTATCGAGGCCCTGGAAATCAATTCTACACGGCCGTGCTTGAAAAACCGAGACGTTTTTCGGCGAAACAATACAATTTTAATCCATGATAAGAAAAATCCCCTGATATTTAAATTGCAATTAATTATTGTAATTGGAGATAGATAAAAAGGACAGAGGATCTGAATAGACGGGCGGACCTAAAAAACAGCGCGGACCTGCCTCCGATGGAAACAGGCAGGTTGGAGTTTCGTGCAACGGGAAATTATCTGAACATTTACCATATCAACGGATGGAAAAGTTTATAAGAGGAGATCCATCATCTGTACATCGCGAAGAGTCCAGTTTGATTCGTCTTCCGCGGCCTCTTCGATCAACTGCAGACCGACTGCGATCTTCTTCGCTGACGTCAAATCCGCTTAGGGGTGAAATCGTTCAACAAATATTTATATATAAGTTTAGTTTTATAAACAGTTTACACTCCGGTTAGAGACGAGTTAAGAGATTTCCATCTCAAAACGGGAAAGAACTCTCTTTCAGCAGGCAGGATTTGAGAAGAATTAAAGGCCTCTATACCGACCACTGCACTCAACTATCACCTTAAGAAGATGGGCATGGCTGACGGAATACATGCCAGTACTGTCATCAGGAACAGAGACATCAGCACATATCCTTTGTGAACAAAAAGCATTAACCCGTTTATAGTACACCTACTTTGACAGGACATTTATCATATCAACGAAGAGGTACCAAGAAAAGTGCTCGCTTCCATCGAAAAGTGCACTTTCCAAGGCATGGATATAAGCTATAGGAGTTTCACAATAGACCTGTTTAGGTCGCAGTGGAGGAAAGAATTGTATTCTGAAAAAAAATCTTCTAAAAAAAGTCTACTCTTTATTTATTTTAAAGGTACAAATATGGCTTTAAGCCCCCTTACATGTACATATATTAGAAATAAATTAAGTTTTATAAACATAGTAAACTAATAATAATAAAATATACAAAACAATATTAATCCTTATATCTTTAACAATCCTAATTGACCATATCAATTATTTCAATTAATTGTTCTTTTTATCTAAGGTCATTGAGATGAAAAAGTTAGTGCCTCGAGCAGGATTTAAATGAATGGATAAAAACGGTACTTTATTAAATAAGCAAAAGAGAGAGAAAAAATTGTACATAACTAAAAAGCACATAACGCAAATGGTTATCAACTGTCTGCCCAAGTCGGACTATAAATTTTTAATAAACAAACAACACATTTCTTCTCAAGGAGTAAACAAAAGAGAGAAAAAAACTATGTAAGAAAACTAAAATAACAACATATGAATATTTACATACACTTACGCACATATAAATTTGATAGGATTCAAATTATTTTATTTATCAATCAATTATTTATCTTCAAATGATGAAACCACATTAAGGAAGAAAAACAGAAATAGAAAGAAGAAATGAGGAAAAGAAAAGGAAGAGGAAAGAAAATGAGATGATTCATGTTGTTTTTAAAAAATCATTTGCCATGGAACTGAAACAAGCCGGCAAAGGAGCAGAACCCACTTCCTGAGGAAGCAAATTTCATTGTCTTAACAATGAAATTCTGAAGGATAAGGCTAAAGGTTTAGAGGAGAGTTAAAGGCATGTGATATGATTGGTGCATTTGGATAAGGAATAAGGGCAAAAAGTTTATAGATATTGAGGATATTTATTTGATTTAATTTTAAATATATATATTTAAACATAAGTGTTTAGAATGCTGAGGTTGCTGAAGACATTAATATAGGAAGAAATAAGATCCCTTGGTTTAAGATCCTATGCAGGAATGAAAAGCAATTTGAAGGCGATGAGCAGATTGAGAGTTTAAGGAAAGTGAAAAAATTGCGCTACAATAAGAGAATAAAAGAATTATTAGGAATTTAATAAGGAGGACTCTAGTTTTCTGTGGAGTGAAAAAGCTAAAGCTTCAAAGAGTATAAAGGCTTGAGTAGATCTTTTATAGAGCTCAATAGTCATGGCAACGGTAAGCTTGGACCGAAATTTTAACTTATGGACAAAAATTAATAAGGTAGATGTTGATATGAGGAAGGGTAATCTGTACTAATGGGTTTATTGAAAATTAATAAAGACTGGGATTTGTTAGGGTTTAAAAGAATGCCGTTATTTCTTGACTATCGGTTGAGGGAATGAAGATCAACATTGAGAAGAGCTTCAGAGATGCTGCTTGAATGACATTGAATAGTTGAAGTAAAGCTGAGTCATTGGGAGAAGTTAAGAACTAATGGATCATTTAGAAACATGGAAAAGAGTAAAGTTCCAAGAATAGAACTTTGGGGAACACCAGTTGAAATTGAGAGAATTTGAAGGTTTAACTCTCGTGAGTTCTGTCAGACAGATAGGAGGAAATGAGATTAGTTAGAGTAGAAGAAAAGCCAAAAAGAGTTTCCAAATACACTAGCAAATTATGATTTACGGAACCGAATGCATTGGAAAAATCAAGTGGAACTATAATAGTATGCTTGTTATCTTTAAAAAAAAAAAAAAAAAAAAATTCTTGTTATCACCAATGCCTAAGCAAATATCATCTGAGATTTTGAGAAGGGATTATTTAGATATATCTCTTGAAATAGTTTAAAATGTGTTTTAATTCTGACATTTCGTGATTAATATCTGAATAATTATTCTAGCACTGAATTCAAGCCCTTTAAGAAGGGTCCTTGGTTCTGTATTGCTGACAGTTCCACTAGGCGATGAAGTATGAAGTTAAATAAAATCTTCAAAGTGTATTTATCTGAATTTTCGTATTCGAAATAAATGAAAATTTGTCATTTTTATTCAAACTAGAAATAAGGACAAAGTGTTTTTGTTTAAATTGAACATCTGTTGTTTTCAACGTTCATCTATCGGTCTAAGGTTCCCTGAATTGTGCAAACGAAATAATGGCGTTTGCGTGTCCCCTGGGCAATTCATAAACGCTTTGTTATTTCCTTACAATACCAAGGCGCTCTTCATTTTTTACACGATGAATTTTTAATTATTCCCGAATTTCCTTATCTTAAAGACGATTTTGGGAAAAAAATGGGGTAAGTCATTTTCATTTTGCTGCATTACTTGTTTCTTGTTAATTTCTAGAAGGAAAGCAAACCGCCGTTGAATTCTTAATATCAAGGAACGCATAAAACAAAATAACAGTTAATCCAGTATGTTGTTAATTTTTAGGTTTGGTTGTTACGTTTGTGGTTAATGGTCAAATTAATCGGATGTCCAAAACTGCGTTTATTGATAACAGTTCATGAGCGTGAAAACGTTAAATGTTTGATTTGTTTTTTTTTTTATGGTTCTTTGGTAATAAATGATCCTTGTCGATTTCCACCACACTCAAACATAATTTCTATACCAATGAGAGTTTAATGCGTGAAAAAATATAGTAAAATAAATCTTCTGGCTGCTAATTTCTGATCTGTAATCCTGCCACTTTTGTCACCATGTTCATACCTTGCGTATTGTAATTGTGAAAAATGAACAAATCACTGTGTGCAAGAATAACATGAATTCACAACATTGGACGTAATTTTATGTGTCAAGATAAAAAAATTGGTATTCCAGCGCCATCCATGGCGCCAATGTAGAAATTTCATTTATGACTTGTTTTCTGACTAACTAGAGTTAAGATAATAAACTAAGGATCAAGGCATGTTCGGATTAGTAAAAAAATTAACTAAGTATCTGTAATAACGCAGAAAGAAACAATAAAATTACTCTGGTTTATTAAGGAATATATGTTTAAACATACCGAATCAGGCAGTGCAAAAAACTTATGCCTATCCTTTCAGTTTTACTCTATCAGATGCTCTTTGTCTCGGTCATCTGCATTTTTTAATCGGTTAAAACACAAAACTGAAAGTTGCAATGAGCTAAAATGCCTCTGACAGACCACATCGTTTAGAAAGAACAAGTTACAGGTTCATTGCCTTGCATCCCTAATTTAGGCGGTTTCAGTTGATTCAGCTGATTTGCGTGGCTGACTTAACTAGTTGACTGCCGTTTAAAGTCTTTTCTTTTTTCGTTTCACACCGGGCAATTTGTGGAATCAACTTTTCTTACTGGGAGTTCAGTTCAATGGTAGAACCCAAGGAGTGCTTTTTGTGCTTGCTCTTCGGCTCGTTTGCCAGTTGGCTGTTGAAACCGGGATAACATTTGTGTGCCACTTACCTCCGAGCTTTTGATTTTATCACAATATGCATTACACGTCCCATATAGTGGGATTAATCCAAATGTCTTCAATAAACTGTTCAACATTGAAATATGAAGAAGGATCGCTTCAGTTGACTCAACTAGGCGACTGGTGTGAATGATGATTACTGAGTTGTGTCTTTTGAGTTGAGTCAATCATGAAGGATGAAATGCCTGCTGGCCACCTCCTAGGCGGACGAGTTGACTGTGTTTGAAGGGGTTTGGGCAGTTTGTTGTGGGGGGGCTATCTGTCTACACTTCTTGACACCTGCCCATTCAACTAGTTGAAAGAAGCGTAGCGAAATCAGTTATAATGTTGTGGGATTAATATGGTTATAAAAAATAAAATAAAATAATAAGTCTGTACCCGTTAAGCGCAAAAACTTCTTATATTAATAACAAATTAATGAATCGAATATATCTTATAAATGGTTACAACTAATTTAGTAAGGAAAAGGGAATATTTTCTTATGATAGAAAGTAATTAAGTGTAAAGTTATTTTTTTGGTTTCCTTTTCACTGGACAAGTTGTATAGTGTAGTGTAACGAACCTTGATGAGCGTACACCACTCCACTAGAATTCTTCACTAGCAATTTTTTTGTCTTGATAACGTCACACACTTTTATTTTTACTTTATCTTCTTTCTAAAGTTGCAAGTGACCGAGTAACTCCAAATCCAGCTTGGCTCTCCTTAGCCTGCCGCCGTCCTCTCATCTGCCTCCTCAATCATTGTAACTCTGCCTTATTGATTGTTTATGTCGCTTTGGCGGCCTTTATGAAATGGCTTGTCATACAGTAGAAGAGTTTAGAGTGGGCAAAGTCACAGTATCTGGCCATTAATTAATTTTAAATTTAATTATAAAGTACAAAAAGAAAAATTTCCTCTCTGCTGACCAATATGTATTTGGATTAGCACCATTTTGAGAGCAGAACACAGAACTCTGTAAAAAAAAAAAAAAATTAAAATATTAAAAAAAGTATAATAATTTCTGCCATGTAGGAGGGCTTAACATCCAACTACCCATTATGTCGTTAATGAGGGATAAAACCATTTTATAATACTTTCTCCATATTATTCACAATTAAAAATCCATGAGCTATGCCACCCAGGACCATTAGTGTGCAAATACAAGTCGTACGCCCTAACTACTCAGCTACCACAGTCCTCATTATATAATTGTATATGATTTCGAATAAATAAAAAATAAAAAGTGTCTGGGAGGCAAGTCAGAGAGCCAACAAAGTGGCTGGCTTTGGTTGTGGTTTGGGCTGCTGGTTGTAACTTCAAAAGATTTGATGTTGGGTTGGCTTAAAGACCTCCTAGTGTAGATGCCGGCTTGATCGTTGGTTCATTCTACTTGTGCTGAAAAATGCTAGACTATGGAGTGGGATAAAGAGACTGCACTAAAACTGATCGAATTTTATCGTGAACAGGAATGTTTATGGGACTCTACAAACTGTGAATATAAAAACAAATTGAAAAAATTAGGTGCTTAGAGGGAAATAAGTGACCTTTTGGAAAGTGTGAACGAATCTTTATTGACGTCTTTCTACCGTGAAAGACAAAGAGAAGAAAACACAACTGAAAGTGGTGCTTATGAAGTCTACAAATTATGTTTGTAGAGCCAACTGCATTTCCACATGGCCTAATCCCTTGGCCCCAACCTATTGGTTTGATGAGGATAGCCTAGTTTGGCCAATGTGGTGATTACCAAGATTCAGCCCAATATATTGGTTGTCTTTCATTGGCCGAGATTTGCTTTGTGGTATGCACCTTTATAAATGTTTCATAATGAATTATAAAAGTTGGTCATTTTGGTTTTTGAAAATTACTGGAAAATTTTCATTAACGAAACGTTGCAAAAATATTGTTTTAATTGTACGCTTTAAAATACAGGGTGTTTTTTTTTCCACATATCTTTGATTTACCAGGACCTCCAGATATTCTAGTTTTTTTAGGATTCAATATTTTTATTATAGGTTTCCTTTTAATGTGACCTTTCCTAGGGTAAACAGCATGTGTGCTGTTTATAAAGACAGTATCAACCTCTAATCCAGTCTTAATAAAACAATGTAGATTAGACTTTAACCCCAAATTGGCTCTATTTTTCTATGACTGCTTGCGAACTTTGTTCGATGGTGATGGTTAATTTTTTTTTATACAATCGATGATGGGACCAGGAAGGCCAAAGATTGATTAATGGCAACTAAGAGGTTTAATTGATTGAATTAGATCACTTTCTGACTCAATATTTCTGAATCAATTGCCTGGAATTAGCTGTATCAAATGATAAAAGTAAAATAAAAGACGAGATTCATGAGTACCACACAATTTAACTGATGTCAGTAAATTTGTTCATTTATCACATAGCCTGCCTACCCCTTAGCTTCCTGTAAACTAACAAATCCAATTTTGGATAGAATCTTGGTTACGATACTTGTAATGAAAAATGATACTTAATAATAATTTTATCTCAATAAAAAAAAAAAAAAAAAAAAAAAAAAAAAAAAAAACTATTTTCCACTATTTTCTGGATTGTCAGAGGTTATGTGGACTGTGAGCTCTTGCCCCCAGTCAATCGCTAGAGAGATTCAGTTGCCTTGCTAAACTGGTTTAATTCAAAACTTAAATTTTTTTTATCCAATTTCAGTTAAATTAAAAGATGGATTGCAATAGTTGTTGGATGGTGAACTTCGCCAAGTCTTGAAATTAGAGTCTATTCTTTTTTGCTTTTTTTTTTTAATTTGGATACCAGGGACTCTCCTGAGGACTGCAGCTGAGCTGTACAGCTTATTGTTGGCTCCATATTTTGGGGGAGGGCTCGCAACACAAATGTGAACTTGAGCCCCCGTTGTACCAGTTTTTTTTCCATAGAAGAAACTCATTTTTGAAGGGGGTTGGGACCAAATTCGGGGTCGCTGAGATCCGATCCTGCCCCTTCCATTGATGAGTGCCGTGTCAGTTTCTTTCAGTTGTGGCCACCGGTCCCCTTAGGCGTCAGAAAAAGTCCAGAGGTGACGGTGAGGATTGAACCCACGACCTCGGGATCTACCAGCCGAGAGTCTGACGCCGTAACCACTCGGCTACCGCGGCCCCCGAGTCTATTTTTTATATTCCTTCTGAAATTAAGGAATTTTCTTTCGATAATGGATTTTTGACCATGATTCTTATGGAGAGGAGGATAATTAAAGCCACTGGAGATAATTTCAATTAATACATTTTCTGACTTTTTTTGCCATAATCTTCAAAAATATCTTGTTTATTTGTTGGAAATACAGTGAAATCTCAATATTTCATATATTGCTGCAATATATTTATTTATATTATTTTTTATTACATATCCCGATATATCATAAAAAAGTGCTCATCCCATGAAAAAATCCTGTTAAATAGTATACAACCAATGCATTTCAGTATTCTCGGTATAACATATTATAATATTATATAATTATTTTTATTATATATATTATATAATATTATAATTCGTATTTTAGCATTGAAATCCCGATAAAATGTATGAATAAAGTGCTAGGGGTTTCCTTATAAGAAGGTCCAAGTTCCACGTAAAGTAAACATCATTGCGTACTGCAATAAATATTGCCAACAAAGCATTAAAGAAGGCAAGCATAATAAAAAATTGTTTCTGGACTAGTGGTTTCCTTAAGGTGGATATATCAGCTATGGAACCGGAAAATGAAATCAAAGCCCCCATCAGATGTTATCATTTGTCACAAAATAAAGAAAATCCTGCCACTTTTCAGGATTTCGTTAATTTTGACGATGACGTTGCAGTTACCGGAATGCTTAACAACGACGAAATTTTAACTGAAACAGAGTACGTGGATGGTGAAGAAGATAAAGTTGCGTGTATCAGTCGTAAAGAGGTCAAGAAATTGACCAATCACATATGCCATTTTTTAACGGAATCAAACATGAGTGAAAAAAGTGTTTGGGGCATTCGCACTATTAAATTAGCAAGACAGCATATGTTTAAATATTTTTCATTTTTAACCTTAATACACCATAATCTTTGGGATTTAACTGTAGTTGCATTCTCAGGGCAAATTTTAAAATCTGGCCAAATGCGGTGATAAAATTTGTGCATTGTCTGTTTATACTAGATGAACTCTGATGTAGCTCGTAGTTTATCCAGTGTTTCAGTTATGCTATTTTGTATGGTACAGGACAAAATAAAATTTCCTTGTTCAGACATCAGTTTTTTTATGGACCTTTGGCATTGAATTTACTTTATATACTGAAATAATAACCAACCGACTATTAGTCACTGGTTTATTTTTCTTTTCATTCATGTTGTAATTTTTGTTTTCAGGGCTAGTGACGATGACTCTCCTTTGTCAGTAGAAGAAGTGACACAAAAAGACGATACTGAAATAAATGATTCTAAATCAGATAAAAAAATTAAGAAGCTGAAGAAGAAAAAGCATAAACACAAGCATAAAAGACACTCCAATAGTGAAAAACATGAAAAGTAATTTTTTTGTTATAGACTAATTAAAGTTGAAAGAGTTTTACAGAATGTCTCCTTTGTTTCAGGAAAAAGAAGCACAAGCACAAACGAAAATCAGAAAATGGTGATGTCAAAATCAAACACAAATCCTCGTCTAAAGAGGAGAAAGAAGAAGGCGAGAACAACGGAGGCGAAAATGGTACAAACAATATAGTGAATTCAAAGCCGTTGATGAATGGAAAAAAAGAGGCGAACAACCAAGTGGTGTCAGCCACTTCTGAAAACAACATCAAACCTTTAAAAGACGATGACAGTGACAGTGTTGAAGTCACTGTTATAGAAGAAGAAATGAATTTGGAAGATTTAATGAGGCAAAAGGTAAGTTTCTTTTTATCACGATTTACTTTTGAAAATCTATTAGTTATAATAAACATACACATGTAAAGGCGCTGCTTCAAGCAAGGCTAGGTGCTTATATGTCGGATTCTGATAATAGTGTTAAAGAAGAAGGTGAAGTTATCAACTTGACTGGTGAATATAACCATAGTGCACCAACAGAACCTAAAAAGAGAAGAATAGAGAGCAGGTATGCATAAAAAAAAACATTATTTTCAAAATATATGTAACAAATACACATTACCAATTATAGGAGTAGAAGCCAAGAGAGGAAACTGAGTAAAGATAATTTAAATGATAAACACAAAGAAAAATATTCAGGTGCAGTTAGTAAGCATAAAAAGAAAGAAGAGGAAAAGAAGAGAGACCAGAAAAAGAGGGATGATGAAGAAAAAAGATGGAAGGAAGATGAAATCCGACGAGAAGAGGAGGCTAGAAGAAGGGAAGATGAGTTAAGAAGAAAAGAAGAAGAAAGAAGAAGAGAAGAAAGGTTTGTTTTGAAAAAAAAAAAAAAAATAGAAAAGAATGATTGTAAATGCAAATATTTGAAAATGACAATATTGATAGAAATATGTTGAATTTCTAGAAGAAAATCAGACCAAAAGAGGCAGGAAGAAAGAAATAGGAGGGAAGAATTAAGGCGTAGAAGCCTTTCCAGGAGAAGAAGTTGTTCTCGTAGTAGAGATCGTAGGGACGATAGAGACAGGCGAATTGACAGGAGGCGTGATGACGACAGGGATATTCGTGATAGGAGGCGGGACGATTCGAGAGATAGAAGAAGAGACGATATTAGAAGACGAAGCAGGGACAGAGATCGTAGGAGTAGGTCTCCTCAAGGTCAGTTTCAGGTCTGTCGAGAAATCTCTTGTAGAGTTTGCTTTTAACGTGGATTAATTTATATTTCAGGAAGAGATAGAGACAGGAGACCATACAGATATGATTCAAGGCGTTCTCACAGTAGAGATAGAAATTATTCTAGGTATGCTCTTGTTCAATAGAAAATTTAAAAGCTTTAATTAAATTAACATTATTACTAAGGGAGGGGTTTTTACTGTCATCTTATGTTAATTTTTTTAAACCTCTTTTAACTCATTAACTGCACTGGTTGCCCTCAGGGGATTTATCTCAAGAAATAGCCCTTTGGTACATAAAAATAATGTACAGTAAAACTTAGTTATGTCTAAGGTCTAAGGCAAAACAGCACTATAATCAGGAAAGCACTATTAACGGGAAATCATAAAAACACAGCTTAAAATGATAAAAATTTATTTTAAAACATAGAATGTATAAAAATAGGTCTGTGGGTATGTACATATACATAAAGTAAAATAAACAATGAACTTATTCAGTTACATATTAGATGTGTCTGGACTAAAATATGTAATTACAATTTTTTTTTTTAAACAGAACACATTTTTTGAATCCAATCCGTTTATTTTGTTGAAGGTTTCTTAATTTTTACTGGTGTGCAGGGAAAAAAAATGTTTGAAGCGTTTTGATCCCATACCACAACATTAAAGGTCATCATCCTCTTCTTCATCATGTTTGATGCACTGGGATGATCTTCATTCATGGTCTATAGGCTTGAAGTTTCACTGGTCACAAGATTATTGTCAAAATTTCAAAACCTACCAACTCAGTGTCTGTGGTTATAAAGTCTTCCCAAGTTTTGTCATTTACCTTTGCTAAAAAATAAGTCAAAAAGTTAAAATTATAAATAAGAAAACAATCAAATCTTAAATTTCTTGGCATTCCGAATTCCTAACTCTTGCTTTCTTGAAACAATTCCGAATTGTTTCTTTCTTAACGCCTATTCACACAACGTGCAAAGATTAGATGAAATTTTTGGGTAAGTCGTCGTAGATGAATCTCCTATCGTTTTTGTACCATCATTCTTCTGTAGCGTAGCCTTGCTTCAGGATTTTATTATTCCCTGATTGAGAGATGGTAACTCACTGGTAGTGTTTGGCGGCAAGAAAACTAGCTTGATGTTCTACAGAACTACACAACTTTCTTGGATGTGCAGCACAGTTGTCAACGAGCAAAAGTATCTTGTGATCTTTTAATTCGGTGTCCCATTTGTGTAGCCATTGTGAAAACCAATCTCCAGTCATCCACATGATAGATTTAAAAAAATGTTTTCTTTTTTTATGGCTTATATTAAAAAAACACTCAAATTGGAGCATTATAACCAAGAAATCAAATCATTAAAACGAATAAAGTTGTCATTGAAAAATAGTTTTGGGTCAAGAGATGGAAAAGAGTGTTATGGCCGGAAAATCATTACCTACCTTAACCTCAACAAGTAGGAGCATTATAAAGAAGTTTTACTGTAAATTATTTTTATTTTGTTTTATTTATTTTATTTTTTTAATTGCGTTTATCTAAGTGATATAAATTATATGATGCAACAGTTGCATTCCCCGAGTGCTAAGTAGAAGAATAATCAAACACTGATGGAAAAAGTACACGGTTTTCAAAGAATAAAAACCTTTTTATGAATTTATTAATAAAACTGTTCCCAGCAAGTAAAATATAGCTTTATTTAATGAGAGCAATTATTACATTGGAATCTTTGTATAATTTCTTTTCTACAAGCAATAATGATCAGCATTGATCTTCCTTTGCATTTTTTTTTTAACTAGTTGATTTTGGTCAATATTGCTAATTGTAAATATTTCCTGTTTATTAGCTTTGTTACATCGTCATTTATAGGAGTTTTTTTTTTTTTTTTTTTTTTTTTCAGTGGTTGATTTTAGTTGTATCTTTAAAATTAATACATTACAATTAATTAAGGTTTTTAGTTGAGATGAAAAAAAGTTAATGGCACGAGCGGGATTCGAACCCACGATCTTTGGCTAGATACGCCGCTGCTCTACCATTTGAGCTATCGTGACCTCGATCCACTCGGACATCAACTTCCTATCTCAACCCCACCTTATGAGTTTTCCCTCCTTTTTGCCATTCATCTCAACTAAAAACCTTAATTAATTGTAATGTATTAATTGGTCAAGCGGACCACGAAATTAGCGAATTTAAAATTAATACTTTGATTATGATTTTCTAAACATTTTTTTCAAAAGCTTGACATTTCGAGACGTAAAAATCCACACTTGATCAGATGATCAGATTTGAATTTTTGTTCCACCAAATTTCAGATCCCACAAAAGCCGAACAGTCAAAGATAAATTTAAGGATAGCTTATCAGAGGGTCAAATAAGAGATGCCAATTCTTCTTCCTCCGAGGATGAGTATGTCCTTATAATATAGATTGCATGAATTAATTTTACATTGTATGTAATGATAAATTTTCAGCCTTACTAACATTAACATTGTGGAAGATGAAGAAGATGAAGAAGAAATCATCGAGAAGAGAAGAAAGCAAAGAGAAGAACTTATTAAGGTAATTAATAAATAATGAAAAACTAATTCAGAGGAGATTGAAGTGGCCGAGTTATCAGAGCGTCCGACTCTTTATTTGCCAAACTATCGGTCCTGCATTCGAACCCTGGCATAGCACATGGCATTTTAATTGAAAATACTATGAAAAAAAATATTACATGGTTTGATCCCTCGTCCGCTGACACTGGAAGGACGTTAAGCCCTCCTGTATGACAGGAATTTCTTTATTTTTTACTACTTTTTTTTACTTGTTCAGAAAAGTACAACAAAAAAGTTTGAATTGTCATTTCAGAGATTGGGAGCTGTAAGTGAAGATTCAAACCTAACAGTGTCACAGGCAGCAAGCCCTGTTATTGCTGTAATTGAAAACGATGTGGAGGCTCCTAAAAAAAGGAAATCTAGGTTTGAACCAGAAGCTAATTCTGATGCCAACTTGCCCCCTCCAAAAGAAAGTCCACCCCCAGCCAAACCAGACAAATGGGATATGTTTGCAGAAGCTGATACACCTGTAGAATATAATGTAAGTTTTTGTGTTTTTAATTTATGAGATTGTTTTTAATTTGTTTCATTTGTAGAGCCCTGGAGTTGTTGATAAAAGTGCTGGGGCTGAAAATCCATCGCTGACTGATAATTGGGATGATGCCGAGGGTTATTATAGAGTCAGAATCGGTGAAAATCTCGATTCTCGTTATATAGTTTATGGATACACTGGTCAAGGAGTTTTCTCCAATGTCGTCAGAGCTCGGGACAGCATTCGAAATAACCAAGACGTAGCTGTGAAAATCATAAGAAATAATGAAATAATGTATGAATAAATTAATTTCAGCTTTTTTCAGCATTTAACTTGATTTAATTTCAGGCACAAAACTGGTTTAAAAGAATTAGATGTATTGAAAAGGTTAAATGATGCAGATCCTGAAGACAAGTTCCATTGTTTAAGACTTTTTAGACATTTTTTTCACAAACAACATCTTTGCCTTGTATTCGAACCTCTTAGTATGAATTTGAGAGAAGTAAGAAATGCCATAAAATATTTTATGATTTTATTTATAATAATGTTTTATCTTTATTAGGTCTTAAAGAAGTATGGTAAGGATGTTGGTTTGCATGTAAAAGCTGTCAGATCTTATAGCCAACAACTTTTCTTTGCCTTGAAGTTGCTCAAGAAAGCGAATATTTTACATGCAGATATAAAACCAGATAATATTTTGGTAATAAATTATTATTTCAGTGGCCATTTATTATAAAACTAATATTTTACGTTTTTTCTAGGTGAATGAAAGCAAATTGATATTGAAACTTTGTGACTTTGGTTCAGCATCACATGTAGCGGACAACGAAATAACACCTTACCTTGTTAGTAGGTTTTACAGGGCTCCAGAAATAAGTATGTTAACTTTAAATATTATAATATTTTCATCTTATTAAACGTCTTTAATTGATTTTGAAAGTCCTCGGAATTCCTTATGACTTTGGAATTGATATGTGGTCTGCTGGGTGTACAATTTATGAATTATACACTGGTAAAATTATGTTCCCGGGCAAATCCAATAACCAGGTAAGATTTTTATTTTGTAAAGTTTTTATTTCTGAGATTGCCACCAACATATTTTTTTTTCCAGATGTTAAAACTTTTTATGGACCTGAAAGGCAAAATGCCTAATAAACTTATCAGAAAAGGAGCGTTTAAGGATCAACATTTTGATGTAAATTGTAATTTTTTATCCCATGAGGTAGACAAAGTCACAGAGAGGGTAAGAATTTTTGTTTTATACTCATTGCTTTTAATAATAACAGGGATTTTTAAAAATAAATAATGAAAGTGAGCCTGCCATAATCTTATAAACATAACTTTTCTTGTTTTAACTCATTAAGGATGGTAAGCGGTCTAAATCCCCAAATGACAAACTGAGAGCATGATGTGCACATCTACTCTATGCAAGTACTGAGAGCGTACAAGTACCTCTACAGATATACTGAGAGCATGATATTGTGCTCATCCCTACCTCTACTTAGGTACTGAGAATGTGATATTTCTCTCGTCCCAATTCTATGCAGGACTGAGAGCATGAAATTGCGCTGATCCCTACATCTATGCATGGACGGAGTGTATATCATGCTCTGTTTTTTTTCACCTTTAGATTCAAGTTCATAGAAGCAGTGTTCTGTTTAAGTTATTATGTTTAGAACTAATGAGAGTGGGAAATTTAAAAAACATGATTATTCAGAGATCGTGAGATGCCGTCTGGTGTGACGTAGGTTTCAGAAAAACATTTTCTTTATCGTGCCAACGTTTCGATCTTTTAGATCATCTTCAGGGCCTAGGATTTATAAACATTGTTTAATTTTTACAAATACAAATGAATTTATACAATGCTAGAAATTTCAGATTAAAAAAATTAATTTGTACAATGCTAAAAAATTTTAGATAAAAAAAAATGAATTTATACAATGCTAGAAAATTTTGAGTGAGTACAAATACTTTGATTGAATCTAAATTTTCTAGCATACTATAAATTCATTTTTTTTTAATCTAAAGTTTTCTAGCATTGTCTAAACTCATTTTTTTTATCTAAATTTTTTTAGCATTGTATAAATTCTTTTTTTTTAATCTAATGTTTCTAGCATAAATATATTACGCAGGGTGGGCGACCAAGACCCGAGGGGTTAAGCGCCTGGGTAGACTCGTACCCCATAATGTTTCTAGCATAGTATGAATTCATTTCTCACATCCTACATGTATTTGTAAAATTTAAACAATGTTTATAAATCCCAGGCCCGGAAAATTATCTCAATAAAGATCGAAGCGTTGGCACGATAAAGAAAATGTTTTTCTAAAAATCCCCTTCATCCCCTTCATACAATAATAAACACGGCCAAAGGGTTACTTCACTGAATGATTACCTTAAGCCATGAATCCTTCCACCACAAAAAACCTGTACCTTAAACACATAATTAACAGAATAATCAACAACTACAACTCAACACTAACACCATCCACTATTACTAAAATACTACATTAAATCTATCGAATACAAACAAACCAGCATACATTTCCATACCATTTATCCAAGACCTATCACATAAATTAAACACATTCTCTCGTCCGATAACTTCAAAATAGCTTTCAAAAATTATAAAACAATTCAAACACTTTTTTCCAAAATTAAAGATCCCACACCAATAACAAATAAATCTGACGTAATCTACAAGATCAACTGTTTAAACTGTCCGGCAACTTACATCGGTCTTACATCCCAATATCTGGACAAGAGAGTAAAGCAACATATCTATGATTGCAAAAAACCTAAGCAAAATCCTACAGCACTCGCTACCCACCATCTTGAACACCAACACAATTTCGACTTCAAAAATCCAAAAGTATTACACACAGAACAAAACAAACATAAACGTAATTTCTTAGAAATGGTTTATATCAACAGAGATAAACACAGCATCAATTACAGAACAGATACATGTAAACTCAGTCGCAGCTACGCCAATATCATTAATCAAATTCAATACAGATAACATACCTATATCATCACATTACATTCCACACATCAAATATTTTTCACATAGTCTAATTTCCCAACAATTTAGCTTTCCTTTTCCTATTTATCCCTTTCTATATAATCCTGAAAGGATAATCTGGCCGAACCATTACCAACACATTTTTTCCCTTCGTCGGCTCTTTTCACCTCAAAGAAGCCGACGCCTTATACAAAAATGTCTTTTCTATACCGACATCCTTCCCCACCCCTTCAAAATCCAACGTATATAAACGCAAAATAGCAAAATCTCACTGGCATTCTCGACACGACACGCAAGAATGGCACAATTACACAGAAGACAAACACTTTGAGTGAGTAGAAATACTTTGATTGAATATATAAAATATATTTTGCATTGTATAAATTCACTTTTCCACATCCAAAATGTAATTGTTACATGTAAACAATGTTTGTAAATCCCAGGCCCTGAAGATGATCTCAATTAAGATCGAAACGTTGGCACAATAAGAAAATGTTTTCCTGAAACCTACATCACACCAGACCGCATCTCACGATTTCTAAATAAATATCGATTAACAGTCACTAATCACCACACACGTTTTTCTAAAACCTTCGTCACACCAGACATCTCATGATCTCCGAATAATCATTGACTAACGGTCACTAAAAACCACACATTAAAAAACATTGCCATTGTTTACCTACCATTTTGACACATTCGTTACGACTGTTGTTCTACAACAATGCCTTGTATATGGGCATCGTTCCACCTCTTCAAGAAAACCCTTACTTTCGAAGGTTAGATGTAGGGTGTTGGGTGTAGTTTTGGAATGAATGTCGGCCTTTAGTATCACTTTGGCAACATTGGGAAGACTGTTTTTCGATTTGACTCTTATATATGTATCAAAATTATAAATCTTAATCTGTTCTATCTCGGGACAACAAATCAATGCCATAACAAATGTGTTAAGCAAGACACTGCTGCTTCTTTTAGCTTCAGTCTAAAAGTGAAGAGACTTCAGCGTGATATCAGTACAAGTTGATACCTGAATATAGTAGGGGTGAGCATGATGGTAAGCTCTCAGTACTTCACTGGGGGAAGCAAGAGCGTGATACCACACTCACCATCCTGAAAGGGTTATTTTGAAATAAAATTTTGTTAAGCATAAATTACTGGTTAAACTGAGGATATAAGATACGAATGTATTTTTCCCATCTTCCTTCCTTATAAAAATAACAATGACTCTCTTTCAGGAGAAGGTGGTTGTAATGTCGACTATTATTGCTACAAGAGAATTACATTCTGAACTGGTGGGTAACCAACATTTGCCTGAAGACCAGGCAAGGAAGGTGAACCAGTTGAAGGATTTGCTCGACCGCGTTCTTATGCTAGATTCGAGCAAAAGGATCGCCCTCAATCAGGCTTTAACACATCCTTTTATACAAGAAAAAATATGAACCTCGTAGGAGGTAACAGTGAAACCACAATTTCGGTACAGTTTGGGTTAAAGCAAAAATTCCTCATTACAAAAAGAAAAAACAAAACGCGTATATATATTATATATAACTACATATATAATGTATATATGTAAAAACACACACACCAGCCCAGTTCCAGACATTTTAGATTGTAAAATTCAGTGTTGATTTTTCTCAACAAACTAAAGTTTAGGCAAATTTTTGTATATTGTGTTAGTTTATATATGTTTAGTTGTAGTGATTATTTTCTATCTTGAATTTTGTAAATCTACCCTTTTTTTTCAATCATAACTTTTATTCAAAGAAAAGAAATATTTATTTATGTATATAATTCTTATGGCCAGGAATGGTTGTTATGTGTTTATGTAATGTTTTATTTAGTATACCCCCAAATGTAATGCCCTGCTTAATAGGAAAAAATTTGTTCTGATTTTGTGGAAAATAAAATTTAAAATATAAAAAAAAGAATATATTTAATTTGGTCATTTAAATCACCAGACAAGTATGAATAATCGTTAATAATTAATGATTAATAATTATATTATTCGTGTTATACTAAATAACAGGAGGCAAATGTTTTGGGAGTGATCTAATTGAAAAACAGAAAATGTTCATTTTCTCAAAGTAAACTCAAGATTGGTCTAAATAAATTATATTGTCATATATCAATTTATATTTTCATTTTTACATCTTGTGTAATATATTTCATTAATTTTAATGCTAATTGACACAAATCCATTTTACAGTTGAAGTAAAGACAGTTTATTAATATAATTTTGAAAAATTGATTATTCATATGTAAAATCATATTCTTATACATTTTTCAAATACCTCCACTGGTTTTACAATCCTCCAAAATTAATTAGTTAATTAGTTCAACCCATCAAATTCCTTTTTATTTTTGTTAATTTTTCAACACCATTTTTGATTTTTTTTTTACCTTTGTTATGATTGGTGTTTCTGTTGCAGAGTAATTGTGTGAGGCAATGTTCATTGTTCGAGACTTGAGAATTCTCATGCGTGTGTTGCCTGGCGCACAGGTTTTACAGAAAGGGGCTAATTTTAAGGTTATAACCCTGACCCAAAATAATTGTAATTATTATTAATAATGACTTCAATATTATCGCTCCTTTTGTCATATCATTTATTAAAAATCACCTTTTATAACTCATTTTTAAAGTATCATACAGAGAAAAATCAAAAGTAATATTTTATATTTTAAAGTAGTAAGAGTTATGGAAGGTAGTGATACACTTATTAACAATAGTTATCATACTATTTTTGCATGATCAAAATAAATTAAATTAAATTACTTCCATGGTTTTTGCTTTAGTTTTTCCAGTAGAATCACAATTTGAATAACTTTACATTAATAAAGAAACAAATTGCTAAAACAAAACAAAAAAGCTATTTTTTAAACTTATTTTATACAATTTTAACTAAAACAATTTGTTCCGTTGGGGTTCACAGGAGAGCGGTTGGTCTAAATGCTGAGCCACCGCCCCAGCAATTATTAGTCAAGTCCAGTACCACCTTGCTGTAGGTAATTTATAAAAAAAACATCAAGGTGTTTTTAATGTAAGTCAAAACAAAATTTTACCGAAAGTTTTTCTTTTTTTTCCACAAAATCAAAAATTACCGTTTTGAGAGGAACATTTTGTAAAGATTTAAAATTTCCCTAGGTGGATCAGAGCTTTATTGCAGTTGACATTCAGGAAGGGCAGAAGAGCGATAGTGTTTACCAGGTTGTATTTGATTCAACTTTCTGCATATATATATTTTTTTCTTTTTATATTTTTGTTCAACTTTAAAGCATTTTATTGCCTTTCGGTACCTTTCAAATACAACTTCATTTAATTATATGACAGGACCTTCTCCAGACAAGAATTACAGGGGTGAAAGCCTTAATTTATTCCGACTTAAAAACTTTTCTACCATGTTTTGTATTGAATGATAGAGAACACATTCAAACGTTAAAACAAATGTTTCATATTTGTCCTTACACCTGGATCTAATGGATAACATTAATCAGGAAATTATATGTACTGTTTTACTGGCACATATTTTTCTTATTTGTAGCTATTGCTTGGAATTTGAGGTGCAATCTGATCCAGGGAATAATAAAACTTTAACAGGTAAATTAGAGCTGTAATTAACTTTTCTCTATTATTATTAAACAATAATTTGTCTTATTTCAGGTCTGTAAGTTTGTCAACATCTCCAGTTCCATTACAACCAGTGGGAATATTAATTAATTATTTATATATGGAAATATTAATTATTAATTTTACGATACATTTTTTTGCAATAAATTAGTTTGTTCAATATTGATTTCATTCCCTTTTTCTTTTCATTTAACACTTTCAATTCTGCTGGATCTAATTTGAATTTTCACCCCCCCCCCCGGCATTGCATGCGATTTGGCACACGGTTCTGGTCTAACATGGACTCTCGTCAGTTGGAGAGTACTGATTGGCCACTTGGACCCCAACAAAAAGGAGGGAAAATTCAAAAGATGGGGTTGAGATAGGAAGTTGGTGTCCGAGTGGATCGAGGTCACGATAGCTCAAGTGGTAGAGCAGCAGCGTATCAAGCCGAAGATCGTGGGTTCGAATCCCGCTCATGCCATTGACTTTTTTATCTCAACTAAAAACCTTAATTAATTGTAATATATTAATTGGTCAAGTGGACCACGAAATTAGTGAATTAAATGATTTAAAATGAAGTATACTTCACTAAAGCTCTCTGTGGCCATTTCATTTGTCGTCGAGAATCGAATAGAATACATGATATTTGAAAAATGGCAAAAAGGAGGGAAAATTCAAAAGGTGGGGTTGAGATAGGAAGTTGGTGTCCGAGTGGATCGAGGTCATGATAGCTCAAGTGGTAGAGCAGCGGCGTATCAAGCAGAAGATCGTGGGTTCGAATCCCGCTCATGCCATTGACTTTTTATCTCAACTAAAAACCTTAATTAATTGTAATATATTAATTGGTCAAGCGGACCACGAAACTAGTGAATTAATTATTAATATAAAATGGGTAAATGGTGATGGAGTATCCAGCACCCTATCTCTACTTGAGTCAATGATACTTAATTAGGAAAGAATGAATGAGATTGTGCTTGCCTAGGTTGAAAAATAGCATACGTTGGGGGATGATGTTAACATGCTAGATGTTGACAGCTCTGGAGCTTAACTTCGGTGGTGTTACAGATAAGACCTGTCTGCAAAAAACCCAAAGTTGATGATAATCCTGAATAAAATTTAGGATGTGTAAGAAAATAGGGAAAGGACACAATTTGAAAAGGAAAAAGTATGTTGATGCAATGAAAATCAAAAGAAAGTATGAGGTCACGCAATGAAGCCTAGAATGTGAATGATCAGTTCTTTCATTCCCCGGTTCACTTGTTTCTCTCACTGGCGTTGTCATTCTAGCTGTGATGCCAGCATGATAACGACACTCGATTCTAAAACAAGATCCAGATGATTTGGTTGTACGCTAATGAGGATCTTTATTATTTGTTATGCGACTCATGGGCATTACTAAAAAGACAAAGAAAAGATTGATGATCACAAAAACCAACCGGCACCAAAGATGATTCACCACCCCTCACATCCTTATAAAAGAGAATTCACAGTAATGGTCAGAGTAGTAACACTGAAGATGGCGAAACTAAAGAATATGGTGAAATGTGTTTAACAAGGATGACATGACCATACTAAATTATTTCTGGTCCTATGATCCTACAATCCATAAAATAAAGAATTACTAAAATTGAAGACAGAAAGAAAACATTTGAATAGACAGTAAAATTTATTTATTATAAACACATTTACAAACACATTTTATAATTGTTTAACAACTCACTTTTCAGCGCATCATTGACTAAATAAATTAAAAGCGCCATCCTAGTTAGATCTCAACCACTCAATTTTAATCAACAAAATGGAATGAAATGTTTAATATTTAAATAATTTTAATGTATTGTCAGATACATTCTAGTTACAGTTCATAGGAAGTTCTAGTTACTGAAGAGATGGTTCATTTGTGAACTGATAAATGAAAAAAATAACCAACTTTAAAAAAGATCAAAATATTAATTCATTATTGGTCATCTCGTTTAGGATAATATTGTTTTATGATTTTAGTCAAATCCTGCGCTACCTCCATTGTGGAAGCACACATAAAACGACAACTCATCAAGTCCAAGTCTCCGCCTGAAAATATTTAAAAATAAATGTTTTAATACATTAAAAACATATCTAACAATAGATGTATTTATTAGTCATAATTAACTGTCAAAGCTAGTGTCACATGCGGGATTCGAACCCACAACCTTCAGCTCGATATGTCGCTGCTCTAACTTGAGCTATCGTGACTTCAATCCACTCGGATAGTAACTGAAAATATGGCAAAAGGAGTTAAATTCAAAAGGTTGTAGGTTGAGATGGGGAGTTGATGTCCAAGTAGATCGAAGTCATGATTGGTCAAGTCATTGGAGCAGTTGCGTATTGAACCAAAGTTCGAATCCCGCACATCACACTAACTTTTTCATCTCAATCAAGATCTTAGTTAAAAAGTATAATTAATTATAATATCTAACAAAGTTTTACCCACCATTAGGATCTTGAACGAAACCTCCTGCCTCTTTTACGATAAGATAGCCAGCAGCCATGTCCCAAATATGCAGGCCAAATTCAAAATATGCATCTGCTGATCCTCGTGCAACACTGGCTATGTTAAGAGCAGCTGATCCATACATGCGAATTCTGAAAAAAATTAAACCTAGAGTTTCTTGGTTTGAATTCTGGTATTGCAAAAAATATTGTAAAATGAGGTTTTAACTTGCAGAACATTCGAAATTAGTAGTTGAATCCTCCTGCATGACAGGAATTATTTACTTATATTTAAATTGTACATGAGAATACTTATACAATTTATTTCATTTTTTTATATTTTTTTGTAATGGCCTTATGGGCTTGCATATTAACCAGAGTATGTAGTTGAATGTTTCAATGTCATCAGGGGGGGGGGATAAAAGGGCCATGGGGCGATGGTGAGAATCGAACTCAGGACCACGAGGTCTACGAGCCGAAAGTATATCACGCTAATTACTCAGCTACCACGGTCCCTCCCACTTATAACATAAATAAGATCAAATGGATGCATAACATATTTAAAATAATTTGCCAAAGAAGACAAGTAATTTACCCATGTGAAGCATGATAAACAGCATCAAAGTTCTGCTTTACACAAGTCATTTTTTCTGGACTTGAATTTGAACCACACTCCATGATGATCAAAGATTTTGCCAAATCTAAAAAAAAGTGTAATTTCCTGAGTCAATTTAAACAAAAATTTAAACCTGAAGCATGGAACAAATAATAACTTAACATAATAACATAACAAATACTTTTCTACCTTTTTCCATTGAAACTTTAATGGGTTCACCATTTAGAAAGGCACCCTCGCCACTAATAGAAGAATACAGGTCACCCAAAACGGGTGCATAAATTATGGCAATAGTTGGTTCCTTTTTAATATAAAGGGCTAAGGATATGCATGTATTCGGGTTCCCATGGACGAAATTCATTGTACCATCGACAGGATCTATGATCCAAGTAGGATCATCTGTCAAAGTAAGTTCCTTCTCACAATATGACGATTCTTCGCCTATGAACCTACAAGAACGATTTAAAACAAATTAAATTGATATAATCATATTTCACCAAATGTCTATAATAATACAAAACATTATGTGTTCAAAATTTTCTTTACTAACTTGTGAGTTGGGAAATGTTCATGGAGATGTGAAATAAGTGCTTCTTCCACTTTTTTGTCGGTTTCAGTAACTAAATCCAATTGTGAAGATTTAGTAAGAATATTTTTTTTAGCTTTGATGCCCTGTTTTATTAACTGTACATAAAAAATACATAGTATAGTAAAATTATTATACATTATTAATATTTATTATTATTAATTTTGTATATACAAACATATTATACATAATTGAGCTTATGAATTCTCACATCAAGTCATGGGAATTACACACATTAAAGTTTTTAATTAAGACTTCAGTCTTATCTTTTCTGCTGCCAAAATTGCTGTCAACAGTTAGGTCTTTTCAGCCCCCAACATATGCAGCTTTTAAATCTAGATATTTCCTCAATTTACATACCATTCTTCCAAATAGACAGATGGAGTAGCCGATATTTTGAATTTTACAAATTATTTCTAAAAACATTATTACAGCAAACAATTGAGCTTTTGTTCAACATGGTGAGCATGGTCATATAAAAGAAGTCTAAACGAACAAAGTTTCCCAGGCCTAGTTTTGATCAGTGTTTTAGAGTATCACATATTCTTGTATAATGCACACAAATTGTGTAACTTTTTTCTTAATATCGTTCAACTCTTTTGTTTCACATCACTGGGGTTATGAACTTTTCGGATAATAAATATGACTCAACTTCCAAGGGTGGTGAAATTTTGACCAACGCGTCCTCAGATAATAAGTAACATAATTACCCTATACATTTTAACAAGAAATGTCACAATGTTTTCTACAAAGACCTAGAACAAACTTGATTTTTTATACTTTATTTGGATTGCTCTGACAGAAAATCAGTGTGAGTTTGAAAACCATCAATCTTCAAATTCACAATTTAATCAGAGTAGTTAATAAATTAAAACTAACTTATTTTTACAAGTTCTACACCAACTAAACATGTTTTAATATAATTACACATTAAAAAATATGCAGCAGACAGTTTTCATGGAGCCACAGCCAACCAAAATACAAACAGGCTACATTGAAAGAATTGTCAGCCCTTGTCTTTATGGAGAGTGAGTTGCGATAAATCCTAGGGAAAAACATTAGCATTTACTCATTTATATGCCTTTGGAAACGATCAACTTATTGGTGATTTTATATTTTACTTTATTTACAATTTTTAGGTGGTTTATTATAATGGCAAATATAGAAAACAGGAGTTGTAAATCTGTTAGTTGTAGGTTTGGGTGAGACATGCTCTCGGGGAGCGAAGTCACAGTGGCCCAATGTCTGAGCATCAGAATACTTAAAAAAAAAAAATAATACACCAATTAAGATAGAGACAATCAATCACAATTTAATCAGGGAGTTTAATATTTAAAAACTTTTATTTACAGGGACTACACGGACTTGATGATTTCCAAATTAAAAACAAATGAGTAAATTGTGAGATTTCCTCCAATGGTCTGCGGGATGATAAACCTATTATTTAATAGTGACCCATCATCCTGGTCTGCCTATCCTCACTGATTTTTGTTGGTTCGGGTGCCATTTTGCCGAAACACGTCTGACCCAACAAAAATCAGCGAGGATAGGCAGGCCAGGATGGTAAGTAACTATCAAGCAAATGAGTAAATATCTAAGTTTTTTCCAAGTATTGATCACAACCCAATTGCTATAGAGGGGTTACAATATATTCTATATAAAAAATAAAGTTTGTTGCATATTTCTTAGTGTGTTTGTAAATTTTACACTGATTTAATTGTGTTTTGACAGTTTTTATGTTTAGTTGTATATTATAAAAAAGTCATGGGTGGGACTCAGTCTGTGGATCAGTACTCTGATGATCAGAATTAAGACACTGTGACTTCAGTCCCAAGAGCATGTCTCATTTCAACCTACCTGCTATAACAGTTCTCATTTTTTCTTTACTACAACAATTACATTAAAAAGTATAAATGAAGATAATTGAAACCATTAAGTTGATGGTTGGCATAGTAAAAAATAAGTAAATGTAAGGAGGATTGTACAACTGGTGGGAGCAGGTTGAGATGAGACTCGCTCTCAGGGACTTAAGAGGCTCAGTGTCTGAGCATCGGAGCACTGATCCGGAGACTTGAAGAAGAGTCCACCCATGACTTTTTTTTACAATACACCACTAAACGTAAAAAACTACCAAACCAACACAATTAAATAAGGTAGTTTAATATTTATAAACAAGGGTTGATTTTATTTTCAGGATCCACACTGACTAAGCAAGCTTCAACAAGAGTCATATTAAACTATCAATGGTATAGTTTAGTCATACTTATAAGATTCACGCTACATAGCTGTTCTTCTCATTTAAGAAAAAAAACTTTTTCAGGATCTAAATATTAAAAAATTCTTACTTCTCCGGTTCTTTCGACAAGTTCCATTGCGACTTGGAAGAATTTGTTTACATCCTCGGTGCTCGCATTGTTAATAGAAGCGTCTGCCATTCTGCTTGTCTACGTAATTTATTAATTTTAAAATAATTAACTTTTATAACTCAAACGAACATCAATTTGCGCGAAAACTGATATTCTGGGCAATCTTTCTTGTTTTGTAGGTTGACCCGTTGACGTATTATTTGATAGCTACGAGTTACCATTATGTAACACTAAAAAAAAGATGATGCCGTTTGACATATAAAAAGAAAATGTGGAAAAGTCGGGTATAATAATAATAAATTGAATTTCGAGTAAATGAAAACATAATTAGTTTTAATTTAATAGTGAGTAGGGGAAACGAGAGGGTTTTAACGGAAAGCTCTTGCGAGTGGGGTTTTGAATTGTCAAATCAGCTGTGGGATGTTAGGTTCTTAACAATCCTAAGCATACGCATTTGAAAAGCAAGTCTTGATCGGTCAACAACAGGATTTCGTTTCAGTGAAATTTGTCTCCGTATTTTAATTTTTATTAAAATTCGTACTCACACTTTCTTTGCCCGGGATCAAATAGTTTCGAAAGTGCAACTTAAAGAAAATGAATTTCGACATCGGAATAAATAGCTTTTTCAGGCGTGAGATCACGAAGATTGACAACACTCTTCTGCCCGAAGGATTCAACGGCGACAGAAGGAGCGTGAAGTAAGTGTCATACTAGGCAAAATTCTCCGTTTAGTCTCTAGCGTTTCTCCTAGCATTTGGCCGGTGATGATCATTCCTCCCTTAAAAGGAGAAAGCCTTGGCCAGGGCGAATTGGAATGTACGCTGCACCCATCTCTCCCAAGGCACAAAACAAGCGATTTCAATGTCAGTAAACAAGATGATTTTGGTCAATACAGTAAATTGTCAATATTTCCTGTTGGTTAGTATTTGTTACATCGTCATTTGTAGGAGGCAGATTTTTTTTATGTTGCAATATTTCAACACATTGACAGTAAACAAGCTGATTTTGATCAAAACTGTATATTGTCAATATTTTTTGTTTGTTAGTATTTGTTGCATCAACATTTGTAAGTTTTTTTTTGTGTTGCACCATTTCACAACATTGACAATGTACATGATAATTTTGGTTAACATTTCAAACTGACAACATTTCCTGTTTGTTCGTGTTACTTGTATCGTTGTTTGTAGGAGACAGTTTTGTTATGTTGCACCATTTCAAACATTGACCGTTGAATTTGTTGTATATTTGTTGAATATTAGTAAGAGAGTTTTTTTAATGTTGCACCATTTCAACACATTGACAGTAAACAAGCTTTTTTGGTCATTATTGCAAATTATCAATATTTTCTCTTTATTAGTATTTAGTGTATTGTCATTTGGAGGACAATTTTTAAAAAAATAACCATTATATTGGTGAACATTGTAAATTTACAATATTTCCCACTTGTTAGTATTTGTGTATTGTCATTTGTAAGAGATAGTTTTTTTATGTTGCACCATCGCAACAACATTGACAATGTACATGATCATTTGTGTTAACATTGCAACTGACGACATTTCATGTTTGTTCGCGTTACTTGCATCGTTGTTTATAGGAGACAGTTTTTTTTATGTTGCACCATTTCAGCACATTGATAGTAAACAAACTGATTTTGATCAATATTGCAAATTGTCAATATTTCCTGTTTGTTAGTATTTGGTGTATTGTCATTTGGAGGACACTTTTTTTCTGATGCACCACTTCAACACATTGACAATAAACAGCATTATTTTGGTGAACATTGTAAATTGACAATATTTCTCGTTTGTTAGTATTTCTTGTATTGTCATTTGTAAGAGATAGTTTTTTTATGTTGCACCATTTCACAACATTGACAATGTACTAATAATTTTGGTTAACATTGCAAACTGAATATTTCCTGTTTATTCGTGTTACTTGTATCGTTGTTTGTAGGAGACAGTTTTTTTATGTTGCACCATTTCAATTATTGACCGTTAATAAGATAACTTTGTTAATGGTGTAAATTGTCAATATTTCCTGTTGGTTAGTAGTATTTGTTCCATCAACATTTGTAAGAGAGCTTTTTTTAAATGATGCACCATTTGAACACATTGACCGTAAATAAGATGATTTTGCTTAATGTTGTAAATTGTCATTATTTCCTGTTTGTTAGAATTGGTTGTATATTTGTTGAATATTAGTAAGAGAGTTTTTTTAATGTTGCACCATTTCAACACATTGACAGTAAACAAGCTTTTTTGGTCATTATTGCAAATTGTCAATATTTTCTCTTTATTAGTATTTAGTGTATTGTCATTTGGAGGTCAATTTTTTTAAAAATAATAATAACAACAGCATTGTATTGGTGAACATTGTAAATTGACAATATTTCCCACTTGTTAGTATTTGTTGTATTGTCATTTGTAAGAGAGTTTTTTTTATGTTGCACCATCACCACAACATTGACAATGTACATAATTTGGGTTAACATTGCAAACTGACAACATTTCCTGTTTGTTCACGTTACTTGCATCGTTATTTGTGGGTTTTTTTTTTTTTTTTAAATAATGTTGCACCATTTCAACACATTGACAATAAACAAGCTGATTTTGGTCAATATTGCAAATTGTCAATATTTCCTGTTTGTTAGCATTTGTTGCATCATCATTTGTAGGAGACAGTTTTTATGTTGCACCATTTCACCACATTGACAATAAATATGATGATTTTGGTCAACATTGTAAATTGTCTGTGTATACTATTTGTTAGCTTTGTTGCATTCTCCGTTGTAATTTCACAATATTTCCTGTTTGTTCGTATTATCTGTTATTTGTTGCTTCGATATCTGTTGCAGACTTTATTTAAATTTATTTATTTATTATTATTTTTTTTAGGTTGCATCATTTCAAAACATTGACATAAATAAGATGATTTTGGTCAATATTGTAAATTGACAATACTTCCTGTTTGTTTGTGTTAGTTGCACCTTTAGCAGACATGTTTTTTTATCTTGCGCCATTTCACCACATGACAATAAATATGATGATTTTGGGCAACATTGTAAATTGACAATATTTACTATTTGTTAGCTTTGTTGCATTCTCTGTTGTAATTTCACAATATTTCCTGTTTGTTCGTATTATCTGTTATTTGTTGCTTCGATATATGTTGCAGACTTTATTTAAATTTATTTATTTATTATTATTATTTTTTTAGGTTGCATCATTTCAAAACTGATGTAAATAAGATGATTTTGGTCAATATTTTAAATTGACAATACTTCCTGTTTGTTCGTGTTAGTTGCACCGTTAACAGATATGTTTTTTTACCTTGCACCATTTCACCACATGACAATAAATATGATGATTTTGGGCAACATTGTAAATTGACAATATTTACTATTTGTTAGCTTTGTTGCATCGCGATTTTTAGAAGATTTTTTATTTGTCGGACTCATTTCACCTCTCGTCTAGTGGCTTTTAATGACAATTTTCATTAAAAACTTTTGATGGTTAAAAAACCCATCTTTATTTGCACAATTTTTTGCACACAAGTTTTTTTTTGTTATTTTATATTGTATATATTTGTTATATTATGTAGGACTGATTAAAAGAAATATTAAAATTGTTAAAGGGCATGTATGCAGGTGGTACATGACATTTTAAATGTTATGGGTGCAGCCTCGGCTAAGGCACAAGGTGTTGGAAATCCTATGACGAGTGCAGAAAAACTGAGGAATTCAGACCATATCATCTACCTGCTTGTCGATAGAGACGGCAACAAGTAAATATAATTTTTGATTGATTTTCTAATCTGTCTTTTTGGCCTTTAAATATATATGTTCACTCTTGTTCTCCAGATCGAATGGGTCTGTGATCGGAATGTTGAAAATGGGATGGAAGCGGCTTTACATGTTTGACGAACATGAACAACGTAACGAGGCCATGGCCCTCTGTGTCCTTGACTTCTATATTCATGAGTCAAAACATCGGATGGGCTATGGGAAAAAACTCTTCGATTATATGCTACAGGTAATGCTGTCCACATAATACTGTAATTTTATACATTTTGTTGGAATAATTGTTTATGTTGTATTTTTTTTAAAGGAGGAAGGGGTGGAACCAGAAAAACTTGCATTTGATTGTCCTTCAGAGAATTTTCTCCGATTCCTTCAAAAACATTATAATTTAACACATGACATATACCAGAGTAATAATTTTGTTGTTTTTTCTGGCTTTTTCAACAATTCATCTCAAGATAAAGGTAGTGTATAGTAATAAAATTCTCAACCAAGACCTTAAAGCATAAAAATAATAATTAATGGAAATAATTAATATGGTCAATTAGTCCTGATATATATATTTCATATTTCCATTTATATTTGTTATTTTGTTTTCAGAAAATCGTTTAAAAAATGCAAAAAATGCTCATCATTGTGGTATTTCATCACCCAAACTTTCACCATGCAGGTATAATTTTTTTATTTAAAAAATTTCTACATTATTTTAAATTTTAATTCACAGATTTGTAAAACAATTACTACACATATACATACATACATTATAGTTACATTTTCAAGAAATACAGTGGTGTATTGTTTTAGTATGACAGACATGCATAATTTAGTTGTCCTTGCTGAAATGAACAATTTGCTTACAATTTTAATTTACATATAATTGAGTGTGTTCCTGGATGCGGCCCATGCATTATGTTAAACTGAAAACTTCCTACCCACTCCTTATTACATTATCCTGGATTACTATTTAACGTACTGGTATGTCAGAGTGAGGTGCAGCAATGAAAAGTCGGACATCAGAGCAATACAAGCAGGTGTTGCACATGGGAACATTCTTAGTCCCATCCTATTTTTCCTGCTGAAATTCCTATAATTGCTGTCTCATTAAAATCATTACCACTTATACGAATGTCACTGTAATTCTGTCTTCTAAAGTCACATACACACTAAACAAATCTCAGTCAATGAAAGACAACCAACCCCTTCTTGTCATGCTTTGCTTAGTGTATAAACAACTTTAATTAAATTTATTTTAGCTATAAAAATTAAAAGTAATGTCTAAAAATTCCAGAATAATTATAAGATTATTATATTAATGCCATGCTTTCTTAATTAATATTTTTGCAAATAAACATTTAATCAAGTCATTATCATTAATAATTTATTGATTAAAATAAATTAAACCAAATATTATTTTTACCTTCATTACTATTGGTACTAATTTACTAGCTGTCCGAAAGTTCTATCTGTTTAATGAAAGCTTTAAAAAAAGGTAAACGTTCAACTAATTTAAGAATAACTTAAGATATCACAAATGTCTATAATAAACTAAAATTTATTATACATAATCTTATTATTTATTAGGAATTAACTCTTCCCTGAAATAATAAGTTGTAGATTAATATACTTGAAAAAAATATTAATGTTTCAATTACGATTTGCTAGTACTGAGAACAAATTGACATTCAGTGGAAGGCACACTGCTTTCAAGCGAGTAACAACTATGGGAGAGGTAAAATATTTTTTATCAGAACTTTTTTTAACAACTATTAATAAATATAATTGAAGTGTTTAGTTATTTATTATTCAAAACTCCAGACTGATTATTTAAACTATATTGCAGATAGTTCAACCTTCTCATCTGATGTAAGGCGAAAACAGTTGGTAGAGAACAACGGTTCCTTCGATTATTTCCAGGTGAGAAGTGAATTGAGCACAAAATTCCTCACGTTCTCCACAACTCATCAGTATAGCACATTTCTGCCAATCTGGCACTAGAAAATAATCCCTTATGCAAATACTCATCAAAATTATAGTTCCTTGTTTTGTTTATTTCATTTTCTTTTCTATTTTTAATACACAAGTTTTGTCCTAAAGGGCTTGGCTTGTATTACATTTCCACTTGTGGGTTAACTAATTTTGTTTTACTTGTTAAATATTTATATAACTCATACATTTGATCAAATTTTACTGTTTGTTAATAGTAAAATTGTTATAGTCGATCAATTTTCATATCTATCTATATAACTATCTTAGATTATTTTTTTAGAAATGCATTTACTTACTTTGTTACCCTTCAAACCAAATTGTTCTCTTCTAGTCATTTTTCCTATAAGACTGTTCAATACAAATCCAAAACAGGATCATCTTTTAAAAAAAATCATTCTGCTTTGGTTTTCTTTTTTTTAAATAACTTATAAAATGTTATATTCTAGCATTTATGTTCCATGTTTCATGTTGATTTTTTTGTTTATATGGTTAAAAATAATGTTACAATATTATAAAATAGTATGCGCCAATATTATGGCCAGTTCAAAAGAGGTTTGTAAATCTTTATTGCAGCAACAAATCTTTTTATGTTACATGCATTAATTTGGTATCGATCAAGACAGAATCAACCAGTAAGTAGTTCATTATTGTCTGCCTACTTTGATAAATTCAATTAATGAATTCATTATAGTTAAAGAAATATATTTTATTTATAAGTGTAAAAAAAGAAATAATTATTTTGTGATACGAATTTGTGTTGATTGAATAGATTGTATGTACATAAAAAAATATGGAAAGCACATATATATTTTGTATAATTTTTAGATGGTAATTATAGTACAAACTTTTACATAATTTATAGTTAGTTACTGAGATAATATTGGAATGTTAAGCGTAAAATATTGAATAATTTACAACAAATTTTATAAAGATGAAACATGGATGCACTTACTTTAAATAATTAATATTAGGTTGACATTCTATACAAAAGAAGTTGAAACATTTGGCTAAACTAAATGAGGGGCATCGAAAGTATAAAGTTTAACCAAACTGCTTTTTTACAAAAATTTATATTTAGTTACTTGATTTTGACAATATTATCATAATGTGATAATTCAATTGCCATAATATGTTTAACTCACTTAAACAGTATTATCCCAATGGAATTAGCCTGTGATATTTGGATATTTCGGAGTATAATAACTTACTATGTTTTAATTATATTAAATCAAAGTTTTCACTGTTTATACTAAATTTTAATCTAAGTTTGCTTTTGTAATACATGGAAATTAAACAATGTTGTGGTTTATGTAAGTTATTTCATCATCCTGGTGGTTTTCCCTCATTTTTAAATTACACATGGTTTTCAGTATTTGGACTTATAGCTTCCTGTGTGGATGGCAGTACAGGGTTCAACCAATTTCTTAGATCTTTCCTTGGATGCCTTCTGGTACTACTAGGAAGTGGGGTTTTTGTTCCCAAGCTCTGCAGCCTTCTGGCCATCATACTTTCTTTCTCTATGGCCCAAATGCCCATTGTTCTGCAGCAAATCCAAGAAATAATCATGTGATGTACAGCTTACCATGTACCCTATGCATTTGGCCAAACTCTATTGTAGCAACATCAGTCGATTCGTCTATAATTAATGAAAAAATATTTTTCATGTTCACATGACTAAAGATCTTCCACTAGTACATGCTTTACCAAAACAGTACATTTCCTTCTATTGGAGGTCATATCTTTAACAGGTACATTAGGCAGTAAATTCCGGATCATGGCAACTAAATCATCAGTTACCTTAAGGGACAGGTTATATTCAGCAATAAATGATGCTGCTCGTAGTTCATGGGTTTTTAGTAATTTTTTTATTGCTGTGGAATTCTTTTACTGTCAACATATCTCCGATGGACTTTTGACCTTTCACTGATTTCAATTAATTGGAGAAAGAAAAAAAAAATGAAGAAAAAGCCCCCCAAACAAAATATTGAATAGTATATAGATTGTGGTATCAAAATTGTGAATTAGAGTAAGATTTAGGAGATTTTAATTGACCAGTTTTATTTTAGATTTCAAATATAAACTTCTTATAAAATTATAGTCAATAGACAGGTGAAATAAAGATTAGATTTTTGTAAAATATCGTAATCATTATTTTTCCCATAAAAATCATTTTTGCATAGAAAAATTTATGCTTGAAAAAGGCCCCAATAAAAAAGTAAATTTTATACAAATTTGATCTGTTAAAAAAATGTAGAATCACCACTGAATAAAAAGAATCAAAAAGAAAAATAATTAAAACATAAAAATAGTAAAATTACAATACACTGGTCCACACAAAATAAAAGTGGCAGTACTTTCAAAATTTGATATTTTTTATGCATTTGCTTTTTCAGTAATATTAAAACTGATATTTTTTATAATTCAGGTATTTATTAGAATATTTGGTTAGTGGGAAAATAACATATCTCAAAAATTAAAAAAAGAAAAAATCATTTTTGTGCATGAACAAAACAAACTTAACAATCTTTAATAGGGTGAATAACATCTGCTCTTATTACACTCTAAACTTTTCAGCATGCTCATAATTAAGCCTTCAGCCACTTCTTGAGTAATTTCATCCCAAATCTCAACTAATGTAACTTTCAGCTCAGCTGACTGCCAAAAGTACTCAATGGAGTTCAAATCAGTATCTTAGGATGTAAATGTTGACATCTCAAAGATACTGCATAACAGGTGGTGACAGTTGGTCTTGCCTCTCCTTTTTTACTGTTTTCAATCCAGTTAAAAGATGACTTCCAATCAGATTGGAATATGTGTTTATACACCTTTCATAATGAATATAAATAAATGATAAATGACCTCTATGAATATAATAAGTAGGCTACCTTTTTTTTCCCCTAATTTAGGTATTCCCATTCTCCTCTTTCTACAATATATCAGAACTTGAATCAGAATCTTTTAAAACAATTTGCAAGAGAAAATAGAAACAGAAAGACGGATGATTAAAGGAATTTTGAAAAACATAAAGTTTTATCACTTATAAAATTACACAACACAATATTAACGATTAAAATTTTTTTTTATTTGTTCTCGATATTTTACAACTCATGGGTGAAAAACAAACATAGTATATAATATAAATATATAATATAAATTATATAATATATAGTAGTATATAATGCTAATTACAAATTAGCATTCTCTAAAAACGGGTAGGGTGATCGCGCTGCCATCCGAATTTTTGTAGGGATTTACTTATTCTTGTGATTTGAGTACTTAACTGTTTACTGTTCACAAATTAATACATATTACAAATCGTAGGAACACAGAACGGTAAGATGTAAATCACGCAGTTACAAAATTTTTTTTTGTATTTCCACACCAGAGAAACGAGTAGGGACATTTTTTCCCAACCTTGGAAAAATACGCTGGAGCCTGGCACCGGAATCCCTTCCACCAGGGGCCACTTTTCCCCCAAAAGTGGGGGAAAATCCCCCGCCATGCAACCTGGTTCCTACTTTCCCTCCTAAGTTCCTACTATACTCATTCGAAGAGCGAGTCTTATACAGTCGACAACTAGTTTTCAAATCAATAAAATTTGTCTCCGTATTTTAATTTTTATTAAAATTCGTACGTACACTATCTCTGCTCGGGATCAAATAGTTTGGAAAGCTTAACTTAAAGAAAATGAATTTCGACAACGGAATAAATAACTTTTTCAGGCGTGAGGTCGTGAAGATTGACAACACTCTTCTGCCCGAAGGATTCGCCGGCGACAGAAAGAGCATGAGGTGAGTGTCATACTAGGCGAGATTCGGGTAGCGTTCCTTGGAAAGACCAGTTGCAATCTAATCTCCCCCAAGGCACAAAACAAGCCAGATATTCCAGCTTAAAATCTCCGTTCTGTCGTTGCACCATTTCAACACAGTGTCAGTAAACAAGATGATTTTGGTCAATACGGAAATTGGCAATATCTTGTTTACGATCAATGTATTAAAATGGTGCAACATAAAAAAAAACTGTCTCCTACATATGACGATGTAACAAAGCCAGAAAATAGTAAATATTGTCAGTTTACATTAAAAAAAAATTATAAATAACATCCAACAAAGCGAACCATTGACAATTTACAATATTCGTCAAAAATATTGTTTATTTTCAATATGATGAAGTGGTGCAACATTTAAAAAAAATTACAAATAACATCCAACAAAGCGAACCATTGACAATTTACAATATTCATCAAAAATATTGTTTATTTTCAATGTGATGAAGTGGTGCAACATTTAAAAAAAATTACAAATAACATCCAACAAAGCGAACCATTGACAATTTACAATATTCATCAAAAATATTGTTTATTTTCAATGTGATGAAGTGGTGCAACATTTAAAAAAAATTACAAATAACATCCAACAAAGCGAACCATTGACAATTTACAATATTCAACAAAATCATCTTGTTTATTGTCAATGTGCTGAAATGGTGCAACATAAAAAAAAACTACCGAAAACGATGCAATTAACGCTAATAAACAAGAAATATTGACAAATTACAAATGACGATGTAACAAACCTAACAAAGGGGAAATCTTGACAATTAGCGAAATTGACCAAAATAAACTTGTTTATTGTCAATGTGGTGAAATGGTGCAACATTAAAAAAATAAAATAAATAATGCTGCTTCAGATAACGTATGTGTTGAAGTGGTGAAACATAAAAAATAAATAAATTGCTACCGAAAACGATGCGATTAACGCGAATAAACAAGAAATATTGACCATAATCAACTTGTTTACTGTCAATGTGTTGAAATGGTGCAACATTTAACAAAAACAAATAAAAAAAATAAATTAGAAATCTTGACAAATTGCAATATTTACCAAAATCAAGTTATTTACTGCCAATGTGCTGAAATGGTGCAACATTAAAAAAAGCTACCGAAAACGATGCAAGTAACGCGAATAAACAAGAAATATTGACAAATGACGATGTAACAAACCTGACAAAGGGGAAATCTTGACAATAAGAAATATAGACCAAAATCACCTTGTTTACTGCCAATGTGTTGAAATGGTGCAACATTAAAACAAATAATAATAAAAAATATAAAAAATTGCTACCGACAACGATGCTATTAACGCGAATAAACAAGAAATATTAACCGTAATCAACTTGTTTACTGTCAATGGGTTGAAATGGTGCAACATTAAACAAAAAAATAAATAAATTAGAAATCTTGACAATTAGCAATGTTGACAAAAATTATCATGTTTATTTTCAATGTGATGAAGTGGTGCAACATTAAAAAAATAAAAATAAATAAAGCTGCTACAGATAACGTATGTGTTGAAGTGGTGTAACATAAATAATAAATAAATTGCTACCGAAAACGATGCGATTAACGCGAATAAACAAGAAATATTGACAAATTACAAATGACGATGTAACAAACCTAACAAAGGGGAAATCTTGACAATTAGCAATATTGACCAAAATCAACTTGTTTATTGTCAATGTGGTGAAATGGAGCAACATTAAAAAAATAATAATAATAAATAAATTGCTACCGAAAACGATTCAATTAATGCGAATAAACAAGAAATATTGATAAATTACAATTGACGATGTAACAAAGCTAACAAACGAAAAAAATTTCAAATTGCAATATTGACCAAAATCAACTTGTTTACTGTCAGTGTGCTGAAATGGTGCAACATTAAAAAAATAATAATAATAAAAAATAAATAAAATTTGCTACCGAAAACGATGCAATTAATGCGAATAAACAAGAAATATTGACCATAATCAACTTGTTTACTGTCAATGTATTGAAATGGAGCAACATTTAACAAAAAAAAAAAAAGGAATAAATAAATTAGAAATCTTGACAATTAGCAATGTTCACAAAAATTATCACGTTTATTTTCAATGTGATGAAGTGGTGCAACATAAAAAAACTGTCTCCTACATATGACGATGTAAGAAAGCCAGAAAATAGTAAATATTGTCAGTTTACAATGTTGACAAAAATCATCACGTTTATTTTCAATTATATTAATTGGTCAAGCGCACCACGAAAAATAGTGAATTTATTTTCAATGTGATGAAGTGGTGCAACATTTAAAAAAAATTACAAATAACATGCAACAAAGCGAACCATTGTCAATTTACAATACACATCGAAATCATCTTGTTTATTTTCAATTATATTAATTGGTCAAGCGCACCACGAAAAATAATGAATTTATTTTCAATGTGATGAAGTGGTGCAACATTTACAAAAAATTACAAATAACATCCAACAAGGCGAACCATAATAATAAGCCTGCCAATAAATAAGGCTGCTACAGATAACGTATGTGTTGAAGTGGTATAACATAAAAAATAAATAAATTGCTACCCAAAACGATGCGATTAACGCGAATAAACAAGAAATATTGACAAATTACAAATGACGATGTAACACACCTAACAAAGAGGAAAACTTGAAAATTAACATTATTGACCAAAAACAACTTGTTTACCGTCAATGTGGTGAAATGATGCAACATAAAAAAAAACAACCGAAAACGATGCGATTAACGCGAATAAACAAGAAATATTGACAAATTACAAATGACGAAGTAATAAAGCTAACAAAGAGGAAATCTTGACAATTAGCAACATTAACCAAAATCATCTTGTTTACTGTCAATGTGTTGAAATGGTGCAACATTAAAAAAAAATAAATAAATAAATAAACAAATAAAATGCTACCGAAAGCGCGATGCAAATTAACATTATAACGCGAATAAACAAGAAATATTGACCATAATCAACTTGATTACTGTCAATGTGGTGAAATGGTGCAACATTAAAAAAAATATTGCTATCGAAAACGATGAGATTAACGCGAATAAACAAGAAACAAATTACAAATGACGATGTAATAAAGCTTTAGTGACTGGGAGTTTTGTGGCCCTCAAAAGGGCCGGTGTTGTTTCGTGGCGTCGAGACGATGGGTCGAGGCCAAGACCGTGAAAAGACTTCTTTTTGTTTTCTTCATGTTGCATCATTACAACAAATTGACAGTAAACAAAATGATTTTTGTCAATATTGCATTGTCAAGATTTCTTCTTTGTTAGCTTTGTTACTTCGTCTTTTGTAGGTGGTTTCTTTTTTATGTTGCACCATGTAACACATTCACAGTATACCAGATGATTTTGTTCAATATTGTCCATTGATTTTATTTCCTATTTCTTGCATCGTTAATTGTACAAGGCACTATTTTTCTTCTGATTATTTTTTAAAAATAATGTTGCACCATTTCAACACATTGACAGCAAACAAGTTGATTTTGGTCAATATTGCTAACTGTAAATATTTCCGTTTGTTAGCTTTGTTACATCTCAATTGTAATTTATCTATATTTCTTGTTTATTCGCATTAATTGAATCGTTTTCGGTAGCAATTTATTTATTAATTATTACGTGATGATTTTTCTCAACATTGCTAATTGTCAAGATTTCTAATTAATTAATTAATTTTTTTTAAATGTTGCACCATTTCAACACATTGACAGTAAACAAGATGATTATGGTCAATATTTCTTGTTTATTCGCATCGTTTTCGGTACCAATTTATTTAGTTTTTTTTTTTTATGCTATACCACTTCAACACATACGTTATCTGTAGCCGCCTTATTTATTTATTCTTATTTCTTTTTAATGTTGCACCATTTCACCACTTTGACAATAAACATGATGATTTTGGTCAACATTGTAAATTGTCAGGATATTCTATTTATTAGCTTTGTTACATTTCTCTTTTGTAATTTCACAATATTTCCTGTTTAATCGTGTTAGCTGCTTCAATATAAGAAGCAGAATTTTTTAAATTAATTAATTAATTATTATTATTTATTTTTTAGGTTGCATAATTTTAAAACATTGGATCAAAGATTTCCTGTTTATTAGTTTTGATACATCGTCATTTGTAATTTGACAATATTTCCTGTTTGTTCGCGTTAGTTGCATCAATATCTGTAGCAGACTTTTAAAAATTAATTTTATTATTTTTTTTTAGGTTGTCCCATTTCAAAACTTTGGCGTACATAATATGATTTTGGTCAATATTGTACATTTCCTGTTTGTTCGTGTTAGTTGCACCGTTACTTAGCAGACTTGTGCACATTTTATGTAGCAGTAAAATCAGGTCTGATTAATAATGTACATTTGATCGAAAAGCCTTAATTTAAAGGCACACCGCATCAGGTGATACACACATAGGGGATGTTGAAAGATAACTTGTATGTTTTTTGAAAAACTGTACACACGTGAAGGCTTGTTTGATCCATTCTGATCCTTCTGTTTTCTTCTATCAGAAATGTATCAACACTCTCCATCTTTAGGGGTGGGTATTAACGAAAGTTATTATTAAAAACTGAAGATGGCAAAAGCTGTAATTTGTCTGACATGAAAACGACGATAATCAGAACAAAATGGTCGGAAACAACATAATGTTGATCATCACACTGACCTCAAGAAGTCTCTTGGGAAGATAATTGACAGTAGAGTACCAGGAATAAATATTATATATTTTGTGAAATTTCATTTCTGCTGTCAAAACATGTTAATTATCTATCATATACATTAATATGTGTTTAATGTATGCTGACAGTGCAGTGATGATGTTCCCTGACACCAAGTGTCTAAAATAAGAAGGAGGGATTTAATCTCATATTTACATTATTTGTATAAGTAGCGAAATTGTGTAATAATTATATGAATAATTTTAAACCACATCCCTGATATATAAATAAATAAATAAATAATAAAAAATCTTTATTTGCACAATTAAATGTGTTTTTTGGTTTGTTATTTTATATTGTATATATTCGTTATATTATATAGGATTATTTAAAAAGAAATATTAAAATTGTTAAAGGGCATGTATGCAGGTCGTAAATGACATTTTAAACAATATGGGCCAAGCATCAGCTAAGGCACGAGGTATTGAAAAACCTATGACAACTGCAGAAAAACTGAGGAATTCGGATCATATTGTCTACCTGCTTGTCGATAGAGACGGCAATAAGTAAATATAATTTTTGATTGGTTTTCTAATCCGTCTTTTTGGCCTTTAAATTTATATGTTCACTCTTGTTCTCTAGTTCGAATGGATCTGTGATTGGAATGTTGAAAATGGGTAAGAAGCGGCTGTACATGATTGACGAACATGAAAAACGTAACGAGGGGATGGCCCACTGCATACTCGACTTCTACATTCATGAGTCAAAACAAGGGATGGGCTATGAGAGAAAACTCTTAGATTATATGCTACATGTAATGCTGTCCACATAATACTGTAATTTTATACATTTTGTTGGAATATATATTTTTTTAAAGGAGGAAGGAGTGGAACCAGAAAAATTGGCAATTAATTGTCCTTCAGAGCATTTTCTCCGATTCCTTCAAAAACATTACAATTTAACACAAGACATGTACCAGAGTAATAATTTTGTTGTTTTTTCTGGCTTTTTCAACAATTCACCTCATGATAAAGGTAGTATATAGTAATAAAATTTGAACCTTATATATGTATATATTGTATTTCCATCTATATTTGTTATTTGTTTTCAGAAAATCATTTAAAAATTGCTCATCGTTATGGTATTTCATCACCCGAACTTTCACCACGCAGGTATAATTTTTTTATTTAAATAGTTTTCACATAATTTTAAATTTTAGTTCACAAGTATTGTAAACAACGATTATACATACACATACATACATTTTAGAACAGCTCACATTTTCAAGAAATACAGTGGTGTATTATTTTAGCATGACAAACATGATAATTTACTTGCTAAAATGAACAATTTGCTTTCAATTTTTATTTATAAATGAATGCATTCCTGGATGTGGCCCACACATTATGTTAAATTGAAACCTTCCTCCATTATCCTGAAATCCTATTTTAAAAAATCAGATATCAGAGCAATACAATCGGGTATCCCACATGGGAGCATTCTTGGTCCCATCCTATTTATCCTGCTGACATTCCTATAAATGGCAGCACCATCATTACCACTTATGGTATGACCAACGTTCAGCCTGATATATTTGTTGGCAGAGATTTGCTTAGTGTGTACGCGCATTAACACAAATCCTTTCTAAGCAACCTCCTTTAACATCCAAGAACATGTTATCTTATCTTTATCTTACAAATAGAGGAGAACAAGAAAAGAAAAATATACCCATTGTACATTTAATGTGAAAAAGTCTTGACTTCCATTGGGCATCATCAAGGAGCTCCGATTTCTAATCAAGTCAAGTACTTAGGACTCGGCACGAGACTAATGTAGAATCCCAATACAAAACTTAACGGACAACAATTTAAAACGTTAGTTATGGCCGTCATCCCAGAATGACGCACTAAACCCTTCCACATAAATGGACGTTGTACAAGAACGACAAACCTCTTCTAGAAAACCCCCGCTTTTCGAAGCTTGTTTTGGGTGTTTTTATGTCACAGCCAGTTCCAACAGTTCTACACCAAGCTTTCTATGCATGTTCCAACATTTCTTTATCTATAAAATAGGACTCAGAAACCCACCACGAAATATGACAATACGCGATCGGTACTGACTAACTACAAACACAACTAGTTCACTGAAGAAAACTTTGTTCACATTAGCTTATAAACTGTTTTCATTAATTATTAATTTTATAAACTGTTTATTTTAATTTTAAAATATATTGTGTATTTTCTTGTATAATTTATTCTTTAAAGGATGAAGGTTGCCAATATTTTAAAAAATTTTTATTAAGTTTATTTTTGCTGTAATATTAAAAATGTCTAAAAATTCCAGAATAAATTATAAGATAATTATATTAATGTCTTGCTTTCTTAATTAACATTTTTGTAAATAAATATTCAATCAAGTCATTATCATTATTAATTAAAATAAATTAAACCAAATATTATTTTTGTATTGGCACTAATTTACTATCTATCCAAAAGACTGTTTAATGAAAGCTGTAAAAATAATTAATGTTCCAATTACAATTTGCCAGTGCTGAGAACAAATTGACGTTCAGTGGAAGGCACACTGCTTTCAAGCGAGTAACAACTATGGGAGAGGTAAAATATTTTTTATCAGAGATTTTATTTAACTTAACTATTAATAAATATAATTGAAGTGTTTAGTTATTTATTATTCAAATCTCCAAACTGATTAATTTAAACTGTATTGCAGATAGTTCAATCTTCTCATCTGAAGTAAGGTGAAAACAGTTGGTAGAGAACAGCGGTTGCTTCGATTATTTCCAGGTGAAAAGTGAATTGAGCACAACATTCTGCACGTCTCCACAACACATCAAGCTAGCACATTTCTGCCAATCTGGCGCTAGAAAATAATCCCTTATGCAAATACTCATCAAAATTATAGTTCCTTGTTTTGTTTATTTCATTTTCTTTTCTATTTTTAATACACAAGTTTTGTCCGAAAGGGCTTGGCTTGTATTACATTTCCACTTGTGGGTTAACTAATTTTGTTTTACTTGTTAAATGTTTAGATAACTACATTTCCACTTGTGGGTTAACTAATTTTGTTTTACTTGTTAAATGTTTAGATAACTATAATAAATTTGATCAAATTTTACTAATAGTAAAATTGTTATAGCCGATCAATTTTCATATCTATCTATATAACTATATTAGATTATTTTTTTAGAAATGCATTTACTTACTTTGATACCCTTCAAACCAAATTGTTCTCTTCTAGTCATTTTTCCTATAAGACTGTTCAATACAAATCCAAAACAGGATCATCTTTTAAAAAAAATCATTCTGCTTTGGTTTTCTTTTTTTTAAATAACTTATAAAATGTTATATTCTAGCATTTATGTTCCATGTTTCATGTTGATTTTTTTGTTTATATGGTTAAAAATAATGTTACAATATTATAAAATAGTATGCGCCAATATTATGGCCAGTTCAAAAGAGGTTTGTAAATCTTTATTGCAGCAACAAATCTTTTTATGTTACATGCATTAATTTGGTATCGATCAAGACAGAATCAACCAGTAAGTAGTTCATTATTGTCTGCCTACTTTGATAAATTCAATTAATGAATTCATTATAGTTAAAGAAATATATTTTATTTATAAGTGTAAAAAAAGAAATAATTATTTTGTGATACGAATTTGTGTTGATTGAATAGATTGTATGTACATAAAAAAATATGGAAAGCACATATATATTTTGTATAATTTTTAGATGGTAATTATAGTACAAACTTTTACATAATTTATAGTTAGTTACTGAGATAATATTGGAATGTTAAGCGTAAAATATTGAATAATTTACAACAAATTTTATAAAGATGAAACATGGATGCACTTACTTTAAATAATTAATATTAGGTTGACATTCTATACAAAAGAAGTTGAAACATTTGGCTAAACTAAATGAGGGGCATCGAAAGTATAAAGTTTAACCAAATTGCTTGTATAAGAAAATTTATATTTAGCTACTTGATTTTGACAATATTATCATAATGTGATAATTCAATTGTCATAATATGTTTAACTCACTTAAACAGTATTATCCCAATGTGAATTAGCCTGTGATATTTGGATATTCCTAAGTATAATCATTTATGTTGTAATTATATTAAATTAGGTTTTCATTGTTTACACTAAATTTTAATCTAAGCTTGCTTTTGTAATACATAGAAATTAAACATTGTTGTGGTTTATGTAAGTTATTTCATCATCCTGGTGATTTTCCCTCCTTTTTAAATTACACATGGTTTTCAGTATTTGGACTTACAGCTCACAGTGTGGATGGCAGTACGGGGTTCAACCAATTTCTTAGATTTTTTCCTTGGAAGCCTTCTGGCCATTATACTTTTTCTCTCTGTCCCAAATGTCCATTGTTCTGCAGCTGCTCCCCCCCCCCCATTCTGGAAAATCATTATTTGGGACTTTTCAAAGTTTACATAGTCTCCACTTGCAGTACTGCTTGAATAGGTCGATATTTATTTTTAAAAGCCCCGGATTTTAGGTCAAGCACGATCATCCACATTCATTAGCAATTTAATATTAGTATCTCCAATCTTGACTCCACGTTGCAACTCTTTCTCTAAGACTGAGTATAGGGAGAACAGAAGCACACTCAGTGGGCAGATTGGCATTATTCTGCAGTTTACCTCCACATTTTGAGTCACTATTTTCAGTCCAGATCGACACTGTCACTGGTGTACAGTCGCTTCAAAGTGTGAATGTATTAAAGTGAAGTATAATGGCAAATAAATAAAAAATAAGTGATATAGCTGGAAGTTGTAGGTTGAGTTGAGACGTACTTTCATGGACTGAAGCCACAGCGGCCCAATGTCTAAACGACGGAGTACTGATCCAAAGACGATTTGAGCGATGAGACCCCCCCCAAAAAGACAGCACCGACTATCCTGCAGTGCAATACAGGAAACCCTGCGGCAAGGCGCAGCCCGATACGCCTTCCCAAAGTTTAGATCTCCCTATCACAATCCTGAATAAACCTATAAGGGTGATGTTTGCTAACCTCTTCTGAGTTAATCAGTCAAAAAATATTTTCTCTCCCTCCCATACTCCAGACAGAATAAAACAATCTATTTTATTCTTTCTGACTCATCACATGTCATGCAATTAGGAGAAGGTCTCAGTTTAATACTATTTAAGTAGGCACCGCATGATTGATCAGATTCAGGATATCGTAGAAAAAAAAAAACTTAATTCCTCTCATGCCTGAAAACCAAGGTGTATGATTTGATTGTGCGAACTTAGATTTGTATCACAAAAATCGGAACGGCCACGGAACCAGGGGGGTTTTCGGTGTGTGGAAACGGATTGACAGAAAGATGGGGCAACAGTACTCTATGGCTGATTTGTGACTGAGTTTGTAGCCACTACACAAAACAGTAAATGCAACTGAGCAATGACAGTTTCACTGTTGTCCATCGCGACTTATTAACAAGTTGAGGAATTGGAGAATATTCGCTGTTTCCGTACAAACTGGGTGGTTGTACAAACGCCGCATGTGTGTTTATGCGAATGCCAAGTCGAGCAATTCAAATTAGCAAATATTTGGCAGCATTCGATACCGAATAGCCACCTTAAAAAAATTATCAACCTAACACAATTAAACCAGTGTCTTATTTATAAACAAGGTTCATTTTTATTTACAGGATCTACACTGCCTAAGCATGCTTCTACATGATGTCAGATTAAACTATCAACGGTATCGTTTAGTCACATAAGATTCACGTACATAGCTGTTCTTCTCATTTAAGAAAAAAAACTTTTTCAAGATCTAAATATTAAAAAATTCTTACTTCTCCGGTTCTTTCGACAAGTTCCATTGCGACTTGGAAGAACTTGTTTACATCCTCGGTGCTCGCATTGTTAACAGAAGCGTCTGCCATTCCTCCTGTTTTTGAAATTTGTCAATTTTTTAAAAAATAAATCAACATCCGTTTGGGAGAAGGCTGATATTTTGGAGAACCTTTCTTGTTTTGTAGGTTGTGTTATTTGATAGCTATGAGAGACAGTTATGAAACACTAAAAAAAAGATAATACCGTTTGACACTTAACAAGAAAATGTTGAGAAGTCGGGTATAACAATAATAAATTGAATTTCGACTAAATAAAAATAAAAACTGATTTTAATTGAATAGTTAGACGGGTAAATGTGAGAGTTTTAACGGAAAGCTTTTCCGAGTTAGGTTTTGAAATTTCCAAATCAGCTGTGAGATGATAGGTACTAGTAGCCCATTCAGAAGAACAAGTGTTACGTCAGTCTCCACGGGTTTTTAATTCATTGAAATTTATCTCCATATTTTCATTTTTTTAAAATTCGTACCCACACTCTCTGCACGGGGATCAATTAGTTTCGAAAGTGCAACTGAAAAAAATGAACTTCAACTTCGGAATAAATAGCTTTTTAAGGCGTGAGATCACGAAGATTGACAACACTCTTCTGCCAGAAGGATTCGCCGGCGACAGAAGGAGCATGAGGTGAGTGTCATACTAGGCGAAATTCCCTAACGGGTAGCGTTTCTCCTGGCATTTGGTCGGAGATCATTCCTTCCTTAAAAGGAGAAAGCCTGGGCAAGGACGAGTTGGAACTTGCACATTTCTCCCTCAAAGCACAAAACAAGCCACCTGCTTTGTTTAAAAGCTCCGCTGTGTTGTGTCATTTTTTCAAAAATGTCATTTCTCATTTGTCAAGATGATTTTCCTCAGTATTGTAAATTGACGAGATTTTCTGTTTTTAGCCTTTGTTGCATCGATATTTGTAGGAGAGAGTTTTTTTTATGTTGCACAATTTCAACACAAAAGCTGGACAAGGATGAAAGTGTAGTTTGGTCATTTCTGGTCATTTTATTCTTCACCTGATATTTTCATTTGTCTGACTCAATTCAGCTCTTGCCTTCATTAATTGGTAGTTTTTGACAAAAACTTTTATTTAAAACCGAAGATAGTAGAACAAATGAGCATTGCTTGGATTAGCTGCCTGATTGCAATAGTGCAGAAACTGCAGAAAAAAAAGTCTGGTCATAAACTACAATCTTCAGATAAGACTTGATAGTATAGGTACACCAAGTTAGTTAATACGTATGTGTGACATTGAAAGATAAGCTGGATATTTTTGAAATGTTTGGTCAAGGGTGAAAGTTTAGTTTCATCCTTTGTAATTATCCTGTTCTGCCTGACTTTACTGCTCTTGTCTATCAGATACATTTTGACCCTCCTCATCTTTGGCGGAAAGTTTTAACCGAAATTATTATTAAAAACTGAACATGGCAAGAGCTGAAATGTGTACGACAGCGGAAAACAGCTAGAATAGGTAGAATAAAAGAATTGGGACTGAGCATTGTTCGTATTAGCCGACTGACGGCTAATTGCTTTTGCTGCAATAGTGCAAAAGCAAGCAGTAGATGTAGATGTATTAATTGGGTTGTGTATTATACTGCTCTCCCTTTAATCGCTGTTGTATCCCCTGCTCTGTGCTTATCGCACACTGGTAAATCCTAGTTCATCAAGGAACTTGATTAATAGGCCCGCTTTCCGTGATTTAATTTCTTCTACAGTTACATTTTACATCCCAAAATACTTCTTCCTGTGGGCACGTGTATCACCAACATTGTTAGTAGGTGTGTTGGTGTTTCCTCTGCTTCTTTGCAGAATCTACACTTGCTGAGTTGGGTTATGCTAATCTTCTTGAGATGTCCATTTAGTTTACAGTGTTCTGTTAAGAATCCTGATAGGATTCACAGTTTTTCCTGCTTCCTTGCATAATGTTATGTTTACCTCCTTCCAAAGTTTATCAGGAGGTCCTTGGATTATTTGTGTCTATTGAGAGAGTTCCATTGTTCCTTCATTTTCTTTTTATCCTTCTGTCTAAGGTGCTCATTGATAGTGCGGATTCCTATGCAGAAGGGCTTGGGTCCTATCAGCGGTAAAGCAGCCCCCCCTTCTTGCAAGGGCATTCGCTTTCTCGTTACCTTCTACTCCTACATGTCCTGAGACCCAGCAGAGGCTGTCTTTATTTTGCATACCTAATTAGTTTAGTTTTATTTTGCAATTCAGCATCATCTTTGAGCTAATGTTGTTTGAACTTAGCGCTTTGACGGCTGCTTGGCTGTCTGACATGATTCCTATATTCTTGTTTTTGTACCCGTTGTTCAGATTGAATTGGGTACATCTCTCGATTGCGTGGACCTCAGTTTGAAAGATATGTATTTTCCCATGGGTGCCTCCTGTACCTTCTTGCGTCCAGATCCATCTGTGTACCAGTGGATGGTGCCATTCTTAAAGGAGATGTTTTTCTCCCTTTCCCATTCTTTTTTGGTACCTAAGTTTATTTGGAAATTTTGTTTAAAATCAAACATCCTGTTCATGTCATAAGCAAGCAGTAAAAACAGGTCTGGTTAAAACTAAATTCTTCCCAGAATCAGGTGATATACCTGCGTGAGATTGAAAGAAATGTTGGAAAAGGATGAAAGAGTTGTTTGGTCATTTATGATTATTTTGTTACGCCTATCTATGATGTTTTGAACACCAGGTGCATTTAACTGATGAGTTTTAAGCAAAGTTATTAAAAAATGAATATAGTAAGTGCTGCGATGCTTCTGACAGATGAAAACAACAAGTATAAGTTGAACAAAATGATTGAAAATGACCTAATGTTCATCATAATACAAACTCAAAAGGAAGTCTCATAAATTTAAGATTGAAAGTACAATGAAATTGACATATGCAAGCTGATTTCACTCAATATTGTAAATTGAAAATATTTTCAGTTTTGAGCCTTTATTACAACGATATTTATAGCAGTTTCAACAATTTCAGCACAGAAATTGATCTGTCAATGACAGATTATCAATTTATCTTCATTATTGGCTAAAACAAGTTAATTTACTGAACTATTTGTACAATCAAGTCCTGCCAGTCTGAACTAATTGAAACTGAGCATTAGCCGACTAATTGCGTTAATGCAGAAGGAAGTAGTAAAAAAAGGTCAGGTTAATAAATTAAATCGTTAAGAAAAGGCTGAATGCATAAGGCATACTGAATCAGGAGATAACATGCATTTTTTTTAAAGAAACGCTAGATGTTTTTTGAAAATTTGCGCATTGATAAATGTGTTGTTTCATCATTTCTGATCATTTTGTTCTGCCTTTGCGCTCTATTTTCATCTGTCAGGCTCATGCAGGCCCTCGCCATCCTTTCTGATGGTATTTAATGAAAAAAACTGAAGGTGGCAAAAGTTTTAATGTTTCTGGCGAAACAACGATGATAATTAGAATAAAATGATCAGAAACAACCTAACGTTCATCATCCCACAGGCCTCGAGAGGAAGCTTCTTGGAATAATAATCGACAGTTTAGTGCCTGGAACCTTTCTTCTAGCTAAAACTTTCTGCTGACAGAAACAGTTTTGTATTGGGAGGAATTTTAGATTAGCTTCGGTTGGATTAGTGGGACTCACTGTTGAGAAAACTATCTATCGTAAACAATAATATATATTTTTAATGTAACCAATGTTCTTTGACACCAGTTAATGATAAATAGTGCTTTAAACGCATATTTTCATTATGTGTACAAAATTGAGCTAAATTGTCGAACATTTACAATAATAATTTTAACCACATCCTTGATAAAAAAATAAGATTATTTGCACAATTAAATATCAATGTTTTTATTAGTTATTTTATATTGTATATGTTCGTTATATTATATAGGATTGATTAAAAAGAAATATTAATTGTTAAAGGGCATGTATGCAGGTGGTAAATGATATTTTAAACGATATGGGCCTGGCGTCGGCTAAGGCACAAGGTCTTGTAAAACCTATAACGAGTGCAGACAAACTGAGAAATTCGGAGCATATTGTCTACCTTCTTGTCGATAAAGAAGGCAACAAGTAAATATAATTTTAAATTGATTTTCTGATCTTTCTTTATGGCCTTTAAATTCAGACGTTCACTCTTGTTCTCTAGATCGAATGGATCTGTGATAGGAATGTTGAAAATGGGAAGGAAGCGGCTGTACATGTTTGACGAACGTGGACAATGTAATGAGACTGTGCCCCTCTGCGTACTCGACTTCTACGTTCACGAATCAAAACAGAGGATGGGCTGTGGAAAAAAACTCTTCAATTATATGCTACATGTAATGTTGACCACATAATTCAGTAACATTATAAATTTTGTTGGAATATTTTTTTTTTTTAAGGAGGAAGGGGTGGAACCAGAAAAACTGGCAATTGATCGTCCTTCAGAGAAATTTCTCAGATTCCTTCAAAAACATTACAATTTAACACATTCTGTACACCAGACTAATAATTTTGTTGTTTTTTCTGGCTTTTTCAACAATACACCTCAAGATAAAGGTAGTATATAGTAATAAAATTTAAAGATCATATTTCGATATTTTTTTATTTCTGTTTTCAGAAACTCATTTAAAAAGTTCTCATCATTGTGGAATCTCATCACCCCAAATTTCACCATACAGGTATAATTTTTTTATTTCAAACATTCCACAAGATTTTAAATTTTAATTAGCGGATATTGTAAAACAATGAATACACATATAGAACAGGTCATGTTTTCAAGAAATACGGTGGGGTAAGCAATATTACAAAGCAAACATGAATAATTTAGTTGTACTTGCTGATACAGAACAATTTGCATACAATTTTAATTTATAAGTAGTTCATTCCTGGATTTGGTCCAGGCATCTATTTTAAACTGAAACACTTCCTACATACTTCTTTTCTTTTTGTTCAATCCTACCTCTCTGGCCACTGCATCAGAGTGAGGTATGACAAGGAATACTCAGATATCAGATCAACACAAGCCGGCTTCCCACAAGGGTGCTTCCTTGGTTCGACCCTTTATAACATTTATACCACTCTTTCCTACACCTCCCAATCTTGATGACAATGCAGTTTTGTCCTCAAATTAATCCTCTCCAAGCAACCTCAAACATCCAGCAACATGTTGAGTTTATCAAAAACTAGTGTAAATAGTGATGGACAAGAGAAAAAAAATGTACCCAGTATATTAATTAGTAATTTGAGAAACAGCCTTGATGTACACTTTGCAGCTACTGACTTCTACAAGTCAAGTGCTTAGGAACCCCCCCCCCCACAGACTGATGTAGAATCCTTACACAAGACTTAGGTGACACAACTTGGAATGTACAAAGACATATAGAACCAAAATCTGTTCTGACCGTCAAAACTCAACTCTATATATAAATTCACTAATTTCATGGTCCATTTGACCAATTAATATATTACGATTAATTAAGGTTCTTAGTTGAGATAAAAAATCAATGACACGAGCGGGATTTGAACCACGATCTTTGGCTAGATACGCCGCTACTCTACCACTTGAGCTATCGTGACCTCGATCCACTCGGACACTAACTTCCCATCTCAACCCCACCTTTTGAATTTTCTCTCCTTTTTGCCATTTTTCAAATGTCGTGTAATCGGATTGGAATTGGAGAATCCAAGATAATATATATATAATTATTATAATATTATTAATTATAAATCTATTAGATAGGGAAATGAAACAGAACCCGCATAACAGACACTGGACACCATGGCCAAACCTCTACCCAGAAATTAAATGTTATGAGAAACTTAATATGAGGGATTAAGTGGCGAGGAAGTCTCAAGATGTATATATATATATATATATATATATATACATTTTTTTTTTTACTTTCTCCTACTTATTACTCAACGAAAAGTAGCAAAGTTGGCTCGAACGTTCTCCGACGGGCTTTAAAAAAGGATCATTGCGCAAGGGCTTAGCCTAACCAGTCTTTTATCTTTGGAAAGAGGATATTCTATCAACTCAGAAACAGAAAGCACAAAAGAATCGACGTGATTTAGAAATGTGTATTTATATTTTGCTCACAAGACAAGAATGAAAACAAAAAAAGCTCGGTACATTTTATGACAAAGAACATTTTTTTTAAAGAAGTGCACCAATAACGGTACTTTTTGGTCCTAAAATCCTTGAAGTGCCTGCAATGCCGGGAACAACCCGAACAATACTTCCGCAAACCTTCACACGATTACCCCACCTGGTATGCAAAAATTCTAAAATTCTTCCAAATTCTGACATTCACCAAAACAACTCCTACCTATATACTGTATATCTTTATACTATTTCGCTAATACTTATGTACCTTATACACTAAAGTATACATGATTTGTATTAGATGTGAGCGATCGCTAAGTCAAGTCGAAAAATGATCAATCTTCAACAATCTTCAGTTGTGAAGGAAGTGGATTTTTTTTTTCAAAATGCCAAAAGTCAGTCGACAGATAAAATTAATCATGTCTTTGATTGATTCTTACAAGTGAAAAATTGTACGATGAAATAGGAGAATACAAATTAAATGACATAAATCTCTACCCTACTTAACCGAAGACAAATATCTGAAATAACCAGATAAGAAGGGAGATGGAATAACTGGTTCCTGAATCCATTATTTGGATATTTATTGCTGCATAAACATAATTACAGTTAGTTGATGAGTTTAAAAAACTGCTAAATTGGCGAAGGAAGAGGTCAGAGGAGTTTTTGTATCCTTTAAAAAACTGCCAAATTGGCTTGGTAGGAGCTCAGAGGAGTTTTTAACTTTTAAAAACTGCGAAATTGGCTAAGCGGGAGCTCAGAAGAGTTATTTTATCCTTCTCAAATGGATAAAAACCGGCTTCTAGAAACGATTTAAAAAAACTGCCAAATTGGCAGAAGAAGAGCTCAGAGGTTTTTATCCTTAAAAAAACTGGAAAATTGGCCAAGGAGAAGCTCAGAGGTATTTTTATCCTTAAAAAACTGCCAATTTGGCTAAATTGGAGCTCAGAAGAGTTCATTTTGTAAAAACTGCCAAATTGGCTAAGGAGAAGCTCAGAGTTCATTAATAAAAAAACAAGGGGAAGAACTCAGAAAAGTTTTTCATCTTTCTTAAAAAGATAAAAACCATTTATAAAATGCCTTCTAGAAAGGATTAAAAAACTGCCAAATTCTGACCTGCTAGCTTACCCAATTAAGCAAATTTTTATCCTTTATAGAAAAAAAAATTCTGTTTTTGAAAATAGATAAAAAACTTATTAAGGATTTTTTTCTTTTAAAAAACGTCCAAATTGGTTGAGGAGCTCAGGGGAGATTTTTATCCTTAAAAAACTGCCAAATTGCCTAAGGAGGAGATCAGAGGAGTTAACTTTTTTAAAAATTACACATTGGAAATAGGGATCTCAGAGGAATTTTTATCCTTAAAAAACTGCCAAATGAGGGGATCAGAGTTCATTTTTTAAAACACTACACACTGGCAAATAGGGGCCTCAGAGGAATTTTTATCAGTACAAAAACTGCCAAATTGGTTAAGGAGTAGCTGAGAGTTATTTAAAAAATAAAAATAAAACAGCAAAATTCACTGAGGAAGAACTCTGAGGAGTTTTTCATCTTTCTAAAAAGATAAAAACCACCTATAAAATGCCTTCTAGAAAGGATAAAAAAAAACGTCCAAATTGGCTAAGGAGGAGCTCGGGGGAGATCTTTATCCTTAAAAAACTGCCAAATTGCCAAAGGAGAAGATCAGAGGAGTTCATAAAAAAAAAAGCTAAAACCAGCAGACGAGGATAGTCAGTAATGACCAGCTACATTACAAACACAACTACTACATTGGAAAAAAAATTATTACTATTTTAAATATTAAAATTTTAATATATTTCTAAATTTCTGGTATAACTTTATATTTAAAGGTTGAAGGTTGCCAATTTTAATATATTTGTTAATTAAATTTATTTTAGCTATAAAATTAAAAGTATGTCTAAAAATTCCAGAATAAATTATAAGATTATTATATTAATGTTTGGCTTTCTTAAGTAATATTTTTGAAAAATAAACATTCATTTATCATTATTAATTAAAATAAATCACATGTTATTTTTGCCTTCATTACTAACTTACTAGCCCTCCGAAGGGTCTGCCCTTATTTAATGAAAGCTTTAATAAAAGATTAATGTTTAACTAATATAGGTAAGATATTAATAAACTAAAATTAATATATAATCTTATTATTTATTAAGAATTATTCCCTTAAATTTAGTAGATTAATATACTTAATAAAATAATTAATTTTTCAATAACAATTTGCTAGTACTGGGAACAAATTAACGTTCAATGGAAGGCACACTGCTTTCAAGCGAGAAACAACTATGGGACAGGTAAAATATTTTTTAACATAGCTTTTAGCTTTTATTTAACATATAATTGAAGTGTTTAGTTATTTATTATTCAAACCTCCGGACTAATTTTTGAAAATGTATTGCAGATAATTCAAACTAATCATCTGATGTAAGATGAAAAAAAGTTGCCGGAGAACAACGGTTGGTTTTTCATATATATATAAATATTGTACAACTGTATAAAAATATCCATGCATGTGTTGTCCTGTTGGCTTAAACATAATAAAAATATTGAAAGGATTATTTTTTGAAATTCAGCTTAATTTATATCGCTTCTTGTGTTTTAAAGTTAAAAACTGAGGCGATTGTTATCAGGTATTACAGAACAAAATTTCAATTATTTCCAGGTGAGAAGTGAATTGAGCACAAAATTCTGCACGTTCTCGACGACACATCAAGCTAGCACATTTCTGCCAATCTGGCGCTGGAAAATAATCCCTTATACAAATACTCAGCAAAATTATAGTTCCTTGTTTTGTTTATTTCATTTTATGTTTTCTATTTTAAATACACACACAAAATACACACGCATATATACACACACACACTACATACACAGACATAAACATACATATATGTGATTATTTATTAAGTTTTAATGTTTTATCCTAAAGGGCTTTACTTGCATTACATTTGCACATGTGGGTTAACTTATTTTGTTTACTTGTTAAATATTTATAAAATTCTTAGATTCAATGAAATTGTTATAGCTGATCAATTATCATATATATCACTAGATGTTATTATTTTTAAGAAAGGCATTTATTTACTTTGTTACCCTTCGAACCAAATTGTTATCTTCTAGTGCATTTTTGCTATAAGTCTCTGTGCAATACAAACCCTAAGCAGGATGATCTTTTAAAAAAAATCATTCTTCTTGTTTTTTTAAATAAGTTTTATAAAATGTTATATTCTGACATTTATGCTCCATGCTCCGTGTTGATTTTTTTTATATGGTTAAAAATAATGTTATAATACTATAAAATAGTATGTACCAATGTTATGGGCAGCTCAAGAGGTTTATAAATATTAACTGCAGCAACAAGATTTTTATATGCAACATGTATTCAGTATTGATCCCATATATATATTTATAAGTGTAAAAAAAGTATTTTATGATACAAATTTGTATTCATTGAATAGATTGAATGTACATAAAAAAGAAGGAAAGTATATCTTTTGTACAATTTTCATATGGTAATTATTACAAATTTTTACATAATTCATAGTCGGTTATTGAGACAATAAATTTGTACAGTTGGAATGTTAAGCATAAAGATATTGAATAATTTATAACAAATTTTATTAAATATGTTGAAACATGGAAGCATTTACTTTAAATATTTAAGTTGACTTTCTGTACAAAAGAAGGTGAATATCTATTAAATTTAATTAAATGCGAAAAATTTTGTGCCTAACCAAATCGCTTTTCTAAGAAAATTCATATTTGGCTACTTGATTTTAACAATATTATCATAATGTGATAATCCATTTGTCATATATGTTTAACTCACTTAAACAGTATTATCCCAATGTGAATTAGCCTGTGATATGTGGATATTTTGGAGTGTAACTCTTATTATTTATTAATTACATTAAATCATGTTTTCACTGTTTGCACTAAATTTTAATCTAAGCTTGCTTTTTTTAATATGTATATTGAAATAAAACAATGTGGTTTATGGTGATTTACGCAATTTATTTTCTCATCCTGGTGATTTTCTTTACTTTTAAATTGAACATGGTAGCAATTAAACTCTGCCTTGTATTCGATGAAATGTTAAGGTGGCAGTTGCACATTGAAGTTGTCGAAGTTCATTTCATGAAAATCCTCGGATCACTAAAGTACTTGCGCTGAATCCCATCTGGGGCGATCTTGCAGTACCAGCCAGATTTTGCACACTGCTGAACCTCTATCGAACTTTATTCTTAGACTCAGATTTGGGTTCGTCAGTTTTCACTTCGTATATTCGAGTCTAGAACTGGCGAGGTTGTGACTCCACTTTAGCTTGTACACAGCGGAACAGTATGCAATTTGGCCTATATCTTTTTGTAAAAAAAAAAAAAGTATTCCTTTCTATAAAATAAACAAATTCAATTCTTCGAAATAAAATAGAAAAATTCTCAATCAAAATAATCATACAAGAAGTAGTCGCCATAACTGCTCTCAAGCTACTATTTCATTAAGGTGAGAGCAGCGTTAGTTTTAATTAAAGTAAAGTAGTTAGTAAATGAACTATTTATATTTTTATATAATAAAAACCAAAATAACACAATTTTGTTTATTTAACAAATGTGAACTAATATAAAATAAGAATTTTTCTAAATAAATTATGTGTGGTGATTAGTGACTGTTAGTCGATGATTATTCAGAAATCCAAATTTTTGCATTGCATAAATTCACATTTTTCCACATCCTACATGTATTTGTTAAATTTAAACAATGTTTGTAAATCCCAGGCCCTGAAGATGATCTCAATAAAGACCGAAACGTTGGCATGATAAAGAAAATGTTTTTCTGAAACCTACATCACACCAGACCGCATCTCACGATTTCTGAATAATTAAATAAATTATCTTGTTTGAAAATAAAATTTGCTTCGTTATTAATAATAATTTAACTTGAAAATTACAACATTAAGAAAAGACAAACAGAAAGTCAATTAATTAAAAATTGTCATGATTTTGATGGCAGTGTGTGCAATACTTTTAAATTAAATAAAAATAAGAGCAAGTTCTTAAAATTTTCCAAGGAAAAAATTGTGAATAAACCTAACTTGTTTGTTTATGAAGTAATGGCATTACCATTGAGGAGATGAGCATGATCATAGACCTAAGAGTTATTTTTAATATGTGAGGACGTCACATTACAATTGAAAAAAAAAAAAAATTCAATATGTATTTTAATCAAAGTAAATAAAACAACCTTGTGTACAGTTTAATGGTTTCACAATAAAGCCAATCAATGATTATGGGAGCAACAGTTCTGTAGGACTCACCCATAGTCGGATACACCTCAACTCTCGTCCCTCTCTTCATTCGCTCTTACTAATATTTATTTGTTTGCTTATTTAATTTTAATGTCTATTTCGGATAATAATAATAATGTCTGGGTCATTCCCTGACAAATAAGAACTGTGACTTTTGGGACCACCTCGAAGCTGTTAAAAAAAAGGCGTTTAAAAATTAGAATTGATAAAAAGACACATTTGCCTTAAAAATCTTTTAACAATCACTGGTATGCAGCCACCTGGAATACTTGCAACAAGATAAGGTAAATGATGGAAAGGTTTTATGGGACCTGGCCAAGCTCCAAAAACTCCAAATGGACTGGTTTAATCGTTTCCAAAAATTGGGAGGCTGTGTGGGAGCATCCATATGTTTACTGTGACATACGTATTAAGAAAATGTTTGACTCCCGATGTCGCCTTTGGATTTATCTGATCCTTTATACACTCCTGATAGTAGGATGTAAAGGACCCTTGTACTATTGTTGATATTTAGAAAAAAATGCAATAACAAAATGAGAAACAAGAAGATATATCAAATATGACTTTTACTGTATTGACAAAAACATTTCAACATCATTAACTATAAATACATGAAATAACTTTAGGAAATACAAGTGTAGGGTAAAACTTATTAATACATTAGTTTAAAATGTTGTGTTATGTACAAAAAAATAATCTTTACTTAAAATAGTACAACTCTTTACGAGTTTGTTATATCGTATTTATCTTAAATTATAATTCTGGCGATTCATCTTGCAGACCCTCAAGGTTGACGGGCTCATCTGACAGATATTTTACAACGGAGATGCACGATGATTCACTAAGCCAAAACATGGACATAATCAGGCCTAGAAGCAGACCTATCACAACACTACCGGCTACATCCAAAATATAATGACGCCTTGCCAACACTCTAGAAACAGAAACAGCTACCATCCACATGTATAATATCATTCTCGAGAATAAACCTAGGGGGTAAAGAAACGTAAAGAAATATCCTAGGAATACTGCCAATGACCCATGGCATGAAGGGAAAGAGTACTGGTCTATGCTGAAGTTTCCTGAATCGTCCGATGGCCTTTTTCTTCTTACATATGCCTTCAACATAGCATTCAAAACCGTGTTCATAAGTACACCTAAAACAAATAATTAATAAGATTTCTATGTTTATTTTCCCATTGTGGTGACTTACCGAATATCAAGTTAACCTGTAATTCAAAATAGTTTGGATTCCACAATAGCCATACGAAAGCCAGATTGACAGAAATCCAGAGAAATCCATGGCTAGAAATCTAAAAGTTTTTTAAATAATTAAACAGAAATTCGACAATTTCATATAATCAAGAAATCACCTCAAGTGCTTTGTAATATTTTTTAAATTTAAGAGGAGGCAACACTTTATCGCCTAGGTGACATACAGTATTTGTTAGGGCAATATCCTTCTCTAAAACAGCCCGTAACGCCCCAGGAACTTCCCTTTTGGATTGCCCAGGCATTCTAAAAAACTATCCATAAAATGAAATAACATTTACAAAAAAAATTGGTTTAAATAAATAATATTATTAGCAAACAAAATCAATTTGAACTGAAATTATATTTCTCTCAGTAATATTTATACAAATTAATTGACAAAACCTTCCTTTTTGGATTGCCCAGGCATTCTAAAAAACTGTCCATAAAATGAAATAACATTTACAAAAAAAATTGGTTTAAATAAATAATATTATTAGCAAACAAAATCAATTTGAACTGAAATTATATTTCTCTCAGTAATATTTATACAAATTAATTGACAAAACCTTCCTTAGTTGAGATTTTTGATGATTTAGTTGATTGAACATGATAGTTCAACTCACAAACTGTTTGTTTGTGAAATGAATTGTACCACTATACCTTCACTATTTCTAACAAAATAAAAATAAGTGTACAAATTTGCTTAGTGGTCATAATTGACCATAATAATTATTCTAATTAATTATTCTTTTTATCTAAGATTTTTCATTTCAACCAAAAACATTAGATAAAAATAATAATTAATTGGAATAAAAATATGTATTAACTATGAATAAAGATTTGGCCTTTTACTTTTACGCTGCCTATTTTGTTGTAAATAAATGTTCACAACTGTTCGTAAGTACGGTTGAGAAAATAATTTTTCCCGTTCAGTTACAGGAGCTATTAGAGTTATAATAAGTTGGCATATTTAGCCAAACCTGATGAACTTTTGTCCGATTTTTTACTCTCATACACTTTGAAAGTCCTTTCCATTCTAAAAAAAAGGACATCAGAAACTCCAAAATTATGGATTTGTACTAGAGATATTGAAGTTTTCCTTCAGAACTCTATAATTTTCATTTTTTTTTTTTTTTTTGGCTTATGTCAGAAAACATTTCCATGTGTTTTTTTGTTTTTAAATAAAAAGTAAATTACATTATTTATTTACATTTATTGGACGTTTATTGAATTGGGAATTTACACCTATCATCAGCATTTTATAGTGTATTAAATTTATAATTTATTAATAGCCATATTATATTTGAAAGATATGACCATCTTGCATCAACAAGCCTTATGGTCATTTTATTCAATTACATTTTCAATTTTCTCCTTTTTTTAACCAGTTACAAGATTAATTGAAATTAAGAGTTGTGAAGGAAAACTTCAATATCTGAACGAATCAATGAAGTTTTGAATTTCTGGTATCATTTTTTTTAGAATGGACGGAACTATGAATAAAACTTCTTTTAGTTCCAGTGCAGTTTATTTTTATTTCGTGTAAAGCTTTTCAACTGCTTTGCAGTCATCCTCAGCCAATTAAATTTAAAAAAAATTTAAATTTAGTTTTTAGGTAAATGTTGAGATCACCACACACAACAATCAGTCTTACCATCAAGATCATTAATGGTAGGACTGATTGTTTTGTATGGTGATCTCAACATTTACCTAAAAACTAAATTAAAGTTTTTTTTAAATTTAATTGGCCGAGGATGACTGTAAAGCAGTTGAAAAGCTTTCCATGAAATAAAAATAAATAGTGCTGGAACTAAAAGAAGTTTTATTCAAACACGGATTCTCTATTATGGAGTTCCATAGCTTGGACTGTACTACTTTAGACAAAAAATAATGGATATAACTTTCAAAATTGGGTAACAAGTTCATCCCTAAAAACTAATTGATACATTCTGAAGATATTTAAGTTTCCCTTCAGAATTCAATTATTCCAAATGATCACGTGACTGATTTTTGTGGTTTTAAAAAAAAGTTAGGTTTAAAAACACCAACACTAAGTTAAGTTTTCATATTTTATTACATTTTATTCAATTAACATTTCAAGTTATGAAGGAAAACTCCAATGTCTCCAAAGAGAGATTTTTTTTTTTTTAATTTTAACAATTCAAACCCAGGACCTTTACCTTACAGTGATCAGCACGATTCAATGCCCAAACCGTTGCGCCCACCGTCGCCCTAAAATTCATCTTTAACAATTAATTTATTAACTTGATAACTCCTATTTAGTTTGTAACTGATTGTTGAGGTATTAAAAACAAAAAATAAATAAATTTTTTTTGTATTTTATTCAATTAAATTTTCAAGTTCTGAAGGAAACCTCCAATATCTTCAGAATAAATCGACGACTTTTGAAGTTTCTAGTATTATTTAACTTTTTTTTTAAAACAGAACGGAAAGGACTTTCACAATTTTAGGGAAAAAAATAAGGCAAAAGTTCATCATGGCAGCTTAATGCACCAACTTATTAAAATTCTAATAGTGCCAGCTTCTATGGAAAAAATTACCTTTGGAACCATACGTCGTTTTACAATAAAATAGACGGAGTAAAAATAAAAAGCCGTCTTCTATCAAAATTCCCACGGTATAGTTTTTTTAATAAGGATTTTTTCTACCAAGGTTTTCATTCAAAACATGTCTATAATAAGTATGTAGTTGTGCCATTGTGAGTCATACTGCTAAGCTTAAGTAAGTACTATAATACTATATAAGTACTAAGTTAAATAAATACACAGTGCACAAACATGATGTTCTATGCTGTACACACATTAACATATGGCTTTTAGTTAGAATCTGTTTTTAGTAATTATAAACAACATTTAATACTTTTTTAAGGTTTTAGGTTGTTTAATACATAATTACGAAAAAAATTATTTAAAAAAATTACAAAATGCCTATATATGAAAAAAGAAGTGCATGTTGGACTAGAATGGCCCAGGCGTATGTGATAATGGGAGAAAAAAACGAAGCCTGCCAACTTCTTGTGCATGCATCTGAAATTGAGCCGCTTCTTTGGGAAATATGGCGAGATTTGGCGTTGTTAAGCGTAGACTGCAAGAATTATGACAAGACTATCCAATCCTACCTCAGGATACTGGAAATCGGTGAGAATTATCTCAATGTAGATCTTCTCGATAAAATCGCCTATGGTATCTCAGGAGAAAACGCTGTGTCCCCGTCTTCTGAAATGAGGAGTAAATTAATGGAGCTTTTTACAAAATTGATCCAACGATTCCCCAACTATCCGCCACTTTGGTGCGCTTACGGCTTAACGATTGCATCCGTAGAGAATCCGTCCAAAAAGATTCGGGAAGATGCAATAACTGCGTTACAGAACTCACTGAAAATACTCATTGACGACAAATACTGGTACCTTAAGGTTAATAAAATAGGACACATCATAGACAGCGCTTATCATATAATAAGAGCATTCATTGCCGTCAGTGACAAATTTTATGGAACACCGGAATCTACGAAGTTACTTGAAAATGCCAGAGCTGTGACAAATAATCTGACCAGCAAGTTAGAAGAAGCACAGCTAGACATAATATCTGGCCTTGTTATTTCACGATTCTCCCATACTTACAATTCCTTAAAAACACTTTTGGTAACAATTGATAAGAAATTATTTTACAAAGATTTTTATAAAGTTGACTCAACGAGTGTTTAAACCAAATTTGTAACAGTTAATAAAAACATGTGATATAGTTTTTTAAGCAATTTATTTTTATTAAAGTGTTGTAGTGCTGTAAGCAGAATTTCATTCTTGAAAAATAATTGAAAATGTCATAAATATTTATATAAATTGTGAGATTTCTTCTATGTACTGTGGTAATCTGATCTGCCTACCCTTGCCGCTTTCATCTGTCTGATGTGTTTCAGCATTTCAATGAAGATTCATCGCCTAGAAGACCTCAAAAGGAAATCTCATCATTTAAAATTATTTTGAAACAATTTTAAAAGTATATTCAAGGTAACAAAATACTTAATGATCATATCAAACGTACTATTTAACAAATTAATCATACTGAACATAAAATTTTAGACATTTCGCAAAATTATTAATTAAATCATAGAAAGTTTTCTTTCTAATTGATTTCTTTGTTGTTGTAGTGGGAGTAGTTTATTTCTGAGAAAAAAATTAATATATAACTTCCTTTTTTTTTTACAAAGGCTTATTAATCAAAAAGATGATAATAGTATATCAATTCAATTCATAGTTGAAAATGATGATTCTTCTTATTAGAGAATAAAACTATTATTAACACCTACCAAGAAGAATCTCCAGTGATGAAAATTAAATAAAAAGAACATCCTGAGAGAATATCCGATACTTATGGCTCCTAGGGTAAACATGAATAGGATATTTGAATGTATAGAAAACTTCCAAACAAGCCTAAGCACCAAAAAGCAATAGGTACACCAATGTATCTACAACGCAAGAAGGTAAGAGGCTGGAGGATTTGGCCCCAAAATAAAATATTCAGAGCTTACTGACAAATCCTCGTAATTGAGAGAGATCAATTCAATTTAAACACAGGTGTAAAAACATACTGGATAGCCACATCAGAACATTAAACTCAAACATCATTACTTCAAGAATGGCACTGAATTGCAAAACAAAATCACACTTTACTGGGTCCCAGGATGTGCAGAAGTAAAGGGACTAGGAAGTAAAGAGACTGCTGAACCATTTTGTGGTATAGGGATCCATACTATCAACGAGCATCTCAGAAAAGAAGACATGGTTAAAATAAGGAAGCAATGGAATTCACCCACTGGACATAACCCAAAACCTCCTGGTGAGAATTGCAAATAAAGAAACAAGAGAATGCATTTATTTCCAAATTCGTAATGGGGCTCTGAACTGAATGGGTTGGTATCAACTAATGCAGTATGTGCTGTCTTCAAATAAGCAGAAGAGATCTTGGATGCACCTATTAACAGACTGTGGTGCTATGCTTATCCGCAGGAGGAAATTCTTTGGGACGTATAACACAACCATAGAAGAAATACGACCATTAATACCTAACAATCAAATTATACAAAACAGGGGATACAATAGCTCTCAAAGGGAGCGATAACTAAAATTAAGTGGGCAAAACAAAATCTCAGGACAAGCAGAGTAGGAATGAAGAAGCAGATTGAGTTCTAAGAAGCCATTAAGGGATTCCTACACTGTTGGTACAACATAAACCATTTTGTGGCATAGGGATCCATACCATCAATGAGAATTTTAGGAATGGTTAAAACAAGGAAACGATGGAATTCACTCATTGGACACAACCAAATACTTACTGGTGAGAACATTAGAGAACAACTTTATTTTTTTTCCATTTTTTTAAGAGGGTTCACAACAGCAGAGGTTATATCAACCCTCGGGGTGCCAGTGTTTTTGAAAAAAACCCATTTGTAAGTATATCAGGTTCAAATGCAGGGCCGCTGAATTCGAACCTGGGACCTTTACCTTACAGTGGTGGGCGCCGAGTCAACGCCTAAACCGTTGCAGCCATCGACACCCCCAACAACTTTATTAACATAAAGAAACTACAGAATGCATCAAAGGAAGCAGGAAAAAATTCAGAATTCTAATAGAATTTTTAGTGCGGCACTATGGACTAAATGGGTACTTAAGGAAGATTGTGTTAACAAACACGGCACCTGCAGTCTGCAAACAGGCCAAAGAGACCACAACGGACCTATTAATGGACTGTGGTACTACGCTTATCCAAAGGAGAAAATTCCTTGGAATGTACACTGCAACCATAGAAGTAATACGACCATTAACACCTAATAATCAAATTCCGAACAGGGATTTGCTTATATGCTACAGGTACAGCCCGTGGTATACAATAGCTCTTAAAAGGCTCGGTGTGCCATTCCCTGAATTGTGAATCTACATCACATACTGGTTTTTCGAGCATCGCTAATACTCATCAGATTGCGCAAGTAATGTAAAAGTACAGTATTGTATTCAATTGACTTGAAGGTTGCATGCATAGTCTGATGGGTATTTCATGCTCGAAATCATCATGCAAAACCAGTTTGTGAGTAGAATCATCAACTATTGAAGGTTCTATAAGGGGTACTTCAGAACCACTGATTGGTTATAGTGTAAAACTCTCAGCTTGTAGAACCTGTGGTCCTATGTTAGATTCCTACAGCCTCCCTTGAAATTTTTGACCCATGCACCACCTAACCCAAAAAAATTAATTGAAACTTGAGACTATGTGGTAAATCATGAAATTTTTAAATGTGTGACGATGAACCTGTAATTTGGTCGTTTACTGATCATTTTGTTCAGTCTGGTTTCACCTTTGTGGGTTGATCTGTCAGGCACGCTTCCACATTTTGCGAACTTCAGTGGCTGACGAACCAAGGATGATCAGAAATGCCATAACTACAAGTGATTTAACTTCACCAGGAAACCGTTTCATGAAATGTAAAACCTCGTAGTTAATTCGAATGGAAAGTGGAATTAACTTTGCCATTACAAAAAGGAAAAGTATCTGATTTTTAAAAACTATAGATGTAGGCAGTTGTACCTCTTTTATAAACGCGGTATGGTGTCTTTAGTCAAGGCAAGGATGGATGGGAAAAGAAGTCCCGTTTTCTATACATTTGTGATTTATGTAGGGTCATTCACATGGATGTTTGTCAACTACATTTATCAATCTTAAATATACTTAAAACTTTTTAAAATGGTTAATTATAAAATTTTAAACCTACATTGAAAACAGTTCTATGGGAATATGCTGAGGGATGCGTTATAAAATACTCATGAACTAAACAAATTCTTTGTTTAATAAATTTTCAAAATGTACATAACAAACAAAAACATTTCCTTCCAACAGAACAAAATAAATTATCTGAAATCTGGCATTAATTTGTTTTAAGTATCAAAAAACAAGACTTAATTAATGCTAAAATTGTTAACAATGTTAAAATTGAACAATAATTTGCTCAGAGAATGGAAATCATAGTAAAAATTGAGTCAATAAAATTTTAAAAAAGCTATTGGCACATGTAAATATGTACAACACCAAAAATATTTAAAACAACAACAATTCATGATTGCAACTTATTAAGATCAGACTTAATATTTTCAAGAGTGACTTCAAGAGAAGCCAAATCATTTTTGAACTGATCGTTTATATTTTCAGCACTGAAATTGATAATATGCTGTTTGACTTTGGTGATAATGTTTTCTAAAGATATCTTCGCTGAAGTCAAAGAGTGAAGAGTTTCGTTGGTTGAAGGGGAATCTTTGATGAAAGCAAAATGCGCTTCTGCGAGGCATTCACAGATATGCAACACCTTGTGGATTAATTTGATCTCCTTGAACCAGGAGCTATCTTGCATAGCAGCTGTGTACGCTTTTTGATAATACTGCACAGTTTTAGATCTTATGATGGATGTTTGTTCTTCTATGCTTGCTGTCAAATCTGCGTACAATTGCCAAATTATTGGATTACTCATTACTTTAGAAGTAATTCTTCCAAAAAGTTCAAGAGCTTTTTTTCTGTGTACTGTTGCCGGCTGTCCCTTATAATCTTTAATTCCTTTTATCACGACAGAAACGAGAATGGAAAGTATCTGTTCATCTATGTGTCTGTCCTTCAAGTCTAGTATCCTGTGATAACACCTGATAACTTCTTCAAAGTCACCACAATCACTACTCACAGTCATAAGATTGTCCCAAACCTGCCACATTTCATAATTACATTTAATGGCTTCCTGAAGGGCATTGTACGCTCTTTCCTTTTGCCCAAGGAAAATGTAAGCTTTGGCTAGATTATTCCATGCTTCGAAGCTATCAGGTTCAAGGGTACAATACCTCCTATAGGCAGTGGCACTTTCTTCAATTTCCTGTTCTGCGAGAGCGGCATAACCGAGCCTGAACCACAAAGATACCTGGAGACTGTTGATTTCGAGTGATTTCTTAAAATGAGGAATACATTCTTTGAATTGTTTCCTCTGAAAGTAATACATTCCCCAGTGCCTTTGCGCTTGTGCACTTCTATGTTTTGATAACTCCCACGCTCGTTCGTAGCAAGTCACATCGTCTGTCGCATCACCCAAATAACACCATAACTTGACCGTTTCTCCTTTCTTCATCTGTTCCCTTATGACTTCGGCAGCCTTGTGTCTCAATTTGAGATAGTTGTAGCAAGCGATGACTTCGTCCCACATCTGCAACTTCAAAAATATGTCTAATGCCGATTGCATAGATCCAATCGAAACGATTATTGAAGCACACTCAGATGCAATTATAAATGATGGTGGTGTATAACTACAATAAAAAAGATTCAACCTGGTAGGAAGTGGAGTTGTGTTGTTCTCAAGATCCATCAGCTCTTGAGTCTGAAGTAATGCTCGCTCCACAGTCCTCTTATGCTCACATTCTATTCTAGACCTAAATAAAAGAGCTGAAACTTGCAGTGTCCAAACTTTCGGATGTGACAAAATACAATTTAAAAACGGCATAAGTTCCTCATTTTGGAGATGGTCTTTGGCTTGGCTCTTTTTCTTCTGTCCGAAAACAGCTATCAGGGCAGCCTGCTCAAGAGGTTGTAAGTCAGGAAACTTACCATCACCTGCATTGGTAAAGACGACATGTGGTAAACGGACGTCGTCATTAAGTAGTACATCCTTAGGGAATTGTTGTTCGGGTTGTTTGTTCTGAGAATCCAAATTAGCGCACCTGTCAACCTTGACATCGATCGTTAGCTGTGCCAAATCTTTCCTCTGGTACTGGGTCCTGCGCCCTAACGCCCCGACTAGATTTACTTCCATATTCAAAAGGCCCAAAACCCGTTTGATTTCCTGTTCTGAAAGCACAACTTTGCCATAATGAAGGTGAATCCTCGCTACCTCCAGGTGGAACAAGACTTGTAAGTATTTGTTTTCTTCGATCCAATCGGCTGTTTCAAGGTTCTGACTTAAGGAAATCAGTTCATTTTTTAGAGTCGGTGAATGTTCATCGAGGATCTGCTGATGAATGTAAATAGTCCTGAGAAGCCACCAAGAACTCGTTTTTACTTCGGAGAGGCAACAACGGAAACACACTTCGGCAAGAAGTAACAATTCGGGATGCTCGATTGCACAACAAATCTCTTCACCGTCAATCGCAAGACTGAGACGAATGCACTCTTTAATATCTTTCTTTTGCAATATCTCCTCCGGAAGGTACTTCAAGATAAAAGGATTGATACAGGGATGGTAGACGTCTTTCCGCTTGTACTTAGGGCCGGTCCAGTTGGTCTGAATAAACGCTTGGAGGCTTGCTATTCCGAACAGAAGGACTTCAAACCTGTCCAAAGGTGTGTTGTGGATGACAAGGTGGTCGTTGAGACACTTGCAGAGCATGCTGACGGCATTTTCACCATCCACATGTGGATGGGTGGACTTGTACTCGGAGAAAATCTTCCGGCAAATTTCCGATTCGATAATTTCCACATAATCACCGGTCTTCATATGCCTTATCCAAGGGGAGACGTCGAGAAGCTCCTCGAGGTTGTCACCTCTGAGCAAGACAACCTCGCAACGCCACAAATCCTCTATTGGGGTTTCCATCTTTCCGCCAGAATCCTTTACACCGGTAGATCAATATTTTTCAACAAAGATCATTTTGATTTTCTCCCTCTCCGATAACTCATGAACTTAATTTATTACAACACACAACAGTCCACACGAGGACGTCGAAGACTTAGTAAATTGCTACCGTAAGTGTAAAGAGCAAATGTTAAACGACAGGGCAGCCAATATAACAAGAAAAGAACGTAATTTCTACGTTGTTATATGTACAAGAACTTTACATAATTCTATGTTTATGTTACTAGCCGAAAATAAAAAGTAAAAACAAATAACATAAACTTTAGCTAATATCTAATAAAAGGTTACGTATTCTAAAAGGAAGCGCCCCGGCCATAATTTTTTTTAAAATGTACTCCATAGTGTACCTGTTATAAGATATGCAAACTTAACCATCTCCTTTTCATTGGATATACATTTTATAGATTCCATTTAGGGGTTTGTCTTTTGGTTTTTCACCTAGGCTAAAATTCTATTCTAAATTAAAAAAAAAATCATAGGCTCTCTTAATAATAAATATTTACTATTAGTAGGATAGCTAGAATTATTTTGTGGTATAAGGATCCAAATTATCAACAAGCATCTTAATAAAGAATGAATTATTATCTTCTAAAAGTTTATTTATTTATTTTTTTAACTGGCTTTAGGTTTCTGCATTAGTCACCAGACTTTAAAGCTTGTGTAAAACAAGATGTGGAGGGATGCCATTTAGGGGGTACAAAGAAGGCCACCAACTTTATAAAAGCAATATTAAATTTAAAAAGTATGGTAAATGATAGAATTCCCTATACTCATGTCTCCTAGGGACAACATAGAATATTTTACGTTAAACAAAACTTCCTAACAAACCTATACCAAAAAATAATTGGAAAAAGACCAGAGTTAAAAAGACACTATTTGTTGGTACACTGATTTTGGATGCAAGAAGGTACAGGGCTGGGGTGGTCGGCCACAAAACCAAACATTCAGAGCCCATGGGCAGTATATTTCAAGCTGAAATCAGCAATTGAGACGTATTCAATTCAATTTAAACAGAGGATATAAAAACAAAGACAACTGCCATTTCGGATAATTCGACTAAATTGGAAAAAATAGGTTAAGTGGGCAAAACAAAATTCCAGGACATGCAGAGTAGAGGGAATGAAGAAGCAGATGCCGTTCTAAGAAGCCCTTAAGGGGCTGCTACACTGTTGATATGTCCTGAACCATTTTGTGGTTTAGGGAGCATTCTATCAATGAGAATTTTAGAAAAGAAGGCATGGTTAAAGCAAGGAAACGATGGAATTCACTCACTGGTCACGACCAAATACCTCCTGGTGAGAATTGGTTAATAAAGAAACTACAGAATGCATCAAAGGAAGCAGGAAGAGACTCAGAATCCTGATAGAATTCTTAGAGGGGCACTTGGACTAAATGGGTCTTAAGGAAGATTGTGTTAACCAACATGGTACATACAATAAGTCTGCAAAGAGGCAGAAGAGACCCAACGGACCTATTAATGGATTTTGGTACTACGCTTATCCAAACGAGGAAATTCTTTGAGATGTACAATGCAACCATATAAGTAACACAACCATTAACATCTAATAATCAAATTCCTTGTGAATTGGGAGTTGCTGTATATCCTGCTAAAGGTACAGAACGGATGCAATTGCTCTCAAAGGGTACAGAATACAGTATGCCAAACTATCCTGAATTGTGAATCTACATTACATACTGGTTTATCGAGCATTCTAATGCTCATCAGATTATGTAAGTAATCTATAAGTACATTATTGTAGTCAATAATTTATTGATTTGAAGGTTACTTGCATAGTCTGATGCGTATTTAATTATTTAATATTTAACTATTAAAGGTCTGTTGGAGACTCTTGGCTTGTAGCCCCTGTGGTTGTGGGTTCAATTCCTAGTTGTCCTTGAATTTTTTTTTATACCCATCCTTTCTGGATTGATCTGTCAGACACGCTTCCACATTATCAGCCAATATGCAAATTATGTGAAGAAATAGAAGAGACCTCAACAAACATATTAACAAATTGTGGTGCCGCATACAACATAACAGTAGAGAAAATGGTACCACTAAAAACAAGCCTAATAGTCATAAATTGACTCTCTGGTGTGCTACATCATCTACCAAAATGGGCAGTTCACCAAATTCCCCTGAATGTACATCTACATCACAACAAGTATTTGTTAGTATTAGTGATAAATTTATTATTCATATAGGTTTGACTTAGAGCTGTTATGGACCATAAGATCGTTTTTAAATTACATTTCTAACATTACATATTATCAATACAAATAAACAAGCCATGTTTGTAAATGTAAATGTTTGTATCTGTGAGGTGATTGGCACTATCAAAGTCTCTACTGATAGTAATATTTTCCTAATATAATATTAGTGGAAAGCAATGTCATGGAAAAATTTACAATTATAAGTTTCCTTCACGATTACGGGAATTATGTTCTGAAGTCTTATCTCTGTTTATGGACCACAATGTCAAATCAGCCAAGATTACTGTCATATTTATCGATATTTTCATTAAAATGAATGAGATGAATCTTTCTTTGAATGGGAAGAATATCACAACTTTCGATGCTAATGACAAAGTTCTCGACTTCAAAAGAAAAATCCAGTTTTGGGTTGTATCTGTTGAGAAGAGATGGAGTGTTTTTCTGTGTTAAATGATTTTTTAAAAGGAAAAAAACTGGAGCTTGCAACCTGCACATTGATTTTCCAAAAGGTGGAGATACAATGCTGTAAGACCATGAAAGGGTGGTCAAACCGTTTTCAGTTTCAACAAAGCCAACACTTCAGTGTCCCGCTTCTTGGCCCTAAAAAGAGCTTTGCAGGTGTCAACAAAGCCAATCAGTGCATCTTCAAGTGAATACGAATGTTTGATAGACATTACTTCAGACTTCACCTTGAAATTTCTTTTGAGACCGATACTTCCATTTTTGACTCAGCCTAAAAAACAAAAAATTACAACTGCTCTTTGAAAAAGCGAAACATGTTCTTCCATTTGCCACAACTTGCCTATGCGAATCTGGATTTTATATCTGTAAAACCACCAAAACTAAACATGGAATCTGTCTAATTGCTGAACCCTACATCCATCTCCAGTTATAAAAATTAAATGCAACAATATACCCAACCTGTGCAGGCTAAAACAATCCCATTTTCCCCATTAATGCATTAATGTTCAAATTATTACTTTTGAATTTGGCTAGAATTTTTTACACACCTATTCATTCTGTTCTGCCCACTTTGATTTTTGTGTTCTGCATTTTGAAAATAAAGTTAAGTATGTCAATCTAATGTTTGTTTTCATAATGATATCTCTCTCCATGACCTAATTAGGAATGGCTAATTTATAAAACTTCAATTTACTTCATATACTATAAATATCTAATTTTAAATACTGAAATGTAATATACATATACAAAAATAGTGAAATGGGTCCGCTGGCTAAAAAGTATGGGAAGTCCTGTACTTTACAAAAGAAATGTCTTGATTGAAACAATTATTGGGTTGTCCGGAAAATAATGCAGGATTTTGGTATTAAACAAAAAAAAAGAAACTAGTTACTTTAAAGCAATGTTCTTTAATCAAAATAATTTCCCATACTCTCAATACATTTCTCCCAACGTGTTGGTAACTTATTAATTCCGTCTGAGTAGAATTCAGAATTTTTAGAATTGATAAAGTCAATAAATGCATTTTCCAGTTCCGTTTGATTTTTGAATATTATGTGTTGTAAGTAGTGGTCCAGGTGTCTAAAAAAATGGTAGTCAGTAGGCGAGAGGTCCGGAGAGTAGGGTGGGTGAGGCAAAGTTTCATAGCCAAGCTCCAATAATTTTTGTGACGTTACACGTGACACATGTGGTCGAGCGTTGTCATGCAACAAAATGGGCCCTTTCCGATTGACCAAAGAGGGCTTCATTACTGCCAATTTCTGATGCATGGTATTAATTTGGTTACAGTATGATTCAGCATTGATGGTTTCGCCAGGATTTAAGAAGCTGTAGTGTATTAAACCAAATGAAGCCCACCATACCGTAACCATTACCTTTTTTTGATGAGTTGGGGGCTTTGGAAAATGTATTGGAGCTTCTCCTTTGTCGAGCCACTGTCCAGAACGTCTAGTGTTATCGTAGAGAATCCACTTTTCGTCACATGTAACAATTCTGGCCAGAAATGGGTCATTTTTGTTTCGACAAAGAAGTGATGCACAAACATCAAAGCGCTGATTTTTTTGGCGATCGTTTAATGAGTGTGGAAATCGCCTTGAGGTGGTCAGCGACGGTCGTTTTACTGACTTTGAGTTGCCCTGCAAGTTCTCGAACAGTTGTTTTGGGGTTTTCTTCCACCACTGATCGCAGAACATCATCATTAAGAGAGGAAGGCCTTCCACGACCTTCTTCATCTTCAAGGCTGAAATCTCCCTCCCGAAATTTTTTAAACCACCTTTGCACAGTGCACTCATTAACACAACCCTCGCCCCAGACTTGGTTAATGTTTCTAGCCGTTTGGGCTCCGCTTCGGCCGAGTTTAAACTCGTAAAAGAAAATCGTACGAAATTCTCGCTTTGACATTATAAGGATGACTGAATTATTTCCAAGTAGCGGAATGCTACAGAGGTAAACAAACAATATCATTTGGAAGAGGATTAATAAGTGTTGACATTCATACAAATGAGTAATCCTGTAAACGTAAACAGAATATTTTATATAGATTTTTTTTAATGAAAACTTAAAATCCTGCATTATTTTCCGGACAACCCGATAGTTAATTATTAGTAGGGGGATGTCTCCGATATTCATCTGCGTATTTTAATATTATTAGTACAAATTATACGGCATATTTAAGGTTTTGTTAACTGCATATTTGATGGTGTTTTAGTGCATATTATTTGTGAATTTTTATTGGATATCCAGGCTTTACTTATTAGCTATGTTAATAGCTAGATTGTAATATCTATAAGAATTTCATGAGCTTTGCCAGGATTCGAATCTAGAAGTGCTAAATGGCAAAAATGTGCCGGGCATCCTGATGACTCATCCGCTGCAGTTCCTTATAATTAATTTCAACAATTTAGTTAAAGAATAATATTCTACTCTCTTCTTTGAAGTAAATGGTGTTGAAATAAATCAAATATTGAAATATTCTGTTGATCGAAGTAAATCACTGGCACACAAAAGAACAGTGTATTTTGCGATGTCAGCTGTCCTTGAATTGTATTCTGACATGAATCTACTTTATGCTAAAGTACACACAAACGTTATATCAATTATTATTAACCTGGAAATTAAACCAATCGTCATAACATTGATGATGATAAATAGTTTGAGATGAGTATCAAAATCCGGTTATAAAGGATGGTTTTGTTTAAACAATACGCAATTAAGTTAAGTGTAATTGATGTGAATTATTATAAATTTTCCATTGAACATTGAACTCCGTATCATTTTTTTGAGAGGTTCTGACAGGTAGAATGGAACGTTAAAATGCAGATTTTAATATCGAATTATACCCGAAAGGATAAAGATAATACTTACCAATTTTGAAGAACGGGGTTTTTATGAATTGTAGACAGGAGACTGGATGAGGTCGGACGATCCAGAAGAGTAAAATCAACGGTTGAAGGCTCTCAAAATAAAACTAAAATAACTTCAGTCAGTTCTCGGTTGAACCAAAATAACCAATGGATTAATGTCGGGCTGGGGAATGGCGGCAACCGTGAAAGATAAGCGGTTTTAACCTTACCAGTCAACATAAATAACCTTCCAATATTTATCAATTCTCATATCACTGCTGACATTTAATAGAAAATCATCACTATTCCTTTAAACTTTAAACAGTGACTTCCTGAATGAGCGCATTGTAATAATTATGGTATTCTAAGTTAACAAAAATTACAAGAAACAAATAAGTCGGATGTAATTTACAAATCAATTGTATAAACTGTCCGGCAACTTATATCGGAATTACATCTCAAAATCTGGATAAGAGGATAAAACAATATATCATACATCTATAATTGCAAAAAGCCTAAACAAAATCCTCAGCCCTGGCTACCCACAATTTTGAACACCAAAACAATTTCGATTTCAGCAATCCAAAATTAGTAAACACAGAACAGGACAAACATAAATGTAACTTTTTAGAAATCGTTTACTTCAAAAGAGATAAACACAGCATAAATTATAGAACATTCACATATAAACTCAGTTATATACGACACTACTATCATAAATCAAATTCAATATCAATAGCATACATATAACACAAAACATACAATAACATATAAAATAACCATTATACTCCACACATCAAACAATTCCACATAGTTTAAATCTTCAAATATTTATCTCTCCTTTCCCTAATAATACCATCTATAATAATCCTGAAAGGCTAACCAGGCCCAAATGACAAACTATTACCCGCTTCTTTCCATATCGGTCCCTTTCTCCTCAAAGAAGCCGACTACTCATAGAAAAATGAATCCATCCCTACTTGCTTCCCTACTCCTTCAAAATCAAACTTATATAAACAAAAAACATTAATATCTCACTAAACACTCTCATTATGACACACATCTACATAGAAAACACACTTTGAGTGAATACAAAATAATAGTATTTGTATAATTTAAACAATGTTTATAAGGCCCTGAAGATAACCTCAATAAAGATTGAAACATTGGCACGATAAAGAAAATGTTTTTCTAAACCTATATCACACCAGACGGCATCTCTCTATCTCTAAATAATCATTAATTAATGGGTACTAAATAGTACACACACACACACCTGTTAACAAAAATATGGAAAACTTTGCTAGTGAAGTTAATAAAACATTATTAGACTGAGTGCAAATCACTCTACAATAAAACACTCTTTGGTGCTTCAGAGAAACAGGGCTTCATATTAAAAGGCCAGGACAGCGTTGACCTAGGTCTGCAGATAAGAGAGATGATAGATTCATCTCTCTCTAGACTCTGGAAAACTGCAGCATTATGGGAAATGAGATAAGGAAAGTTCGACATGTTTCGATTTCCTTCAGGATTGTAAGAAAAAGGCTCAACAAAAATAACCTGAGCCTGGCACCTGGCCTTGTGAACCACAGCTCAGAAAATATCCAAGCTTCAATTCATATGGGGACATGTGAATTAGACATTGGAAGATTGGGGACAAGGTATCTTTATAGATGAGGCGAGAGTTGGCCTCAAATCTTCAGATGGGCTAATTTCATATGGAGATGCTCAGGAAAAAAAAAGATAAGCTTCATGTTGTATGATTCCTCAGGTGGCAATCCACAGTGGGTCATGTTCTGGGGTGGCGTTTCCTTGGACAACCGCACCAAGTTAGTTGTGCAAGGAAGATTTCTAGATTCACAAAGGTACTTATAAGACATAATCAAAGGGCAGTTTGCCATTTTCCCCCCTTGAAAGTGAGAGATTCTTGCTAATTCAGGATAATGCCAGGCCCATTGAACACATATTGTGGATGACTAATTGAATGAGGTTGGATGACCCTAGAAGAGTTGAAAACAGCTGTTCTCATTGAATGGGAAAGAATTCCTCAGGATTTTATCAGAAATCTTTTCCAAGGAATGCAAAGACATTTAATGGACGTGATTTGTGTCAGAGGTGGAAATACTCGGTATTAAAGGGTACAAAAAGTTTTTGAATTTTGTTCTTTACTCAATAAGAACACTGTGACATGGGCACATATTATTTTTTAAATCGTATTGTATTTAAAAGTTTACACGATAAAAAACAAGACCTTAAAAAAACACCTTTATTTACTAAACGATACAAAAAATTATATCAGCAATAAATATAGGATTACATTTGTTCAAATTTAAGTTAGAAACAAACACGTGGGTTTCTTTTAAGTTCACTATAACTCAATTTATGCTTAGCTTTTTAAGGTTTATGCTAACACAGATCAATCCTTAAGAGTTTACATATAAAGAGACATGCAAAATGTTTTACTCTTTAACATTTGCCAATAATTAGCAATGGAATGTTTGCTTAATTTAGAACCATTCACTTTTTAAACGTCCTTTAAAATAGACATGGGTTTTTCATATATTTGTTTATTCAACACTTCACCAATCTAAATCTGGCTGTACAGGCGTAAAATAAAAATAAATCAAGGCCCACTTCACATGTTGTTTGTCACAATAATAGGCCTGTTCTCATTAGTTCTTACTTGACTATACGTGTAAAGTGTTCTACTGCTCCAGTGGAGAAGGACATACCAAGAGGAGAGGACGCCTGCAATCGCATTCGTCGCAGTCGATGCTATAAGAAGAATAGAAAGGATGTTCCATACTTCTAAGCAGTTGAGGTCCAAGTAGAACATAACCTGAGTACTCGACCGGCAAATGCAACTAGCATTCAGGACGTTGGCCGGTTCGCACACCATCCTGTATAATTTTACCAAATGGACTATTGCAAATCCTGCTGCCATTATGCTCACTATAGCTGCTATTAAAGAACATATAACACTGATTACCTGAAACATAGATTTATATATTTATATTATAGAATATTGATTGAATGAGTATTGAATACCCTAAAAGTGCAAACGTGGTATTTCACTGGCATCCCAGGATACTCCCTTCTACAACAGCACATTAGAATAACTCCTATAAATGCTGAAAACAGCACCTGTAAACATATTAAAAAGTTATAATACTACAAACAACTTTTGCAAAATAAACACACTCAGGAGTAATTCAAATGTTTTGTTATAAATTTATCCTTATGGCAAAATTACACTAACAAAACTCTAATAAAAGATCTGTGTACAAATTGGTATCATTTAAAAAAAATATAGAATTTTTGTTGTTCTAATGAATGAAACTATATAAAATTCAAATAGCTTATAGTTTCTACTAAATACATTGAACTACGTTTATTTTCACTCATGCAAAATGTTAAGACATGTATTTATTAAACAATCACAGCAGAAAGTTTGGCTGGGGTAGTTTTTCTTAATCAGGTAGGAAATATTTACTGGAAGACCGCTCCAATATGGTATATCTCTGATGTGAAGATTTGGCGCCCATAGAAGTAGCCATCCTGCTAACGTTGAAATTGCTATTCCCATCAAGAGCTGGAGGATCAAAAGGCTTGTGGCCAATTTATGCCTTCGGACGACATACGGCAGGTACTTCTTTGGCACTGTAACAAAAATAAATAACTTTTTTTATCATCCTCTTTTGATAGTAGTGTGATATGTTGTGTATTCAGACAAACCTACAATAACCACAGTATGAAACTGACACACAATTTCAACTTTTCACCTGATTTATTGCACTACAAGATGTACCAGTACAGTGTACAAAAGGAACAAATTTGCTTTCAAAACTCACATACTATCTGTGACTAGCTTCATTCCTACTAAGACAAACTTTTAAAATAGTCCTTAACACGCTTTTTAGCTAAAATATTGTTAAAGTCTGTAATAAGCAGTTATACATTTTAAATAGACAAAATTGAACATTCCAGTTACATTGTTCACATGATGTCTAACAGTTAAAGTAAAAAATCATTAAATTTTGAAATTTTCTATTGTGGTCTGTGACCTATTGTTTGATAGTTACCTACTATCATCCCAGTCTGCCCAACCTTATTGATTCCAGCCAACTCAGAAGCTCCTCGACATCTCACCATCTTCAGTGTTTGGGTGATATTAAATATGACACTGAAGATAACAAGATGCTGATGAGCGAGGGTAGGCAGATCATCTATTTGATTAAACTATCAAACAATACATAAAAATTAATATTAGCTAATTCGTTATTAGCAAAAAAATTGAAGAAACATTCCGTTTCCTTACCTATAGGTTCTAATTTATTTGTGTACACATAATATTCCATAGCACTCGTTTCCTTTAGAACCTTGTTAAGAGTGAATGTATTTATTAGCGTGAATGTTCTTATTAGCATGAATGTGTGATATGAGAGGGTCGATGGTGGAATATCGAGTACCTCATCGATTCTCAATTAGGTTAGTTATATAATATGTGTAAAGAGTTATGGAGGAATATCGAGTACTCCATTACCCTATTAAATTAATGGTGTGTAAATAGGAGTGTATTTAAGAATTAACGAATGGGTTTGGAACTGCATGTGCTGGGTGGTGAATTGACCTAGCTAGTGACAGCACCCCCTCCCACAAGGTGCCCAAACTCGGTGGCTGAATGGATAAGGACTGCCAACACCTGGAGTGCATGATTCTCAAGTCTGCTAGCAATTTACTATAATTAGCAAAAGCTAGAATTGCAGCTGAACTACGAGAAGCGAATAGGCTCAACTCGGCACATATTTGTATGTTGGTATGTATATGTGCGGATTTGAGTCTGTATAAATCCAAATCCTTTACAACCTTTGGAACTTTTTCAAATGTTGCTAAATGAATCATTGATGTGTGAAAAGTATTAAAATTATTTAACACATAATGTGGATATTTAACATTATTACAAATTTCAATTAATTATTCTTTTTATCTAATGTCTTGATTAAGATGAAAAGTTAGTGTCATGAGCTGGATTCGAACCCATGACCTTCGGCTAGGTGGGTTCGAATCTCTTGAGGCATTAACTTTTTCATCTCTATCAAGACCTTAGATAAAAAGAATAATTAACTGAAATAATTAATATGGTCAATTATGACTGGTAAACATATGTGGATTAATTACTACAAATTTTGTAATAAACAATCAGGCTGTGATTCTCCACAAAACAAAGACTTAAATTCTTAGCTTTCTGAGTGGACATTTTGTTAAGAGTCCATGAAATGTCTTTTACAGTTCAATTACACAGAGTAGCCTTCTGTTTTCAACCTTTTATCACTCTGTTCACACAATATTATCACCGAAGTGTATTATTACTGTATATATCAACAATAAATCCAAACTACTTGGCAATGATCTGTGCTGTGTAAAAATAAAAAACCAAAACCAAAACATATCTTTTTGTTAAATTATTATATCTATTTGAACCTGTACAACAATTGAAAGAATAATTTATTGAAGTCTTGTGGAGCAGTCAAGAATGAGGTAGTTTAGAAAACATACAAGTGCCACAACACTTTCATACAAAACCAATATGATAACACACACACACACACACACACACACACACACACACACACACACACTCTCACTCACTCACTAACTCACTCACACACCACACAAGAATAGCACGTCGCATTATGCCCTGAAGATGACCAAAATAAAGGTTGAAACGCGGCAAAAAAATGAAAACGGTTTTTCTAAACTACCTCATTCTTTACACCACTTCTCACTTCAACAAATGATGAAACAACAGGTCACTAAGAAACACACAAATTAAAAGAATGTTAACTCAGTCAGAAAACACTGTTTGAAATTCTATAGCTCTTTTTTAAGCGTTTCGTTATTTGCAGAAATGTTTTCTGTAGTGATAAGAAACTTATCAATTAATTAAAAGGAGCAAGACCAACCAATGTCAATTTCAATTAGCTTAAAGGAGCACACCAGAAAAATAACGCACGCACCACGAAACTCGAGTGTTAAAAAAAAAACAGAAAAAAAAAAAAAAAAAAAAAAACAAGTTCATCGCCTTGGCATCACACAATTTCACTTTCAATGTAACGCCGCGATAATGGATCCTTTTTTTCTCCTCGGCAACAAATAGCCCAAATTGAAGGGAATTTGGCTATATTGCCCAACCGGACATAGCCCATTGAAAAAACCCCGAGCAAATCCAATGGATTCGTTTCTCTTTATATTTCTACTTAACATACTCGCCATTGTCAATTTGAATACGTATCGTTCTTGACATTTACTAGGTCGTTACAAGTCTTCGTTCATTAATTAATTATTGATATTAAAGTTTCCATTTTAATCCTAATTCGACTCTGATTTAATCAATGCATATATCTTTGTTTACTTTGACTAATCCTTTATTTAATTATGTATACCAACTGACTCTGAGGATGTCATTCATTTTATAAATCTCACCGAAAATGTCGGAAAAAAAAATTGGAAAAAAGGACTAAGTGCAAAGGCAGCAGCCGAGGAATTTTGTGCAGTGGAAGATGGAAATGTGCATCACAGTAAGCCGCCAATTAAAAAAGCTTAATGTCAATGCTTAATATGTAAACATGTAACGAGTTGATGTCTGTAAAAGTTTGCTTCAAAATGTAAAAGATGATAGATTTTGGAATAGAATTTTAAAGAGCGATGAAAAATGGATATTTAAAAAAAAAATACTCTCCACCGAAAACTGTGGGTTCCGCAAGGCCAAGGGTTCAAGCAAAGGTTCGCCAACCAATATCGACTTGAAAAAAAGATTATGCTTTGTGTTTGGTGGAATTATATGGGTGTTTTGCACTTTAGTGTGAACAACTCGAAAGACTATATGGGGTTTTATAAGAGAAGTACCCTGCTTGCCCCTAAGCTCAATCGGGGAAAAGCGATATTTCAGCAAGACAACGCTCCTGCCCATCGTCCACGATTAGCTAAAGAAATATTTTCGGAAATGAAGGGTGTTAGCATCTTGCCCCACCCTCCTTACAACCCTGACGTGGCACCATCTGACTATGGTCTTTCCAGTCATGGCGCATTTTTGGAAAGGCCGGGACTTCGAAAATTACGAGGATGTCAAATAGGATGATAGCAGTTCTTCGTAACCAACGACTTACCAAATACCACCAAATTCAACTTCTGGCAGAACGATGGGTTAAAGTAGTTGGTAATGATGGACTATATTTTGAGGAATAATTTTCGTGTTTACATTTTATACTGACATTTAAATAAAACTTAATTTATGCCCAAAGACTTTTGTAACGACCTAGTATATCCATTTATAAATTTCAATTCAAAATTATTTGGTTGAAAATAATCTTTTTATTCGCAGGTATTCGAATTATTTTGATTTGGCAAAAATCACATAAAGCCAATACTGAAGATGACGTAATACCGAAACGCCGACATAGCAACACAGCGAGGATAGGAAGATTAAGATGATCAGTAAGGATCAAATAGAGTCTGGCTGTGGGCTAGTAGGCTGATACAAAAATTTTTTAAACATATTTTAAAACTTTCCCTTCATAGATGATTCTTCCTCTTTAACTTCTTCTTTAACTATGTTCGCCTAGCCTATTTTTTCACATCTAATAGAGACTGAATGTTAGTGATCTTATTTCTAAACTTGACCTGTAACCACACACACCGAATTTAAATAGCCAAGTCTGTCCCAAGTTACTTTAGGAGTAAGGAAAGCCTGTGTTGCGATGGACTCTTGTTGAGTGTAGTGACATGAGCTGTCATTGAATCGGTGTGGCTGTAGAAGTCGAAGTTGGTGGGTGGTACTGAGCGTAGGGATTCAAGACGGCCTTCTATGTATGCTATGGGATAAGAGCAATAGAGAAAACCCTATTACTTGTGTACACGTGTTGGCTCCAACTCCATTAGCGATGAGAATTCGTCGACCCTTGTTTAAATATAGGGTTGCTGCATGCTCATTGGTTGTTAGAAAGGCGAAAGTACTGGTGAATGTGATGCCTAGTGTAAAAGCCACAGGCAGTCACCACACTACAATCCTGCAGGGTTTTTCCGTCGTGTACATAATTTCTCATGCACTACATAAAAGGACTTTGCAATGTGTATTTTCTAGATATTGTCTAAGCCTTTGAAATCCTTTACTCAAGTTTAAGCTTATCGAAGTTCGACGCTTTACGTAATCCTAATCTTTCAGTCTCCCAGTTCCTTGATCCCTTTTTTACAATATTTTCACCTTAAATATTCCAACCCAACCAGATACAAAATCGTCTTATGCGGATGACAAGGTTATCCTTTGTATTAATCCAAAAAACATCAAGCCGTTCATACTGCAAGAGAACATTGGTCCAATCACAATGAAGAACGAAAATAAATACAGCTCAGAGTCTTTTACCACGAAAAGATCTTCCTGTTTCCTTTTACCCTAAATAATATCTCCACGTGCAGGGCCGCCACTCCTCGACAGCAAACTTAATTAAAACCCTCAAACTAGACTAAAAAGATTAGAACTAAACATGAGACCGGGGGAATTACAAAAGGGGAAAATAAATTGACGTATGAAAATAAACTCATTTACAAGATCATTACCAGACCCGTCTGGACGTACGGATGTAAACGGGAGTACCGATCAGTGAACCGAATTCAAACATTTCAGTGTTAAGACTTTCGTATCATAACTTAGGCTCTTATGCAATAATAATTTAATATTTTAAATTATTGTCACTAACACTCTGGATCAAGGTATGGTCTTGAAGAGGAAAACAAATTCAGTTGTTACTGCCAAGCTTTCGACCTATTTAAGGACATCATCAGGGCAAAACAATCTAAAATATGTCTACAGATTGACATATTTAAGTTTTTTTACAGGCGATCTCAAATTCCTTGAAGACCGACTCAGTCTCAACATTGCCAACGACTGATTATTGAATTGTTGTAAGACCTAGATTGATATTAATAGAAAAGCTGAAACAGAAAGACTTTTTTTAGACTCTTTAAATCAAAAATCCCCTGAACTCTTCACGAAGGCTGGACAAATCAACCACAAATTATTGAAAATTGTATATTAAAATATAAACAGAACGATACATTTAAAAAAACGAAGGAAAGATTAACTGTTTAGCATTTTATGTCAAGACTATAAAGCAATTACAACTAGATGCAATGTTATACTGTACTTGCTATTTAATAACAAACAATTAATTAATGTTATAATAGTGTTTATGCTATTATTATCATCACACGTGGATAATTTCACAATCAAATCTTTCATAGTGTCGCAATATCATCTAGGACCGGGTTTTTACCTTCATTCTGCAAATTCGAGCCTTCGACGTGAATTGACGTAGTAACAAACAGGAATAATGGCTTCAATAACTCCGTATTAATCAGACAGGTCAACCTTACAGGGTGAAAAGTGAACGGTTCATTTAGCAACCTTTGAAGGGGGATCCAAAGGGGATGATGAAAGGAAAGACCGAGGGCACACGTTCAGAGTTTCCATGGTCTATTTTAAAACGAAAAATAACTTGCGTACAAATAAGTTAAGTGGAGGATTAATATGTGATATCTTCTTGTTGGTGTAAAGGAAATCGTGGTAAAAAATTCATTTAATCTTTATACCAAATGGCAAATATTAATAATTCTATGCTGATGAAGCTAGAATATGAAACATAAAGAAATTTTTGCATTTCCATACAATCGCTGGTTAATTATCACAAAATCGATTAAAATGCTTGCTTAACGTAATTTTTTGAAAAACCTGGGAAGGGGTCGTTAGTAAGTTGAAACCCTATTATATGAAATTTTAAGAACCTACGTTAAATGATTAAGCAATGAGATCCAATAGATTTGATAGATGCGCATATGAAAATGCTCGTTACCATTTGAAAAACAAAAATTTCATTTTTTACCTTATCAAGAAATTTAAAAATCCCTGTTTGCAATGTCTGAAAGTAAAGCTTATGCCAAAAAACTCTTTTTTCCTAGGTTGAGCAGTTTTTGAGAAAACCAGGGGGAAAAACTAAATTGAAATCCTACCTACCTACCCTAATATACCAAATTTTTTTCTGAACCGATTTTCATACGGTTTTCGATATTTTTCGTACAATCGAATTGATTTGAAGAATCCACCAACGAAAATGTACGTTACCATTTGAAAAACAAAACTTTCAATTATTAACTTTTTTAAGAAATTGAAAAAAAAATTGTTTCAAAGTAATAAATGTTTGAAAGTATTGTTTTTCTAGGTTGAGTAGTTTTTGAGAAAACCAGGGGGAAAAACTAAATTGAAATCCTACCTACCTACCCTAATATACCAAATTTTTTTCTGAACCGATTTTCATACGGTTGTCGACATTTTTCGTAAAATCGAATTGATTTAAAGAATCCGCCAACGAAAATGTACGCTACCATTTGAAAAACAAAACTTTCAATTATTAAATTTTTTTAAGAAATTGAAAATTGTTTGAAAGCCATAAATGTTTGAAAGTACAGCTTATGCTAAAAAAAAATTGTTTTTTCTAGGCTGAGTTACTGTTGAAAAAACGGGTGAGACTACTAAGTTGAAATCCTATATATTTAATGTATTTACAGACCGATTTTCAAATGATTTTCGCCATTTTTTCATCATCGACTTGATGAATTCGCAAATGAAAATGTTACCATCTAAAAGGCAAAAATTCAAATTTTTAACTTTTTGTGGAAAATGAAAAATCCTGTAATTCTTGCAATATTTGAAAGTAGGGCTTATGCTTAAAAAATTGTTTTTCTAGGTTGAATAGTTTTAGAGAAAATCAGAGGGGAACTAATATTGTAAGTTGAAATCCTAGACATCTAACTTTATGGATCTATTTTCCATTGGTTTTCGCTATTTTTCATAAAATCCAATCGACTTGATGAATTCGCAAATGAAAATGCACACACGTACGTTGCCGTTTGAAAAGCAAAAATTCAAATTTGTAATTTTTGTGGAAAATGAAAAAATACTGTAATTATTACAATATTTGAAAGTAGAGCATTTGCTAAAAAAAAATTTTTCTAGGTTAAATAGTTTCTCAGAAAACTAAGAGGGAACTACTAATTGTGTGTTGCAATCCTATCTATCTAGCGTTTTATAGACCTATTTGCAATTGGTTTTCGCTATTTTTCATAAAATCCAATTGACGATGAATTTGCAAATGAAAATGTACGTTACCATTTAAAAACCACTCTTTTGTAGGTTGAGCAGTTTTTGATAAAGATAAAATAAGGGAGCACTAGCAAGTTGACACCCACTATATTCACGAAAAATTAAATCAAAATTGCCATTTAAAAAAAATTAATCCTATCCTTTTTACATATTACATGCTCGTGTGTTCACGCTGATTCAAAATAAATTTCTTCTGTTGGTTATTTGCTCAATGAAAATAATAATTTCAATATAATTCACCGATAAATAGATAATAAATCTTTTTGAAAAATTCAGGTAGCGCCAAATAATTCCGTCACCTGCCTGACAAATTCACAAGGAAAAGTAAGAATAAATCAATTTATAGAGAAAAGTGGGGCAATTTTATGTCAATGTTTTTCAATCCTCCCTTCTGTACAAGCTCAAAATATGAGCAATCAAACTCATTAGGGAAGTTGATTCGGTCTTTCAAGCAGAAACACATGCATCAATGCTTAAAAGAGGTTACACTGGCCAAAAAATCCTAATAAGATCTGATAGCCAAGCAGCTATTAAAGCATTAGCGTGTAAAAAATCACATCAACATTAGTCAGTGAATGCATCAAAAATCTCCAAAACCTGGGGAAACAACAATCTGATGATATCTTGGGTGTCAGAGCACGAAAAGCAGACACACTGGCCAGAGGAGGATCGCTAGACAATACATAGGCCCCGAACCTATACTTGGGATAACAAAAACAAATACAGAATCATCCACCATCGAATAGCTCCAAATAAAACAAAAGGAAAAGTGGATAGACTCTAGCGGCAATCAAAAAATCAGATCAAGTTCCTTTCCTTTTTTCCTCATGTCATTGCAGGTGATTTCAATTTTCTCTATGAGCTGTTCCCTCGTTTCAATGGGTGTGCACACTGCACTTTTCAGGGTTCCCCATCTTTAAAAATCTAATGGGTTCAAATCAGGACTCCTCGCTGGCCATGCCACGAGAAGGATGTACTTTTGTGAGTGACAATTCTATAGCCATCAATTGTATCGACATTTAATTTTACTTTATTGCCGGTTAGCGTTATATGGCGGAATGCACCAGGTTTGAGAGAATTTATTTCGCTTAATAGAATATTCATGTTGTTGACATTCGAAATAAATATCGGAGGAGGCTTTGGGATCTTCTCATGTGTTGTTCCCTCATCTGTTGACATAAATGTGAGTCCAATTGTTCTAGCGGACTGAAGGGATTTGGCGTAACAAATGACTCAATATAAATACAACGTTTTTTCGCCTGGATTTCGCATTTTCCATGTTATCAGGGAGACGCTTTTCCATTTCGGCGAACTTCGCCTTTAATGTAGTTAATTTAAATTGAGTTTATAGTACTCACTCGTCAATTTATTGTAAGTGTAATCGTCTAATCGCACTTTTACGAAAAACAACACGTTTTTTTATGATTTTGTGATATCAATTGCAATGCATGTATTATGCATGTATTAATCAATTGCAATGTAATTTGCAATGCATTTTTTATTTGGTTATGATGTCAGAAGACCAGTCAAAACGCTGAAATTCCCTTCCGTCATTAAACGGTTACAAGGGCTATGTTTCATATAGCTTGTCACAGCCATATTTGTATAAAATGAATTTATAATTGACCCTTACAATTTACATTATTGTAAATTATTACAATTTACAATATTGAGCCTAGGAACATCAAAATTTATACATTAAAAAAAATTGTTGAATAGGTAACAACTTTACATTTTGAAATGTTTAAGTACATAATGTTTGCTTACACCGACGAACATTAGAATTCAAGTACGATTGTAATGTACTTTTTTTGAATAGGTAACAACTTTACATTTTGAAAAAGTACATAATGTTTAGTTTACACCGACGGACGTTTGAATTCAAGTATAATTGTAATGTACTTGTTTGAATAGGTAACAACTTTAAATTTTGAAATGTTCCAGTACATGTTTAGCTAACACCGACGGACAACAAAATTCAAGACTGATTGAAATAGATTACAATCAGTTACCGATTGTGTTGGCCTATATATTTTTACATCATCTGGAAACATTTACCGTGACTTCTGTCCAATCCGATACCTAGATTTCAAATGTTTGCTCATTTTGAACCCCTCGCCATAATTGTGATATTTTTATTACGGTTTATGGTTGTTAAAAATCGAATTACCTTTGCCTTGTTTCGTCAGCACAATCATCCTGCTGTGCCTGAGGGACGATCTCGTCGGTGCGTGTCGTCCTTCGATCTTGGGTGCGACGATGTTCTGGGGGACGGTTGTGACCATGGCGGCTGCCTGGGACGGGCCGACGGATCTGCTTGGGGATGCCCTCGGCGTATCATCCAGGTTGTCATAGAGACTGAGCGGCCTTTCGTTTTCGTTGATCCGTCCTCCTGTCCGCTCCCTCTGCTTCGGCAGGGTGTTGTAACCCTCGCCACCGTCTTGGTTCATGGCCACATGGTCAACTTCCTCCCATCTTCAATGACAGACCCCACTCCCACCGATCCATATCCCTGGGGAATAAAAGATAACACAATAGCTTTTTTTTGTGGGCATGCTCCTTTACGTTGTTCATGCTTGATGTTGATAAAAACAAATTCTATAGAAAAGTATTGAGTTGTCTGACATGAAATGTCACACTAAAAAGAGGATAGATTACAAGAATTAATCGGTTAATTCACAGGAAAATATTTACAATCTATAATAAACACATCAGCCCTCGATTTTATAACAATGTTTTCCTTTCAACTAGACAATGAGATTCTTTAAGAGGTCAAACTCGGTCATTCTGCTGCCCAAGCTGAACTGAATATTAATAAGGCTTTTTCTGAGGGGAGTTCTAATGAACGAGCTGTTAGCCATTGACATGGAAAATTTTACTTCCGGAGATATGACTTATGAAAACCAACAAAGAGAAGAATCTTCAATTTGATGCTAAACTTCTTAAGGAAGATATGGAAGAAAATCCCACCTCAAATCATCAAAGAACTTTTTGACACCTGTAAAATATCGGTTTTCAGATATTTAGCTTTTAGCATGACTACAGAAGCTCAAAGAACTATCAAATTATAATACCATAAATAGGAGCATGGGAGAAAAGACAGTACCACTGACTCGATTTGGTGCATGGACGGCAGAAAAACCGGGCACTATTTTCACCAAGGCGGTATTTACGACCGAAATTAAGAGGAAACCGTGACAATCTCTGCGCAAGAAAGTCAAAACGGCTTAAAATGGAAAGCAAAAAGAATATTTATCAATTCTGACAGCCAAACTGCGCTCAAAGCAATGGTACCTGAGGTAAGGTCACGTACAGTGTAGAACTGCGTAACTGCCCTAGGAATTGAAAAAAACATGAGTTGAATAAGTTTAACTAGCTTAAACATCAGTAGATCGCTACAAAAAAAGTATTATGTGACGATCGACGACGATTATACGGTCACGGTATGGAGCTCTGTGGTTGGGTTCGTCCAATTTGTTTTTTTTTGTACCGAGGAGTTATACAATTAACACTGAAGAGAACAAATAACACATATATTTATTAACATTCTAAGTCAGAATATATTTGTACTAAATCAAACTCACAATTTAACATGAATTATTGACACAAGAAAACGACGTGGAACACGCTTGTAAAAGTCATGTCGTAAATTAAACCGTAATGAAGGCGTATGTACTGTTGTTTATATGCTGTTTTCACAACGACTAAGAAAAGGCCATGTCAAACAAAACACAATTATCAGGAGTAAGATGATTCAAACCGACCAAACCCAAATAATTTTACGACTGTGTTGGAACACATATCAAGAAAAGCGAGAATAGCTCAATATTAAATTGTACGATATGTATTGTCTCCAATGCCCTACCCAAACAAGGTTTTTCTTCCTTCTGTGTCACAGAAAGGCATACCAGAGTAGAGAGCCAAGAAAACTACGGCGAACGCTGTCCTGGAGATGTTATTAAATCACCTGATTGTAATCGTCTACATCCCAGGAGAAGATCGGTTGTGAATAGGCTTCCAACCACCCATGAAGCTAAATAATTAGAACTGAGAGAGAAACTTCAAAAGAATGCATTTGGCATGACTTCAGACGCGATGATTCTAACTTCGCAAAGAAATACCTTATTACAATACCAAAAAGAGCAGCATGGAAGAAAAAACAAGTAACCTCTGACCCTTTTTAGTACAAGGGCGTTCAAAAACCAAACAAGACACTAGATCCGGTATTTATAGAAGAAATAGCTTATAACGTCAATTTCCCTCGGAATTGTTAAAAAAAGCTCTGGATAAAAGATAAAAAGGCTGTAAATAGGAGCAAGATTGCTATCATTCTGACAGCTAACTTGAGCTGAAAGCATTGTCCTCACCTGAGGTAAGATCACGTACAATATGGGACCTTGGAGAAATGAATTAGATAACAAACCGTCTCTTGTCAGGATCCGAGAGCACACAGGACGGAATAGTAAGGAAGAGGCTGATAGACCTAGGGGCTCCTCAGCCGCACCAGTAGTACCAGAACCATTCTATAAAATTCCGAACTTATATAAAAATAGAGCAATTGCCGAATTGATGTTAAAATTGTAAATACTAAAATTAAGGGAGGAACTTCAGAAAAATGTAATAGTGGGCATGGCCACAGATGATTAGGAATGGCCGATCATTTGGGAATACTTTCATTTTGGGTGGGTCTGTAATGTATATCGCCATCTTTAGTGAGTCTGGTTATTTCTGTTATATATTTTTAAAAGGTCGTAAAGGGTCGGTGAGTGCGTCGGCGCTTTTGGTGGATTAAGTCTGGATTTTTTTACTTTTCCAGTCTTTGTGATCAAATGATACTGCCCCCTGAAATGACTTCTGCACTTCACCGAGTCTGGGAAGCTTCCAATTTGAGGAGGTAGCAAAGGTGCTCTTGTGCAATTTGAATGTAACAATTGAATTATTTATTAGTGTGAATGTTTGTGCTAGAGGGCCGAAGGTTGAACATTCAATACCAATCAACCCTCAATTAGATTAGTTGTATAGTTAGTAGACAGAGTGATGGGTGAATAACAAACAGTCTAATTAAGACAATGGTATGTATAAAGGAAATAATGTATCTAAGAATTAGTAAGAGTGTGCTTATGTTAAAAACTACATGTGTTGTTGATAATCTCAGGTCGTTCAAGCCCAAAACATGAGCAAACAAACTTATTAGAGAAGTATTACGGGGTCTTTCAAGCTGAAATACATGCCATCAATGCTTGAGCCCTAGAAAATCTTAAAAAAGTTACACTGAAAAAAAATACTCGTAAGATCGGATATCCAAGCATCTATGAAAACTTTAACGTGTAAAAAAATCACATCAAAACTAATCAGTGAATGCATCCAAAATCTGGGGAAACTCAATAATCTAATAATATCCTGAGAACCAAGACACAAGGGAATTTGAGGTCACGAAAAAGCAGACGCACTGGGCAGAGTAGGATCTGCAAGACTATAGGCCCTGATCCAGCCACAGAATCCTCCGTCACTGAATGGATACACAAAAGAAAAAAGGAGAAGTGGATAAGCTTTGGGGGGTGCTAGACACAGTAAATTATGCTAAAACAACCCTCACCAAGGCTAGCAAACTCACTGCTACAGTTAGAGAGGGCCAAACTCAGAGGATAGGACAATTTACCGGTCACTGGCATGTGAGACGACATCTACACAACATGGGAGTACTCAATGATGACCCCCATTTGCAGAACAGTCACCCATATCATCTTCGAATGCGAAGCAACCGCTCTATGGAGGCACAAAACCTGGGATAAAAGAAAACCCAGGGAATCCAATTGCAGCATCGTCAATCAATGACCTAGTAATTCTTAGGAGAAGGACTGAGTCGATTGCACTAAACTAAGAAACTAGGAAAGTAAATAAGCTAAAGGCTGTAGTAGCACTTCCTCGCCATCATCATTATGGTTTGGTCTTAAAAATTGTAAATTCAACTGATTGAATAGCAGTTTACATAATTATAGAACTGATTTATTTATGCCAGGGGATTTGTAGACCTGGCATTGACCGGAAAGATTAAGTGACGACGTGACTGAGTTTATTGAGTCCGTATCACTAAATAATCAGAGTTTCTTCACCTTGATCTAAAAACAAAGCATGTAGCCGGTCTTCCTGGCAGTTCGCCCACTGAAAGTAAACAGAGAATGTATGGAACAAACCGGAACTGGCACGTGCTCTTGGCAACGGGCCACGTGTATTTAAAAGTACTCAAGTATTTTACTGACTGGTTCTCGGTGGTAAAATGACTTCATGAATGGTATCTTAAGCAAGTTACTGTTTCTTTGACATTTATTGGGTGCATGTGCTAAAAAACAAGTCAAACCGATGAAATTACCATTTAGGAAAATTACTTTTAAAGGTTCCAGTAAAAAAAAAACTCTTACGGATTATCGTGGGAATTCTTTTCACCGACATTGTCATCATGAATTAATGATAATAGCTGATATCCTACTACCTGCTCAGAACAGACACGCACAGTGTGCTCACACATATGCGTATATCATTAAATGGGATGGTAAGGCAGTAGTAGTTTTTGTACTTTATCAGTCAATTATTTTTTCCATGTTATTTATAAACTCTTTTCAGGTTGCATAAGTTGATCGTAAGTGCTTGACTTTTGATGCACTGTGATTTAATCAATTACTTTTTAATATGATAAATTTCATTAGGTTTTTAAGTACGTCCTCACTTCCGAATTCGAACCATCGCTTTTCGAAAGACTTATCTGTCGCAGATTATTCAGGTGAAAGTGGCAGTGGCAAGTACTTTCATCTCAAAGGGTCAATTTGATAAAAATCCATATCTATCCTACGAAAATCTTCGCAAATAGGAACAGATTATTGTATGCAGCTCAGAAAGTCGCAGGAAGACATGACAGAATCGGTTGTCATGTTTCACTTATGTTTATTTACACTAAGAGTAGATCTCAAACCGGTTTTATTTGTTCATTTCAGTCGGTCTGTAATATTTCCGTTTTCTAAAATTGTATCTAATTAATCATGTTATTCTAATGGTCCATTATTCATACGAAAAACTTTATTCTGAGATTTAAAGTCCCCTTAAATAATTAATTATGAAACAATGTATTTACAAAGATTCAAGTCTGATAATAATATGGTATTCAGATGGCTCCAAAACAAATGAACGAACCAGATCAGGCATTTTTTGAACAAGCCAAAAATACGAGCAATCAAATAGGAAAGTAGACCTCAGCCTTTCAAGCTGAAATCATGACATCAAAGCTTGTGCCCTAGAAAATCTTAAAAGAGATTACACTGGCAAAAGATATTTAAGATCAGATAGCCAAGCAGCTATTAAAACTTAAAAAAATCACATCAAAACTAGTCAGTGAATGCATCTTCAAAACCTGGGGAAATACAATAACTTGATGCTTCCTTGGGTACCAGGATACCAGAGAATTTTAGGTAACGAAAAGCAGACACAATGTCCAGAGGAAGATCTGCAAACAATATAGGCCCTGAACCTGTTCTTGGAATTACAAAAGACTATTTATCGGCATCTGAGATCACACATGTGCGTATTCAATGATGAGCCAATTTGTAAATTATGCAATGACGAGGAAGAAATAGCCACCCAACATCTTTGAATGTGAAGCAACCGCTCAATGGAAGCGTAACCTGGGGGCAAAGAAAACACAGGGAAAGGAATTGCATCAACGACAATCGCCTACTACTTACTAAGAGAAGGAACTGGCCGATTGACTGAACCAAAGAAATAGGAAAGTACAATAAGCCAGAAAGCTGCAGTGCTTGGAGAAAGTCATCATCATCACGAAGGTGGACATTTTGAACATTTAATTTAATTTTTGATGTCCTTTCATGGGATACCGTATAGAATCAATATTCCGTGTGTATTTAATGTTTTATGTGAACCGCAAGTATTTATTAGTGTGAGAATTTGGATGGCTTAATATTGAGTATTCCATCGACCATAACCTACGTGTTGAAAGAATGCCAAGTCTTGCTGGAACGTTATGCACGGAATGTATATAGGAAGGTGAAATCAGAATGGAGTACAATTATTCTCCCGATGACCTTAAGCGTTGAGCCCTCCAGTACGACAGGAATTACTTCGTGTTTTTTGCACATATAAATCGCCGGTAGTACAGTCAACATGTAGGTATTTTTACGATTGGGAATACCATTGATTGGTGTTGAATGTGATCGGTGAACTGGGTGAAAGGAAGTGGCTCAAGGGAGCGTATTATTTGTAAATTTTTCTATGTGGATATTTGCTAGGGGTCTTCGCTGGCTTTTCGACCAGGTGCATCCCCCCCCCCCCCAAGGTAAAAGCTCATTGAGTCTAAGAAGTGGAACGTTCTTTCCTTGACAGGTCAACCACAGGGCTGATTTACGAGGGTTCCTAATGATTCGCCATCTTTTACCGACCGGATCTGAAAACATTTTACCCTTTGAGTGCACACCTTAAAATGGAGAAATGTCTAAACGCGACTGACCTACCATACCCAGGCGAGATTGGTTGGACCAGGATAATCGAACACAATGACCACTAAAATTTCAACGAAAAATTGAGATTATTGCTTACATAAACGGATTGTATATTTGAAAATATTGGATTTTTCGGACTAAGACCATTTTGCTTTGGAAACAGTGCTTGAAGGATTTAACTATGCTAACTCCATCGTATGATCTTACATTCAAATGAATAATATATTTATACAATTATGTAATCAACTTAGATTCCTTTAAGAACAAGAAAATGTTTGATTTTTCGGACTAAGAGGCTTTTGCTTTGGAAAAAAGTTATCCAGCTAACTCTATCGTATGATCTTACATTCAAATGAATAATACATTTATACTATTATGTAATCAACTTAGATTCCATGGCCTTCGTTAGTCGTTGAGGTGTTGAGATCATTTAGATTGTTATTCCATTAAAAATAAATAAATATGGATGGGATTTGACGTAAAAGGAGATTTATTAAGAGAAATAAGAACCAAGACCTTACACAGAACGAATAATTAACTGAAAGAAGTAACTTGGTCAATTGACCACTAAAATGTAAATGAAGAAATAGGAACTTTTATAAAAAAAAATATATACCATAATAGCAATTATTATAAAGCTCTAAAAAGCAAGAAAGGTGCAAGTTAAACAAAGAATAAGGTAGTTTTATTTTAATTTATTCACATTCTTGTTGGATGTGTACATTATCTCGTGTGTTTTACGAGAAAATATACACAACAGGCCCTAGGATATTTACCAGACTTGTTTAATCCCATTCCTAGACACAATTAAGTTAAAATCTGAATTTAGATCGACAGATTTTCACGAAATGGTCTATTGAAATAAATTCAAATATGGAAACAATACTAGAAATATTATTCGAACTAAAAAAGCCATAAAACAGGGGAAAAAGATTTATTTGAGTCTAATCTTGCCCTAATCTTTGGCCCCAAATAGTCGGCACAAATGAAACAAAATGGTAGAGCTTTTATTTTCTAGGATATGCAGATGACTAGACTAGGTCATAAATATAAAATGAGAACGTGATCAGATTTTATCGGGCCTTCTTCAGAATATCATCAACGGAAGGACCGGTTAAACCTTATAACTTATAAATACTATAAGACTCAAGACCATGGTCACATTCAATAGAATCCTATGACAATAAAAAACAAAAAACGAGGGAGTGGCATTCCAATCTGAAAATGGTCCCTTAATATTATACAGCGAATAATGGACGATAAAACTACAAAATAGGTTTAAAAAGGGCCGATATGTAACTAAACAAGCTACTACCTGATATAAAAATTCAAACTGATGAAAACTGAGTGGAAAAAATCATATTCCTGATAGATGATTTAGGTCTGTTAACGTCGAGACACGTGGGAAAACGACTCACGTATATGAGATCATAGCTTATAGTTCTTAAGATTAGCAGATAGATTAACAACTTAGCAAAGCCAAGGCCTCACAGTAGCTATTGTCTCAGTGGCTAAAACGGAAGCCAGAAGACCTTAAAAAAACAATTATACTAATTAATGAAAGTGAGAAGTAGATGTCTTCATTATAAATTTTAATTTATTCTTTATAGCCGAAAGTGTTATGTTTGTTTCGGTACATACGGATTTTATTTGTATAAACGCCGTATAATTTACTTATTCTAGAGTTTTATTTTTCTCCAGATATCCATAATTTTATCAATACTAAGCCGTATTAACGTATTTGGAGTCGAAAGCAAATAAATTAATAGGATGAGTATTGGGTAAATTTTCTTTTAGGCAGTAGTCAATTTAAGTTGAGCGAAGTTTAGATCCTTCTGCAGTAAATTTTAACCCTTTATTTAATATTTACTTAGTTAATTTTCGGTCGAAACATACTAAAAAATCGAAATTTCTTGGGTTTTTAGTTGTAACGGTACTAACACTATTTCTATCACTCAGGAACTTGGGCATCTTATATTTAGAATAGTCACATCAAAGGGATTTATTCGTACACAATATTTCGTAAGAAAAGACATTTAAAAAATTATATGGATAAGAATAAGGATAAACTGGAAAATATTTTTTTTCGGTAGATTTCGACATTTGATAGTTTAAAATATTTTCTTATATTGTTCGTTGGGTATATAAATTTTTGCCTAGAAGAAAAAAAATTCGTAAAATAGTGCAAAAGTCAAAATACCTCTAGCATTAATCCATTGTCGTCGAGAGATCCGTCGAAATGAGAAAGTACGGTGTAACTGAACAAGTGAGGGTCGGACTAAGACTGAAGCCTGAAGCAAAGCCGAGTGGAAGAGGAGCTGACGTCAGGAAGTGCACACCTCTCCACCAAAAATGGCCGTCCTCAACCTCACCTTTCTCTTTCGTGAGTCGAGTTGCTCAGCTCGGCAGCATGCTGAATGCTGAGAGCCGTTGTGTCGTCCGACTCTGGACAGAAAAAAAAAAACATTTCATTGTCGTAAATTATTGATAGAATCGACCAACAGTTGTTATTCTGATGTAGGGATCGAGGTTGTCAAGGTTGAGGGAGTTCTTAATCTATGAACAGTACTGCGTTGATCAATCATCTTTTTTCACTATTAAAAATATCGACGATTTTTTCACTCGCGAACCCTCTGGATCAAGGTATGGTCTTGAAATAGAAAGCAAATTTAGTTGTTACTGCTGTTGCAGTTATCAGTAATAACTGAATTTGCTTTCTTCTTCAAGAACATACTTTGATCCAGTGTTTGTGGTTGATCAATCATCTTCTGATTTCACTTAAATAAAGTCGAAATCTTGGCAGAAATTTGGATTAAGAAACGACCTAACCTTGACCACAACCTCGATCATTACATCAGTATAATTCTATTGTCACGTACTATTAGGGCAGAATCTCGGTTTATTTCTGCCCTTTCAGGAGAAAGTGTTTTTCTCATGCCCATGATATTATTTTAAAATGATAATTTACAATTTTGGGGCAATTTATAAAAAGACGCAGATTAAAATGACTTTGATACATAGACAATACCGATATGGAAGGATGGTTTGTTTAAAAGTTATGAGTTCAATTAGGCATCTACAGCAAACTCTTCTTTACGTACATAAACTTCTGCATGTTAATCACTGTGTTTTGCGTACCAAACTTATTTAATTCAATTAGGTATAATGATGATGATGATGGATACAAGGAAGTGGGGCTTTTTGGTTCCCTAAGCACTACAGCTTTCTAGCTTATTACTTTCCTAGTTCCTTAGTTCAGTGCAACCGACTCGATCCTTCTCCTAAGAAGTACCAGGGCATTGACTGACGTTGCTAAAATACGATTCCCTGGGTTTTTTTTGAATCCCAGTTTTGGGTCTCCATTGAGCGGTTCCTCTCCATTGCATAACGTACAAATTGGGTCATCATTGAATATGCTCCATGCATGGATGTTGTCTCAGATGAGAGGTATATAGTCCTATCACTCCTCAGAGTTTAACCCTTTCTAACTATTGCAGTACGTTTGCCAGTCTTGGTGAGGGTTGGGTTAGCAGAAGTTTACTGTGTCTAGCAACTTAAAATTTATCCACTTCCCATTTTGCCTTTTTTGGATCCATTCTGTGATGGAGGATTTTTGGCTATCCGATCTTATGATTTTTTACAAATGTAACCTATTTTAAGATTTTCTAGGGCATAAGCACTGATGGCATGTATTTCATCTAATAATGGTTTTAGTCTGGTCCAATTAGCAGATTTATATATCTCTCGAGGAATATTACTTATATATAAGTTATATTATCTTTCGCCGAATACTGAAATGCGATAAGGGGCCAAAATACCGGATTGCATACATTCCTTCACGAGAGAAGTCAGTAAGAATCTAACCAGCTATTTCTAACCTTCAGTTTAGCCGATCCTAGGTCTTGGCTGTAAATAAGACCTACTGCGTTATTCCTTGAAAATTGAACGTCATTAATGATTAATTTGGAAGATCTGACTGCTTTATATTGCTATTCATCTCTTAACGAAACTGGAATACGTTACGTCTATATCTGCGCATAGTAGGTATATAATCTTAGGCAATCTTCCGACCAGTTCTTTTCAACCGAAACGATGTTTTAAAACCGGGCATTTCTCTCTATTGTGTAAAATTGAGACCAAAAGATACCTTCTCTTCATGTCTGCATTCCAAACGGGACGTAAATAAATATTTCACAGCATCCTTACGCTACATTTCTTTTGAGATACATTTCAACTATCTTAAGAGGTTATCTTGGGCATTGAAAGAGAGGTCTTTGAAAATACAATTATTTCTGCTAAATTTATTCTCCAGTACATCCAACTAACTGCCTTTGGAACTCTGATGTTTACAAATAGTTTCTTTATTTGTACGATTTCTAGTTGATGTCTGCGAGGTGATCTTGTAGTTGCTGCATACTTTTAACAGAAATTATATTTTATTTATAATTCACGGAGGATCGCAACATTGGTCATATCATCGGGATTCTTGTGGGTTTTTCCTTCCATAAAGCAACTATAATTATGTGTCCGACTTGATGGTAATTTCCTTTTTCGTACTTTTTCGTTAGTCGAATCTGTGTTAATCAAGAAAATATTCTTTGAATATTTTTTGCCGTTCAAGTTGTGATTGCGGTTTATCAGTAGCCCTGTTCAACTCAAAAGGTCAAAGTTGACATGTATTCGAAAGGCTCTGGTGTTGTTCGGGACATAAACGTTTTTATTTAACTTTTTAAGTTGAAATTTTCTTTCAGTTAAAAAAGGTAGATACATTAATTTAAATAATAACCTACACCGCTAATCGCTATCTGAGTACTGTGCCCGATGTTTCACTTTTTTCTAATGCCACTCCTTGGCTATTTTCGCAGATGTTTTTAGCGTTAACTCTTCTCTCTCACGTGTTTTTCGCTGAATGTGAGCCTAATGTTGACTCAGCGTTGTATAATTTCATTACTTCGTTCGCCTTCTGCGGCCATTTTGCCCAGAAGACGCTTCCTGGCCATCTTTCTTACTGCACCCGACGCCTGCGAAAACTGAATAACATTCAAAATATGATGCCCAATTAAATACGAAATATTGTTAATTATTTATCCTACAATTAAAAGAATTTCTGTGTCTGAAAGATTTCATTTAGTTAAATGTTAAAAAACCGAGTTAAAAAACCATTTATTTTGTTGAAAACTTCTTTTTTAAAGACAAATAGTGATCTAAGTTTGTTTTAATTTTAGCAGTTAGACCTGTCTGAACTGATGTCAGTGTAAAGAGGTTTTATAGGTGGAAATTAATTCAATAGGCTCTGTGCAATTCCTCTTAGACATATGGTTTCTTTCGAACTGGGATATTTATCCATCGTGATCTTCTGCTTATGTAAGGCTAAAGAGAGCTAAGTTGTTTTTTATTAGAAGGGAGATTATCCGACTGGACAGTGAACTTAAAGTATCAGTTACTCCTGACCGCCTTATTATCCAGAATTACATATATGAATGGTCCTGATGCCTATTATGTGGAACGGATGCCGCATGGAAAAAAAAAAATGCTTGGTCAATAAACATTTCCAAGTTCTTATATTTTATTTCCATAAGCTGTTTTTATTATTGTGTTATTGTATTTGCCATTTTTATTTTTCCATTTTCTCTTTTTACTTTAAACTCAGGCGGAATGAGTTTTATCAGGTTGGGTTTATCAGGTTATTATAACAATAACAATATATAAGTTTGTTTTGCTGACCCAACTTACTTATTACAAAACCGTTTCAACATCGAGGAACACAATGCTACAAATGTTAAATTGACATTTCATTTATTATTTCTTATATCCGGCATAGTGTTGTACGCGTATGCAATGTTCGAAAGCTAAAGAAACGATTTGGTGGAATTCTTGGTGCAAAAACAACCAAAAATCCGTCACTAAAGTATGTTTATTGAAGTGTAATGTAGTTAACGTCGTGGTTGATTATGCCCTGGGCTTTTTCTTGTTTATTGGTGTTTTAATCATTTAATAATTCAAAATGTTTCTGTGAAAGTAAGAATTTAGTACATATGTCTCTGAATCTCATCACAAAACGTCTCTTGACATGAAATGTAACAGTACTTCTACTCTCACAATTCATGTCGAGAGATGTGTTTGTAACTCCCTCAACCTGATGATGAGCGTTTAATTCTTGAAATATTTATAGTTGAAAACAACAAACTCTGAGTAAGATCTATATTTTAAAGAGATTAAACAACATACTCACCCTACCTTTATCATTTCCATGTCTCTGGATATCTATGTGTAACTGAGGAGTTTTATTTTTTCACCACCCATCAAGTGCAGGTCACTAAAGCGGCAAAATACAGTTGACCGAGCCTGATGACTTTGACGTTCAGTTATTAATATCAATGTTACACAATTGAGCAGGCAAACTCACTGCTGCAATTAGTGAGGGCTAGACTCAGAGTAGTGATAGGACTGTTAACGTCACTGGCATCTGAGAAGTCTGCACAACATGGGCATATACAACGATGATCCTATCTGCAGAGATTGCGGATGAGGAGGTGGAAACAGCCACCTATATCATCGCTATAGCGGAGCAACGGCTGAATGGAGACGTACAGAGCATCTAGATCCTAACATACATAAAAAATCTAGGGAATGAAATTGTAGCAGCAACAGTCAATGATCTGATACTTCTAAGAAGAAGGATTGAGTCCATCGCACTGAACTAGGTACAAGGTACAATAAGCCAGAAGGTTGCAGTGCCTGGGGAGTACAAACTACAAACCCCGCTTCCTAGTATCCTCATTACCATTACCATTACACAATTGTTCCGCAAGACAATGTAAATACGTTGCTTCTGCAATGATTTTCAAATGTAGGTTCTTCAAAGGAGGGATTGAAGTTAGCGCTTGTGGTGACTGAAGTTCCAACCATTAGTTGAAACTCTATAACCGGTTACCTGGTTTTGGTCATTTATGTCAAGTGGAATAACATTTCAAACGACATAGAAAGACAAGTAAAATCTATATTGTAATGCAAAATAGTATAGATGATCAATTTCGCTCGGAGCCTTTGAATTGAAAATTCGTTTCTATTCAACGATCGAATTGTGAAATCGCAATTTTCAAATAGCTAAAGATAGCAAAATGTTATCGCCCATATTGAAACGTTTCAAACTGCTGATGAACAAACAAGTTGAGGTGATTTCCGATCTGCCGTCGGCCGGTGGCCCAGTTAAGCATGAATTACTCATCAAGGAGAACACCGAGCTTAAGGAAGGCGTTTACGACACCCTGAAAAACATTCGGGACCCTGAAAAACCAGCGACCCTCGAGGACTTGAATGTTATCAACGAAGATGACATAGAAGTGACACGGAACTTCGACAACTCGATCTACATGATTAAAGTTGTTTTTACACCGACGGTGCCCCATTGCAACCTCGCCACGCTGATTGGCCTCTGCATCAGGATCAAACTGCAGAACTGTCTTCCGCAGAAGCACAAGCTGCAGATCTGCGTGAAAAAGGGGACACACCAGGCCGAGGACGAGGTCAACAAGCAGATCAACGACAAGGAGAGAGTGGCCGCAGCTATGGAAAACATCTCACTCCAGGAAAAAGTCAAAGAATGCATAGCTGAAGAAGAATAACAATCTGATTGTTTTTTGCATCCTTATGTTTGATAAGACTGACTGGATATTAGTGTGATATCAGATAGATATTTATTTTTGTAAATTTAGATTTATTACATACAAACTTGTATGCTGTAATGTGTTATAAAAATACATACGTAGGTGTTTATTACATTGCTGTACACTAAATCACCCCTTTCAAACTAAAATTGAATATACCTAATTAAGTGAGTATCTTAAAAAATATATTTATAAAGTTGATAATACTGACCAAATTACTGCTAATTGAGTTGGCCTGGCCTGAGATCAGATCGAAAAACTGGAGTGTGGACTGTGGAGACTCCTTGGAAAACTGGAGATCTGCAACCCTATGATAAGATGAGTTGAAATGAAAAACATCCATTGTGTTCTTTTATATATAATTAAAATTTAATAACTATTGTAGTTACCTGAGTAAGAGATAGGCCCATGAGTCAAGAGGTTAAGTATTCTCAAGGAGTTTGTCATCAGAATGTGGAATTTGCCAATCCACCGCCTTCAAGACCTATGACTGACTATGTTCCTCATAATAATTACCATGAGTCTGATACAGTAAGGCCAGTCACCTGTGTCTGAAGTCCAAGTTGAGAGGTTAAATGTTTCCAAGGAATGTTGTTCTAATCTAAATGTTTTTCTAAACCTACATCACTCCAGACCGTCTCTGACGATCTCTAAACAATAATTAATTAACGGTAGCTAAATAACTCATACATGTTTCCAAAGAGTTACTCGGTAAAAGGCCTACAGTAATTCACTGCCTTCAAGACCTATGACTATGCCCGACAATGTTCCTCCTCTTCTTGAAGACTAAGCTGAACAGTAAAACTAACTATCAACTGGAGAGCAGAGACTGGCAAACCGGAAATTTTCAACCCTATGATAAAATGAGGTGGGCTAAACAAACAAAACATTCATCATGCTCTTTTATTGTAAATAAAATTTAATAATTAGTGAAAATCTGAGTGAAAGAGTCAGATACTGTGAGGCCAATGTTTAAGTTCAGAGATTAAATGTTCCTGAGGAGTTCATCATCCGAAGAGGGCCTCCGGCAATCCTCTGCTTTAGGACCTATGACTGCCCAACAACATTCCTCCCCTTCGATTCTTATCACTTCTTGCAGTCACCGGCAGTTCCAGCTTTTGTAATTTTCAATAAATCACTGGCAGCCCTCGAGTACACCCACCCTGGGTGATGGCAGTCCAGGGTTAGACCTGTGTCTTATCTGCCAAGGTTGGGCTTCGAGGGCTGTCAACAACTTGGTCATTTCACACCCAACGCATTCATTTCCTAAATACATTCATACTCAAATCAAGTATATTTATAAAAAATGATTATAACAAAAATGATAATTGTATTAATAATTAAATACAAATAATATAAATGATCTAAATTCTCCTCTGGAGTTTCTCAAGAATCCTTGGTCCTTTCTTGTTTAAACTTTTTATAAATGATCATCCTATTTTCCATACAATAATTTTCTATTTTTGTTGGTGATCTGAAAAGCTATAAATCTATAGAATCAAATATTGTAGCACACTAATTGTTTGTCTAACCTTGAACATTGGTTTCACAACAATAAATTGTTCCTCAATTTGAAAAAATATAAATTATTTTTTATCATTTCAATTCAATTTCTTTTATTATAAATTATTTGAGCTTCACATTGAATGAAACAGCTAGAATAAATTGGCAAAAAGAATATGACACCTCTGAACTGCCTAGCGGTCAGCACTATGGGATACTACAGCCTACAATACAAGCCTGATCTAATACCATCAGATATACAAGCTGAGACAACAATTTTTAGACTGTAGTTCGATCACTTACCCTTTCATCTAGTAAAAATTGGTATTGTAAGTGTGATGTAACGGTATGTGCTGAACCTGGATCACATCATCGTCTCTAGAAACCCAGTTGACAGAGAATATTGTTCTCTTAACTATACAACTACAGAATAACATTCCCCACAAATCTTCAAAATATATTACAGCTTTGGACTCTCTAACTCTATTGAGAAAAAACGACACTTATTTGATCTTTCTAATTTCTGATGTGACAACCAAATTAATGAGAAAGAAGTGACTAGGGCCTGGGTCGGCTTGTGGGTTGGTTTGGGTGATGCTGCGTCCTTGGGTTTGGTGCTTTTTACAGCTTAGATATGTTGTGACTTTTTCGTAAACTTTTTGAACCCCATTAAGTCTGCCTGTGCTAATCCTATGTTATACTTGTTAGCTTGGATGTTACTATTATCTTTATTCAGTTAACATACGTTTGTATTCTGTCAATTATTTTAACTGCATATATTTATAGCTATATTTTATTTAATAATTCACACTTCCAAATATTATTAGAAATGATTTGAGGTACAGTAGGTCAATTAATTTATTGAAAAGTTAGTTCTGCTCATAGACTGTATTCAGCTCATTTATATTTTATTTTATTTTACTACAATCAACTGATGAAAAATGCAGTCTGTGAGTGGAACTGTTAAAAAAAATTCCAAATATTTGTGCTTGTATAGTACTTCTAGTTCAGTTATTTCTTTGGATTTGGATTTATAAAGACTCGAATCCACATATGTACGTACATACATACATCATTGCATCAGTAGGAGTATTTTTACTGTAGTTAGTATAATGGTAGGTAATATGAAAAAGTCTACTGTCTGGTGAAGAGGCTCGGTACAGGCAAGTTAATTTGAATAAGTAAAGAAGGACTGTACAACTGGATATAGTAATTAATTAATTTGAAACAGTATTCAAGCACTGATCTTACAAAGCGATATGTAAAGAAGGAAGGCATTTGGGTAAAATATACAAAAGTTATGTTAATAAAAACGTACAATAGTTACAAATATCCTTAGGATAGATAATACAGATTCATTATAAATGACAAATAGGTAATTAACAAAAAAACTGATCCTTTTTAAAAAAGATGGTTCCTACTCAAATTAAGTTATAAGAAATTAATTGTAAATTAGTGATTAAAGATAAAAAATATAAAAAAATATAAAATAAAATAATTAGAATAATACCTTAATATTATAAAATTATTATAAAACATAATAACAATTAGAATAATTAGTTTAATTATTTGGACGTTTAATATTATTTATATACATATTTAAAATGGGAGGTAGATCAAAATCTGTTATATTATTAATGCATTTATCACCATGTTCAATTTTACATTTTTTAATTTCAAATTTATATTTGAATTGTATTTAAATTTGAATTGAAATTATGTTTTGTTTCTTTTAGATGGTCCTTGAATTCCAAAAATTTGTTCGACTTAGGCAAATGTTCTTTTACTCTCGTTTTTATTTCTCTACCGCTTTGACCTATATATTTAATATTACAGTCATTACAATTGAGTAGGTAAACCCCGTTTTTTGTCAAGTTGTCTACCTTGAAAAACTGATGTTTAAAAGAAGACAGCACCATCAATGGGCTGGGTCAACAGAGAAGCTCTAACGTATCAAGAGCACTTGGAGGATCTGACTGGTAGAAGAAGGGGCATCCTCAACCTAACGATTAAGATTAAGAATAGACCATGCAAGGTTGACTATTGATGTGCCCCATCTATTGAAGGGTGCAACTCCCCCAGGAATGCCACCCGATATGAGAATGGTGCTTGAGCACGGCAGTGAGTATTTGGGTTACCTGTTCTGATTCTTGGGGGAAACAGGGTTGTTCTATTGTATAGTAATAATTGTTGTGTGTACCTAGTTTATGCTGAGAATGAATGTATTTATTAGCGTGAATGTATGATGTGAGAGAGTTTATGGTGGAATATCGAGTACCCATCGACTCTCAATTTGGTTAGTTGTATAATATGTATAAAGGGTGTTGAATTGACCTAGCTGTTGACAGCATCCCCACCCCCATCATGGTGCCCAACTTCGGCGGCTGGACAGATAAGACTGAGGGCTGTCCCCAGACTGCCAACACCCAGGGTGGGTGATTCTCGAGTCTGCTGGCAATTCACTGTAAATAGCAAAAGCTGGAACTGCCGCTGGACTTCGAAAAGTGAATGGGCTCAACTCTGCACATATTTGTATGTTGACATGTACATGTGCAGATTTGGGCCTATATAAATCCAAATCCAATGCAAATCCTATGGAACCTTTTTCAAAGATTGCAAATGAATTGTGGAAATGTTAAAAATATTAAAATTATGTAACATATAATATGTGTAGTTTAACATTACTACAAATATGTAGTATTTAGTGACCAATATTAATGATTATTTAGAGATTGTGAAATGTGGTCTGGTATGATGTAGGCTTAGAAAAACATTTTCTTTAATGGGTCAACATTTAGAACTTTATTGATTAACAATTTCATTTTCCTAATAATCCCGTCAATAATAATCCTGAATGGCTAACCAGGCTTGAACTTCCCCATTCCTTCAAAATAAAATATATATATAAATTAATATCTCACTAAGACACAACAGTGACACATCTATACAGAAAACCCACAATTTGAGTGAGTACAAATACTTTGATTAAACCTAAAATTTCTGTATTGTATATATTATTGTATACATTCATATTCACATCTTATATGTATTTATCTAATTTAAACAATGTTTAAAGATATCAGGCCCTGAAGCTGATCTCAATAAAGATCGAAATGTTGGCACAATAAAGAAAATGGTTGTGTGGTGGTTAGTGACCGTTAATCGATAATTATTCAGAAATCGTGAGATGCGGTCTCAGACTGAAACCTACCAGACCGCATCTCACGATTTCTGAATAATTAGTTTTTCTAAACCTACATCTCACCAGACCACATCGCACGATCGGTAAATAAACATTACTACAAATGTTGTAATAAATAATCAGACAGTGATACTCGAGGAAGCACAAAGAAACTAAATTTTTCGCTTTCTGAGTGACCATTTTGTTAAGACTCCATGAAATCTCTTTTACAATTTAAATACACAGAGTAGTCGTCTGTTTTCAACCTGTTAATCGTTCTGTTAACACCATGTCATCACCGAAGTGTATCAAATCAATGAGAAATTAAATCAAAAGTCAATTTAAAAATTTACAATAACAATGATAAACGTGATCTTTTTTAAGTATATTTACATGGAACATTCTTTTAAGCCATTTTCCTACTTTACATTTTGATTAATACTAAAGTAATTTTTCCTTTGTTGTCTTAGTTTTGATTTTATATTGTTATATTTTATATGAGATGGGAAGTTGGTGTCCGAGTGGATTCAGGTCACGATAGCTCAAGTGGTAGAGCAGCGGCGTATCAAGCCGAAGATCATGGGTTCGAATCCCGCTCGTCCATTGACTTTTTTATCTCAATTACAAAACCTTAATTAATTATAATATATTAATTGGTCAAGCGGACCAAGAAATTAGTGAATTTATAGTTTATATATTGTATATTTCTATATTTAAACTTTTGTAAATTCAATTAATTCTATAAAATTATTAAAAATTATTTTTAATCGGTTTTGCCTGCATGATAAGCAATTTTTGAGAATGATTATAACAATTAATTATTCTTTTCATCTCAACGAAAAACCTTAGATAAAAAGAATAATTAATTGGAATAATTAATACGGCCAATTATGATTTGAAGCAAATATGGATTAATTGATTATAACTTACAGAACTGAAATTGAATTTCTTTCTTTTATTTCTTCTTTTAAGATATTTTCTTATTTTACATATTGATTAATACTTGAGTAATTTTTCCTTTGTTTTTTTAGTTTTGATTTTATATATTGTATAATTCTACATTTAAACTTTTTTTGTAAATTGTATTAATTCCATAAAATTTAGATTATTATTTTTAATAGGGTTTGCTTGTATGATAAGCAATTTTTGAGTATGATTATAACAATGATTGAGTATGATTATAAAAATGATTATAACGATTAATTATTCTTTTCATCTCAACGAAAAACCTTACATAAAAAGAATAATTAATATGGTCAAATATGACCGCTAGGCAAATATGGATTAATTTATATTATAACTTACAGTACTGAAATTGAATTTTTAAATGAATGAGCCCTAATTTTAATTACAGGTAGAGTGGAAGTAAATTATTATTTAATATACACTGGGACAAGAAAGATATAAATGTCCTCTTCTTAGTTGCCTTAATTGGCTAGTTGAAACTGGAAAAAGAGTAAAAGTTGTAATCCGATTACCGTAATCGATATGTATATCGAATGGTGTAAAGGTCATTTTGAGCAGAAAATGCTGGCAAACGGGACTGGAGGAAACTGGAAAGCCGGTTGGGGGCGAACCCTGGCGGGAAGGGGAACCAGGGAGCAAGCTCACATTTGAACTTTCGTCGTTCGACCGTTCGGAACGTGTGTGGGATGCGAGGGTGATCGCGTGTGACCGTTATTTCCAATTATCTGATATGAACCGGGTGCACGTTTCCCATCCGTCCAGCAGTTTTGAGTGATCCATAAAAAAATATTAAAAAAATGGAAAGTGCCAGTGTCGCGAATTTCGACTTGTCCAACGAAGGGCCGATCAACTATTTCAAAAGCTCGTTCGCCAGGTCGATGGCGTTCACGAACACCACGGCACAGAGCAAGTCCCTGGATTACGTCTACTCGGACGAAGGTTCCGCCCTCAGGGAGGATACTGGAGAAAAACCGCAGCGATCGGACACGCTCTCGACGAGCAGGCTGCCCAGGAGAAGTGTTCCTTCCCTTCCGTCCCAGGACCCGGCTTTCCCTCGGGAAACCTCGTCCTCCGTCAGGCTCAAAGCAAGGAGTAACGATGCCCTTAAATTTTGGAAAATGAAACAGGTAATTACAACCATAACTACCATTTATGTCAAATCACTAATGATTTCATGAAGAATGCAATGTAATTGTTATCATGATGACTGTCTTGGTGCAAAAGGTGGTCATCGGTAGAATGTGCTTATGATCCTGAAAAGACCAAACAATAGTCAGACCAATTTTTTGACCGGTTATGAAGCATGCCCTGAGTCTATAATAAGTAAGGACTTTCGTCGCCTTTATTCTTACCTTTATAACGTTATAAATCAATTGATTAAGGTTTTAAAACAAGTCAATACATGCCACCACAAGTCTAGGTGCTGAACAACTCTAGACGCACCTATATCTTGTAAATTTATTATTTACTGTCACTTGGCAGGTCAGAATACCCTGTCAGTATTTTATGAAGAATGATTTTGAGCATCATTGAGTCTTGGTGCTTAAATCTAGAAGACATCAGTAGAGATTTCATTTGAAGGTGAAAAGGCTAAATTTCAGATTAGTCAAACCAGTTTTGTGGCCGATTATGAAACATCCATCATCCACTGTGTCTTTAATAGATAAGAATTTCATTGCCTTTATCTTTGCCTTTATAACGTTATAAATAGATTTATTTAGGTTTTAAAACAAGTCAATACATGCCACAACTGGCCATAGTGCTGAACGACTCTAGAATCACTTACTGCCAAATTTATTATTTACTATGTCACGGCCTCAAAGACTTACACTTGGCAAGTCAGTATATCCTATGATTTTTGAATGAAGAATGAAGTGTAATTTTGATCACTGGTGACTGTCTTGGTGCTTAAATCGAGAAGACATCAGTAGAGACTTCATTTGTTGAAAAGGCGAAACTTCAGATTAGTCGGGCCAGTTTGGTGACCGATTGTGAAACATCCTCCATGCGCTTTTGTCTTTAATGGATAAGGACCTTCAACGACTTTCTTTCCTTTATAACGATATAAATCAATTGATCAAGGTTTTAAAACAAGTCAATACATGCCACTCCAAGTCTAGGTGCTGAACAACTAGATGCGCCTACGCTCTGTAAAATTTATTATTTAGTATGTGTCGGCTTTACAGATTGCCATTACCCTGGCATATCTTGTGCCATTATACGACATGTATGATAGTCTTGGTGATTTAGTCTTGAAAACATCAGTAGAGAGTTCGTATGAAGCTGAAAAGACTAAAATTCACATTAGTCAGACAGTTAGTGTTCGATTATGAAATATCCATCATCTTCTGTGTCTTTAATGGATAAGAATTTCATTGCTTTTATCTTTATAACTCTATTTTTATCTTTATAAATTGATTTAGGTTTTATCTTATTTCAACATAAGATTTTGGGAATAAATAAGATGTCAATACATGTCACCACCTAGTGTGGTGACCAACTGTAAGAAGCACCTACGGTCTGTAAAATGTATTATTGGGTTGTCCGGAAAATAATGCAGGATTTTGGTATTAAACAAAAAAAAAGAAACTAGTTACTTTAAAGCAATGTTCTTTAATCAAAATAATTTCCCATACTCTGAATACATTTCTCCCAACGTGTTGGTAACTTATTAATTCCGTCTGAGTAGAATTCAGAATTTTTAGAATTGATAAAGTCAATAAATGCATTTTCCAGTTCCGTTTGATTTTTGAATATTATGTGTTGTAAGTAGTGGTCCAGGTGTCTAAAAAAATGGTAGTCAGTAGGCGAGAGGTCCGGAGAGTAGGGTGGGTGAGGCAAAGTTTCATAGCCAAGCTCCAATAATTTTTGTGACGTTACACGTGACACATGTGGTCGAGCGTTGTCATGCAACAAAATGGGCCCTTTCCGATTGACCAAAGAGGGCTTCATTACTGCCAATTTCTGATGCATGGTATTAATTTGGTTACAGTATGATTCAGCATTGATGGTTTCGCCAGGATTTAAGAAGCTGTAGTGTATTAAACCAAATGAAGCCCACCATACCGTAACCATTACCTTTTTTTGATGAGTTGGGGGCTTTGGAAAATGTATTGGAGCTTCTCCTTTGTCGAGCCACTGTCCAGAACGTCTAGTGTTATCGTAGAGAATCCACTTTTCGTCACATGTAACAATTCTGGCCAGAAATGGGTCATTTTTGTTTCGACAAAGAAGTGATGCACAAACATCAAAGCGCTGATTTTTTTGGCGATCGTTTAATGAGTGTGGAACCCAATTTTCGAGTTTTTTCACTTTTCCAATCGCCTTGAGGTGGTCAGCGACGGTCGTTTTACTGACTTTGAGTTGCTCTGCAAGTTCTCGAACAGTTGTTTTGGGGTTTTCTTCCACCACTGATCGCAGAACATCATCATTAAGAGAGGAAGGCCTTCCACGACCTTCTTCATCTTCAAGGCTGAAATCTCCCTCCCGAAATTTTTTAAACCACCTTTGCACAGTGCACTCATTAACACAACCCTCGCCCCAGACTTGGTTAATGTTTCTAGCCGTTTGGGCTCCGCTTCGGCCGAGTTTAAACTCGTAAAAGAAAATCGTACGAAATTCTCGCTTTGACATTATAAGGATGACTGAATTATTTCCAAGTAGCGGAATGCTACAGAGGTAAACAAACAATATCATTTGGAAGAGGATTAATAAGTGTTGACATTCATACAAATGAGTAATCCTGTAAACGTAAACAGAATATTTTATATAGATTTTTTTTAATGAAAACTTAAAATCCTGCATTATTTTCCGGACAACCCAATATTTACGAGGGCCGTCTCGAAGATTTATCCTAGGCAACTAGAAAACCATATGATTATTTTATGAAGAATGAAGTATAATTTTGATCATCCTGGATAATAGTATTGGTGCTTAATAGTATAGGCTTCGTATGAAGCTGAAAAGACTAAACTTTACAGATTAGTCAGACCAGTTTGGTGACTGATTGCTAAAGATTCAACAAGGGATGTGTCTATAAAAGACTTTTTATCTTTTGCCTATACATATAAAAGTTTGACCACGACGCAATTAGAATACTACTAAGATAAAACATCGACAGCACAACCCATTCGACAAAAATGTAGGAAAATAAAAACTACACGACCCTCTTCACAGAAGACTATCTCTAAACCTTAACAGGAAAGACGGATGATGAGAAACGACCAAAAACATGCTCATCATCTCGGGAGACCACAAGTCGAAATTGAACAGTTAATAAATTCAACCCAGTAATTTATTAAAGCAAAAGTATAAAGATAATTTTAGTTTTGACATCCTTCTATTGCAACTGCATTGCAGATGTAGTTGTATTTATGTGCAATTTTTTCAGTACATATTTTGTGGGTGTAGCTTTTACCGCAAAGCTACTTTTTTATTTTCGACATACATGCTATCACTCATATCACTCAACCCTAGAAGCACCTGTGGTCAATAAAATTATAAAAAAATTAAAGGCATGTTTCATTTTGTTCCTTGATTCCAACGCAAACACGATCAACAAAATGTCAAACAAAAGGACACATAAAATAAAACGACATCAAAAAAACAGGAACAAATTGAGCAGGGAAAGAAACGTAAAAACTAAACGTAGCAGCACTGAAGACCTCGAAGACACACATTGTAATATACGTCATGCCAATACGGAGACAAATCGTACATCAAGGACAAAAAATAAAAATTAGAGAAAGAACATATAAGTTGTGTAGAGACAATAGCAGAAAAGCGATCTTCTACTTCAAGTAATGCCTGACCTTAATATGAAACAAAGCACTGCTTGGATATTAGCCTTGCCAAGACAAGTTCCCATGTAATACATAAAACATGACTGCCCTGTTATATACTAATTTGTCAATAAGTATTACTTAACTAAACAAGTCAATACACGCCACCACCCGTCTTGGTTTTACGATGGTATGTGACTGCCTCAAGGACCTACCCTGGGCAGGTCAGATTTGCCAACTAGAGGTTATTGCTTCGTGAGTAGCCACAGGCTAAACGATCGTATTATCATTTTTCGTGTCTATTTAAAGACCGAATCAGATTGCAACGAAACATTATGTTGGAAGCAATGTTTCATTACCGATGATTATATCAACAGGGTCAGGTTCATACAGACTAGATATGATTCGATCGAACTTTTCTTGGTACTAAAAAAAATAATTTTGCATAATACTCGTCAAAATCAGCTAATAAATGAACCATATTGAGATAGGAAAAAAGTAAAAAAGAATCATCTCGTTCTTTTGCTACAAGGCAAACACGATCAACAAAATATTAAACATAAGATACTCAAAAAATAAAACGATATCACAAAAGTAGAGGAAAGAAACGTACAACTAACAAATCTCTTCAACAAATCAGGAATTAAAACAGCACTGAAGATGATGAACAGAATCGGAAAATTACTAAGGCAAAACATTGTGACTACATCAACTCACTAGACAAAAATATCATATACTCCATAAAATCCGAGTGCAACAAATCCTGCAGACAGGTTGACAAAGAACATAAAAGATTGTTTAGGAACAATGATGGTAAAACTGGCCATACATGGTGCTGAATACAGCTAGAAGCACCATGGTAAAATAGATTATATACGATGGCATGAAACTGCCTGAAAGGTCTACCCCGGGCAGACCAGATTTGCCAATTAGAGGTTATTGTTTTGTGATTGACCACGGGAAAAAAGATCATCATACCACTTTTCGTCTCTATAAATTAGATGTGATTCTATCGAACTCTTGAAACATTGCAATGAAATTATCCATTTATATACTCTGGGAATTGGGAATTTCAGTCGAAGAATGACGATACAAGTCAGACTTTTTTTAAACTTATTTATACTGGTATGCGGGTCTATTCCGTTTGTCTCGCTATCCTAGGTGGTATTTTCAGAAGATAATTTCCCCAAACTAGCAACTAATAGCACGCTAGCACGCCAGTAGCAAAAGCTGTCCTGGTCATGTCTTGTACCAAGCGTAGCCTCCGGATTTAACCTCTGAAGAAATACAAAATAAAAATTGTAATTGTCGTATATAAATGCTTATTTCAATGTTTTTATACATTA